CAGTGTCTTAAAAAATTATGTATTATTTGTCTCCTTGTTTTCCTCGTTTTTGAAATATTTTCCAAAGACAAGATCTAGATAAGTGGAGCGTCCCACTATCAGATCATACATTTGTTAGCAAAATAAAGAGATAACTCTGGTTCATTATATTATGTATTTATTCTTACACTAGATGTTCCATTCGAATTCATAAAAAATATTAAGATTGAACGGAATCAGGAATCTGTTTTATTGATTGTTTTTGGAGTTAGCTATGTTATTAATGCAAATTTAACCCACTTTATTGAGCAAAACTATTATGATTAAAGATAAGGTGGCTATCCAATTTAAGATTGATATGAAATGTCCAGCAAAATTCTCTTCAAAAGAGAAAAGTTCTTTTTTTTTTTTTCATTACAATCTTGTGATATTGATGGGTAATATATTTATGATTTTCCTTAACATCTGAATGTTTAAGCTAATTAGATTGGTGACCATCTACTTATTTCCTTTATCTTTTAAAAGACTTCAAAGACAGATATTTTACGATACAACCATTATAGTGTACAAGAACTCTGATCGCCAAGAAAGATGAGATTACTAGGAAGGTTTTTCATTTTATTAAAAGCCATGATTGCAGTCAAAGTAGGTGTCGAAAAACAGCAAGTTTGTAATAATAATGGATGATGTGTTCAGCCTACAGATATAACTCTTCAAAATATCCCATTGTGTTCTTTGAATAGTACATTACCATGTTTTTCTAAAGGCAAGAGTATTATTTCATACTTTGACAAGGGAGGCTCTTTTTTACAAAAAAGAATATGGTGTCAAACCCTTTATTCGCTAATAGCTACTACTTAAGGTGCTGCTGCTAAATGGGGAAAGTTAGTTGACCATTGTGCTAACTGTTCACCGAATGAGGAAGGTTGCTATGGTGGATTAAATTGTGTTATTACTGGTGTTGTTACTGTTTTAGCTACTGCTTATGCTATCGGCACATATGTCCAGTTTGCTACAATGTTTATGAAGAGAGACAAAGATTTATCGGCATTACCACCTTTCCAATACTTTGATGGTTCACTTGAACTAATCTTCGATGAAGATGATAAATTATCTAAAAGGGATGGTACAAATTGTTCCTGGTATAATGGTACTGCTACCGCAAATAGTATTCCTATGTGAAGGTTGGACATGTCTTCAGATGGATTAAATAATAAAGTTAAGCTATTATTTATAAGGAGAGACACTAACTCAGAAAATACATCAAAACAAAAGAGGGATTAGCACGATGTAAATCATGGACATGATTCAGCAGGAGGTTTCAACTACAACTATTGTTTTCTGCATCCTGAACACCATTTAACTATTCAATATGATTGGAATGATATCTTGGGTGCAGTGGATTCACATATTGGTGACATGGTTGCACATTACGATATCAATTTTGGTGATGTTGACATGAATGATACAGTTGAAGGGGGCTGGAAGGTCTTAATGGGAACTGGTAAACTAGTTGTTGAAAGTTCTACTTCTTTTGGTAGTAACTTTGAAACATGTGATAGAGACACGTTTGATGGACTTGCCAAATAAAAAATGCTACGTTGCTAATTTAATTGTTACTATATTCTTTCTTATTAATATCGTAATGATAGCCTTCTCATAAACTCTTCTCTAAGTGTGTATTAACAAGGTTGTGTACTTTTAAAGCTTGACACTAACCTGCTATTTTTAAGTTATACAAAATTAGATCATATAAAGTTTTTGTATATATAATATACTAAAATTCGGGTATACAAGATAATCTGGAAAGTTTTATTCCAGCAGCCTGTGGAATTTTCCCTAAGTCTAATTTGGAAAGGTTCCCAATGTCGTTCCATGTGAAATATTTTGTAGTCTTATCTGAGGTTCAAAAAGTATCGATCCCCTGAGAAAATATAACAAAAAAAAAAATAAAAGTTCGAAAACAGATTTATGCACGACACCGACAATAATATATATTATTTAGTTTGAGTAGATCAAAGACATATATAAATACATATTAGTGTTATATCTAAAAATATAAATTTTGTTTATACTCTATATCTATTTAAGTGAATTATTGTTACTGTTGCACCTAAGCTACTTATCATCAAAAACTCATAACCATAAGATTATCACATTTTTTGGTATTTTGGGTTTCCCCAACTACTACAGTTATTTGGAATTATGGCTAGTAAGAGATTTTTTGGATTTCCTTACATTATATAGATTTCATATATAACTCAGACAGAAAAATGATATGAAGATAAAATAACGATTATTCAAGCTTAGATGCTCTGTTTTTCTCTAGAAATATCATAAGAAGATGCGCCTAGGGTGTGATTGAAACTAGTGATCATGATTAAATAATGAAGTTATTGGTATATTTATTGTTACAATTCGTCAGCCTCTTCTCTACAAACTATAAAAACAAATATATATATATATATATATAATAAAATTACTTAAAATGTTCAGAGAGAAATTGTACATTTATTTCTCCTTCCTTTTGTTCTTGTTCCTTATATAATTTCATATTTGGAATAAATAACCCACACTTTTGTATTTATCCATAAATATATATTTAGCCCTCTATTGGATCTGGATTCAAAATAATCTTCAGTAAGCAAAAATTCTCTCCACTGCAAATTAACTTTTTAATTTCCCTTAACATCGTAATCTTCCAGGTAGGCTTAATATTATTAAGATCTGTAAAATTGTTAAAGCAATTAGCTGATTGAAAAGTCTGGGTACATAAGATTGAACCATATTTTCTTTAACTATACGTAAACCATGATCTAATCTCATGCATGTGAATCCTTTAAGTTGTCCAAGTTTTAGTGATTTAAAATAGGACTCAATTAAGATATTAGTCATTTAAGGGATATAAACCTTGTTTACCCAGGAATATAAGGACAACTGGTATGGATTTACCTATCCCTTAATAAGATATTGGAAATATCTTATTTTTTTATCAACCAACACATATTTGTACAATTCAAATAGTAGTTTTTTAAAAAATTTTTCAGCAGACTTTTTGTATTTTAGTGTGATATCTTTTGAACCAGGTGGTGATGTCTTAACTGCATAAAAAATGGAGGCTATCTAGCAGCTCTGGTCATAGTTTTGACTGCTTTGGTTGTAATTTATTCAAAGGTTCTTTTTTCCTTTGTTGAATCAGCATCAAGTTGGTTGAACTATTCCTTATCAAACCATCAATAGTCAAATAAAAAATTGTATAAGGTCCTGCTACTTTGGGGCATTAATTTATTTATTTTTTTTGTCCTTTATGGCTTTCTTCAAATGTTATAAACAAAAGTGAATGCATTGTGGTCCTAATCTCTTAATCTTTGGAATAGCAGCAATAATTCTCCTGTCCATGTCGATTGTAATAAATTCGAAACTGTACCCTAAATTGGTGGTTTTTTCAAGAAATTCTTTTATTAAACACCTTGGGACTTCATTTAGAGGAACGAATAGAGCTACTAATGGGTATCCGCCGCCTTGATAATCACCTACAATAACATGACATTGTCTTAATGCGCTACTAAGATGAAAAGTATGTTAATTGTAGCAGATTTGAAAATTGTCTCAATAATATGACCATAATCGTAATAAATAGTGTCATAGTCGATATTTAGAGTTTCCATAAAAATTTCGATCGATTTTAACTGCTTAATATTAGACAAACAATTACCTTAATAATAATTTACAGCTATATAGCCCTCAATAATACTTTACAACCTAAAAGTTGGTTGGTATTTTTTTTCTATATCTTGGAAAAACATTCAAACCATAATTTTTTGCAGTATAAAGATCGGAACAACTTTACCCAGTTTGGTTTTGAATAAATGTTTCTAACCCTTCAGGTATTGGAATAATATTAGGTTTAGGATAATGCATGTCATGGATCAATACAACTTTAATAAAATTATAATTCTTGATAAATTAAACTTGGCGTTTAGAGTTACACTGAAACGTTTTTAGGTATAAGGATTTATCAGAACATTTGTCATCACCGCGTTTAGCTTTATTTTGGTTTCAGTTGTCTATAGCGCTTGTTAATTTCTTGGTATTCTTGCTGCAGACAGAATAGTCAAACACATATCATTGACTTCTTAGATCTAAAATATTACCAATAATCATAGTGATAATATTTCTGAATTCTGTATTAAAAGAATATAGAGACAATTCAATGGTCATATAAGGACCTTCAGCAATAATATTGTATTTTTAAGTTATTATTAAGCTTGATTACTTTTAACATATATAATAAGGTTTGCAATAAACGAATTTCAAATCCATTGAATTTCATGAAATAATACTTTTTGGTGTCAAAAGAAAAGTTGATTGAAGGTCCTAAAAGGTCATCATATTTTTCATATTTAGAACTCTTAGTTTTTTTTTTTTGATCTTGAAAATTTGTAAATCTTCATCACAATGTAAATGACATTCTTCTAATTCTTCTAACTCTTTGTGATATTGATTCTCTCTATTCTCTTACTTTTGAACATCCTCAAATTCATCAAGGTGTAAATTTTCGAAATCAGAAAGGTCTTCAAAATCTTTTGATTGAAATCTTGTGCATTACTGAAACAGGTAAAGATACTACATCAACTAAAATAAAGCCAAAATTTATGTATTCCAAAATTCAATTATACTGTTACCAGGTATAATTATGACATCCAACATTATTATTTCACTCTTTTAAAGTGACACATCCTATTATCTCAAAGTAGTTTAATATATAATTTGTAGTGAAACATGGGATTCCTCTGAAAAGGAATTACTTGTATACTAGTGAACTCTAGCTAAATGTATAAAACGATAAGTAATATCATTACAAAGTTATGTTTTTAAGCATTAAGCATTACAACGATATATAAACACTATTACTAACTATTTCCATACAACCGGTCTTGTTTTAAGAAATAGCATATTTTCATTTTGCGGAAAATTTTAAATCAGGTCTTGTCATAAAAAAAATTGATTCATTAAAATATCTATTCTTTAACGAATATGGCAGCAGCACCCATGCCTGTTCCAATACACATTGAGACCACTCCAATTTGACCAGTTGCCATTTCATTTAAAATTGTGGCAACTTGTCTTGCACCGGTGCAACCAAGTGGATGACCTAGAGCTATAGAACCTCCACGTGGGTTAACCTTTTCCATTGGGATCTTTAATTTATTGATACAGAAGACACACTGTGCTGCAAACGCCTCATTTATTTCAAAGACATCTATGTCATTAATCAATAATTTAACCTGTTCTAAAACTTTAGGGATTGCAAAAGCTGGGCCCACTCCCATTACTTCAGGTGGAACACCAACACATTGGAAAGCTATATATTTTCCCAATATTGGAATTCCCAGTTTATTTGCTAATGATCTTCTCATTAAAAGAACCCCGGCTGCACCATCTGAGACCTGAGATGAGTTTCCAGCTGTGGTAGTTCCTTTGTCTTTTATAAAAGCTGGTTTTAATATGGAAAGAGAGTCTTTTGTGACATTTGGTCTTGGGCCTTCATCTTTAGAAAACCACTTAGTATTTTTTTCGGTTTCATTTTCATCATCTTCACTTGGCAATGGGATAGGCAAAATTTCATTTTTAAATAAACTATTATCTAGAGCAACTTGAGCTTTTTGGTAAGATTCAGCAGCAAACTTATCTTGAATCTCACGATCGATACCCCATTGTTTAGCAATATTTTCGTTTGTGAAACCCATTGGTATTAAACATTTCCGGGCCATTGGATTAGCCTTCAAAGAATCAGAGATGTCACCCAAAGCGTTGATATTTTTATAATTTTTAGACATTGATTCGCAACCTAAGGCAAGACCACAATCGATTTGACCAGTTAGTATTTTATTTGCGATATCATTTACAGCCGTCAGACCCGAAGAACATTGTCTATTGATTGAATTAAAGGGGATGTCGTAGGGGAAACCAGCAGCCAGAGCAGCAGCACGATGTTCTGTAGCGCCAGCTCCTACGTTTAGTACATTTCCGCAAGTAATATCTTGAATTTGTTTTAGATCATTTTGTAAAGTTTCTGGTAAATGCTGAATAAATTGTAGCAAGAATTGCAAGAGAATATAGTCCGTATTTACATCTTTTAATGAACCTTTAAATCCACGTGCGATGGCTGTTCGATGGGCAGATACGATGACTACATCATGTGGATGTTTACTTTTCACCTGTTTTATAGAAGGCTCTTCAAAAAGACTATTTTGTAAATGTTCCTTAATATTATTTAGTCTTTGAGTCATCCTTGTAATTTTTTTTATATATTAGTGTATTTGTGTGTGTATTTACTTCTGTATATTTGAGAAAAGTTATGTAGACAGAAAAAGATAAGGGAACTAATGATCAAGAGAGAATAAAATGAAAAAAAAAGACATTTTCATGTACCGTAAGTAATACATATATATAGTAGATTGGAATGGTTGGTTGCTTTTATTGTAAGTCTTTTTTTTTTAATTTTTTTCTTTTGAATAGCCGCTGAGATAAAGGGGAAAGAGAGAGGGGACAGCGGGAGGGGATTTAACCGTCAGCCATGGGTTGGTCCCCTTATTTAATATTTTTTTGGCTGTTTAGTTTGATTTGTGCATATACGATATATAATTCTTGTGAATACAATAGGATTCCAAAACAAAGCAAAACAAAGCAAAACAAAACAAAACAAAACAAAACAAAAGAAGTGGCAACAGTGCTAGAAGAAAAAGGGATGATAAAGCAAATGTGCGTCTACTAGTAATTGTTATTAGTAATGTCTTTGTGTCTGGTTGGAGCCGCTAGACGGCGGTTAATGTTCTTGCATGTGTTTTATAATAACAATAATAATAGTAAAAGCCCTAGCCCCTTTGTCCAACTTCCACGTGCAAACGTGTAATTGTTCTAAGAGATGTGATTGTTATTTCTTTTTGTTAACTTCTATCATTGCGCTTTGCTCTAAATAATAGTATATTATTCACACGCACACACACACACATATATATATATATATATATTGTTTATAGGAGAAGGAAGAGAGCAAAAGGCCCGGGACCCTTTAACTGTTGTGTTGCTCTTTGTTACACGTGTTGTCACACGTATTTATTTATTTATTTATTTATTTATTTATTTATTTGTCTACTTATTGCAGTTGCAGTTGTTGTTTCTTTTCCTCTTTGACAACTGTTTAGCGGAAATATGGCGGTTAGCTTACGGAATTCCGACAATTCCGTCGTGTTTCAATTGATTGATTTATTCATTTATTCATTTAGAAACGCGAAAACTCGAGGCTCAAGACATCCGAAACCATAACAAAAAAAAATAAAAAAAAAAAAACAGACATTCGGGCCAAAGAAGAAGGAGGAGGAGAGGAAAAATAGAAAATAGAAAATAGAAAAAAAATTTTTTTTTCTATTTTCTCTTCCCAAGAAAATTTGAACAACACAAAACACAATTAAAAACAAACAAATAAAAAAACAAAACAAAGAATGAAATGTACAAAAAGGGTAAAGACAAACAAAAACACAAAGTAATTTGTTTGTTTGCTTGTTTGATCTGATCTATCTATTTTAGTAATTGACTATGTTCTTTTTTTTTTTATTTTTTTATTTTATTTTTGCTTTTACTTTATTTTTACTTGTTTTCCTTTTTCTCTATCTATTTTTATCAAATTGCAGAAAAAAAAACAATCAAAGAATCCTAAAGTGAGACAAGACTACCTTTAACCTTTAAAGTTGACTTATCCATACACTCGAGAATCAGACAGACGTAGTCTTCGAGAAATCCAACTTTAAGAAATTATATTGATATCAAGTTGTCTTTATTTGAATTAAAGTCAAGTCAGGCAAATATACATATATCTATCTGTCTATCTATCAATCTATATGTATGTATGTATGTATGCATATATATATATACAGGACAATAGGGAGAAAAAAAATAGAAACTAAAACGAAAATAGAACTCTGGCACTTGTTTTTTTTTTTTGTTCTAGAGTAATGGGTTCCGTATCTACTTCTGTTGGATGCGCTGTAGGTATACCTATAGGTGTTGGTATAATTATTGCTTTCGCATTCTGGTATAGATTACAAAGAAGATTTAAAAAGGAACTAGAAGACGACAAGGATTTAGAACATGAAATTTATGATGATACTGCATATATATCTTTTAATAATTTGGACTCCCTGAAAAAAGATACTCAACAAAGTAATAATAATAATAATAATAATCTAGATATAACGTTGGATGATGATGATGATGATGATGATGATAATAATAGCATAATACATGATCATAATAATAATAGTAATAATAATAATAATATCAAAAAGAATAGACCTAAAAATAATATGTATATTCCTGCATATAGAAGAAAAATCAATTCTTTACATCATCAAAGCATACGCATGATAAATAATAAGAGCAGTAGTAATAACCCGTATAGCACAAATATAGAGTCTGAAAATACTATAAATATTCCACCTCCTATTTTATCCAGGTCTTCTCTGAAATCACCTTCTTTACAAAATATTCATGATCCACAACAACAACAACAAGTTAGACAAATCAGTACCTACGATCAAATGGTCCCATTGGTTAATCCATCTTCAATCTTCGATTCTAAAAATAATATAAACGATCATATCTCCTTCCAATCTGACTCAACCTATAAAAATGATTCCTTTAATATTCGTAGTTTACAATACCAAGATTTGGGTTCATACTATCCTGCAGTCCCAAATTCAACAAACAACTCCATACAGAATTATAAGTTTAATCTTTCCACCTCATCCTTAAATAATAGTACCAACATTTTTAGCACTCCAAATTCTAAAAAAAATCATGTCAATACTATCCATGCAAATGAAGATAATTCGAAAATTATGGATTCCACACAAAATGATGTTGAATCGGATTACATACTGAAAAATAATTATGATATTAATGACAGTGAGAGTAAAATAGTAGAAGAAGATCAGTACGAAAATGAATTTACTAATTATAAAGAAAACAGAAGACAATTTTTAGATAGTTTGAGGCCAACTAATATAGAATAATAATTGTTCTTCTTTGTACCCTTTTCTGCTTTCTTCCACTACCTATATATGTATATATATATTGAGTTATTCATATGACTTATTAGATACCCATAATTGTACGATTAGAAAGTATATACTCTTCCTGTTTCCTTCTGTTTTTTTTTTGTTTTTTCTACGTTTCTATTTGAATGCCAGTAACTAACTTGGATTTAATGGTAATAATGGATCAATGTATTCATTGTCACTACTATGAGAAGGATGACTGCTTTCAGTTTTTGTATGGGAATTATTATTCGTGCTATAATTGAATAAAGACTTGATTGTAGTATTCTTATCCTTATCATGTTCTGGTGATTGGTTTTTAATACTATTTTCATTTTCATTCTTGCTTGAAGAATTATTTGCTAAAGATCTTAATGTTTCCCAAAAATCCAAGCCATCCTCATAAACGTTTGGTGATGAAGATAGTACTGATTTGTTGTCGCCAAGATCATTGTTTTTATCACTCTTATCATTATCATTATTATTGTAATCCGTTGTAGAATTAATGGTTTTGGTATCGTCGTTTAGATCCATCTTGGCACGTTTTCTTTTATTACTATTCCTCACAGTATTTGGATTTACCAATATGTGAGATGAACCATGACTTGCCACTCTTTCTCCTAGATCGCTTATTTTTGCGTTTTTGTTGTGACGATGAACTTGTTGATCCTGGTGATGATGAAGACTTATGAGACCCGCCATTAATAGACCTAGGGCTTGGATTTAATAATGTGCTCAAACTTGCATTACGGCTAGATCGATTCTGTGAATCTGAGGATTCTAACCGAGGACGTATAGTGGGGGGTAAATAATTGAAATGTGAACTACGATTTGTTATATTTTCACTGACAACTACATTGCCACCAACTGTCAGACTAAATGAGGAGGCATCTGAACTTGATGTGGGAAACTGTTGCGTTTGTACAGATGTTGGAGTAACTTCATATCCAGAACTGAAATATATTGTGTCGTTATCATTCTCTGTGGAAAAGGTTTTATTGCTGGTAAGGTTGGTATTACTACCATTATTCATGTCAACATTATCATTAGTAATGATTGTTGATGTAATATTTGTATTTAGGTTATCATGCACAGGATTGGTCAATTGATAAGGCATGTCATTGACAACGTTATTTCCAATAAATGAAGAAGAAGTAAGATTTTTATCCAACTGTGGTGAAAGTGGACCAGCATTCGGTATTCCAGTTAGATTTTCTTTATAATCTATTTGTACTGAATTATCTTTATTATTATATGTGTTTGATAGTAAACTAACTTGAGGAGAAGTGGTATCAATTGCAAAATTAGAATTTGGTCTTTGGATTAAATCTTGAAAAACAGAATTTGGTACTTGAGATAGATTCGTGGAAGATGCAGAAGGTGATGTATAAGATGCAGACACGTCTTGATTTTTCTGATTATGCGCTAGTAATCGATCTGGATGCAATGGAATGTCATTTTGTTTAGAATAGGAGGAGCTTGTGTCATAATGGTGATGGATATGTTGATGTAGCGAAATTTTAAGAGAGTATTTTTTGGCTTTCTGTATTAAATCTTCAACCAACTCTGATGTGGCTATAGTACCATTTGAAATAGATAGCCCTTTCCCATCCTTTAAGACAAATTTCCATTCTGTTTGTGACACATATGAGAGTGGTTTTGTTGACTTTTTATTATCTTTAATGGAGGTACTAGTAGAAGCAACATTTGATATTATATCTGAGGTTCTGTTCGTAGACAAGTATTCAGCCCCTGTGTGGTTATTACTGTTGTTATTATATGCTAATTTATTATGTGATGCGGAGTTATTAGACAGTTGGGAATGTATACCTGTATTCAATTCCACTTCTGAAGTATTTAGTGGCGGTGCGGAGGTAATGCCATTTAATGCAAGGTTTCTTAGATCGGTTACAGATCTAGCGTTATTTTGCAAAACTCTTGAATGTGGTGATAAGGGAGGTAACGAATTGGTCAGTCGTGATAGTGGTGGGGTAGTAGTGGATGGTGACGTTGTTGTATACGGAATTTTGGACAATACTGTATTTTTCAAACTTGTAGTAGTAGATGAAAGACCAGCAGTATAATCATACATTTGTCTTACGTCTGTTGTTTGTTTCTTTCTGTTACTTGTATTGGATTCAATCTTTATTTTCTGTAAATTATTTTCATCGTATATGGGTGTTCTATCATTACTGTTATTGTTGCTTTCACGTATTAGTTTTTTTAAATCTAAATCTTTATTCTCATAAACAGCATTAACGATAACATCAGGAGCTTGTCCTCTAATTACTGTCGTAATGATCTTTCTCCATCTGTTTCGACATGTTAAACTTGGCCTAGAATCCATTTCTTTACAGATACATCTCCATCTAGTTCCATATTGCTTCACTTTACTAATCAATAATAAATCCTCTTCTTGAGTCCATTCTCTTAATCTTTCTTTACTAGATGGATCTAGGACTTCGACATATCTTTTAGCACATTGATCCTCAGTTCTACCTTCGATTTCCATGGCAACAGCCATCCAATGTGCACCATGTTTTTCGTATGATTTCAACAACAACTCATCTTCCTCTTTTGTCCATCTTCCCTTTTTCACGTTTGGATTTAACGAACCAGTCCAACGTTTCTTCAGATCCTTAGGATTTCTCGATTTATTACTAAACTTGGAACATATTACATCCCATTGTAACAATTTAACAATTTTTGATGATTCTTGTATAGACTTGATGTCCAAAATACCGTTTTTATAACCAACTTGTTTCAAAGCATCATTAATTAAGGCTATCAATTCTTGATCATCTTCTTTGGACCACGCCTTTCGGCTGCTTCTGCGGTGAGTCTGATACCCTAAAGAAGCAGTTACATCCAATAAATCAAATGTATCATTTTTTCTTATATTATTGCTACTGCTGTCATTATGATTATCATCAGTACTAGTATTTATTCTGGAAGTAGATTTGTTTTGCTGAGACATACTAAAGTAGTCCTTTGTGATAACTGTAACACCGATAATATATTTTCTTTAAAGTAGAATATTATTTTGGCTAACTATAATGCAATTTTCGAAGATTAGTAGTATGGGTTAGTGGATGAGTAATTTAACAGATGGTCGAACTTAAAAAAAAAAAAAAAAAAAAGAATGATACTAATGAGGAGAACAAAAATATATGAAATATGCTAAAATTAAAAATTAAAAAATGTGATTTACAGAATAAAAAGATGATAATTCAGAGTTATGTGGTTGTTAACAATACTACTTTATTTGACTCTATGTGAGTACAATTATTAAATGCATGAAGTCCTAAAACCTCCAGTTCAATAATTTTGTTTACTTCTAAATACTTAATTTGAAGCTCATCGCAAATTTGAAAACTTTTTTGTAAGGAAGAAAAAAAAAAAGATGGAAAAACGAAAAACAATTCCGCGAAAAGGCATATCTTGCGGAAATAATTCCGGTTAATAGCATATGTTTGAATTAATTCTACTACCCTAATATAGATGGAAAACTAAAAATGTGTCACAGTCAAAAAATGACTGTCACCTCGAGATCGACATTTCAAGTAACCAGTTTTGCTTTCACTAATATTATTGTTGTAATCTTTTGATATGGTATTGAATATTAAATACTTTGTATACACGTATATTATCTAGTATTACATAGGTACATAACTAAGATAAAAGAAAAAAAGAAGAATATAAGCAAGCATTTCTATTTCTCTTTTTTTGTTTTTATTTATTGGAATATAAATAGTCGAGAATAAATTACAAGAGTGAAGATTTTATTCATAATTGTGGACCAGCAGCTAAAACATCGCTAGTAGCCTTATCTTGATAAGTCTTGAAGTTTTCAATGAATAAACCAGCTAATTTGCTGACAGCAGCAACATATTTGGCTTCACCTTGTGACCAGTTTCTAGCCGGATTCAATAACTCAGACGGAATGTTGTTAACGTGAGTTGGGACTTGTAAGTTGAAAACTGGTAAAAATTCGTAGGATTCTTTAGCTAAAGTGCCATCATGGATAGCATCAAGAATAGCTCTAGTGTATTTTAATGGACAACGTTTACCACCAGACACATAAGAAGCACCAGTCCAACCAGTATTGATTAACCATGCATCAGCTTTGTGTTCAGACATCTTAGAAGCAAGCATCTTGGCATATCTGATTGGGTGTAATGCCAAAAATGGCTGGCCAAAACAGGAGGAGAAAGTTGGTTCCGGTTCAGTGACGCCTTGCTCAGTACCAGCCATCTTAGAGGTGTAACCAGAAATGAAATGATACATAACTTGTTCTGGGGATAACTTAGAAACTGGAGGCAAAACACCAGACGCATCACAAGTCAATAAAATAATGTTTTTTGGATGTGCATTAGCTAAGCATGGGATCTTAGCACTTGGAATGTACTCAATCGGATAGGCACATCTTGTGTTTTCAGTAATAGAAGAGTCAGAGTAATTAACAACACGAGTCTCCGGGTCATAGACAACATTTTCCAAGACAGAACCAAACCTGATAGCGTTAAAGATTTCTGGTTCCTTTTCCATGGATAAATCGATACATTTAGCGTAACAACCACCTTCAATGTTGAATACACCATCATCAGACCAACAATGTTCATCATCACCAATCAATAGTCTGTTTGGATCAGCAGACAAGGTAGTCTTACCAGTACCGCTTAAGCCAAAAAATAATGTTACGTCACCATTGTCAATACCTTGGTTAGCAGAGCTGTGTAAAGTTAAAACATTGTGGTGGACAGGCATCAAATAAAACATAACAGTGAAAATACCTTTCTTCATTTCGCCAGCATATTCAGTACCTAGGATAACCATTTCCATAGCTTTAAAATTAATTTCAATAGTAGTCTTTGAAGTCATATCCTGAGTATGTGTGTTAGCAGGGAACTGACCAGCATTCCAGACAGTGAAATCTGGTTCACCAAAATTCTTCAATTCTTCTTCTGTTGGTCTGATCAACATGTTTGTCATAAACAAAGCATGATAGGCTCTGGCACATACAACACGGACTTTGATCCTGTATTTAGGATCCCAACCAGCAAATGCATCAACGATGTAAAGATGGTCTCTAGTTCTTAAGTAGTCAGCAGCTCTTTCTCTGTTAATCTCCCACGTTCTTTCAGAACATGGTTTATTGACTGGTCCCCACCAAACATTATCTTTAGAGGTTTCTTCTTCAACAATTCTCTTATCTTTTGGAGATCTCCCAGTCTTTTCACCAGAGTAAGCAATCAAAGCACCAGAAGCATCAATAACAGTATTACGTTCTTTTAGGGCATCTTCATAAAGGATTGCAGCTGGAGCGTTACGTCTAATAGTGATAACACCTTTATCTAATTTTAGTTCTTCTCTGATTCTTTGTTCAACAGTTAAAGGAGAGGGATTAATGGAATTAACAACTTTGGATGGCATTTCTTTTCTTAAGTTTGGTGTTAATTACTGACAGTATTATTAATGAATATGTGTAAGTGTATGAATATAACAAAAATGAAACCAATAAAAAAAAGAGAGATATTAAAACAATATATAGAGCAAAATGGAAGAAAACTTTTTTTTTCTATGGAGAGAACAACTTGTAAGTTATTATTAATTAAACAATGGATATAATTGTGTTATTTGTCGTTGTTCGTTTTTTTTCTATGTTTTTGGTATACTTGCGATCAATTATATTTGACAGCAACAAACATACAAGACCAGGAACCTAGAGAGAAAGGTAAAGTATGTCAGATCTTCAAAGAGATTCCATTTCGAACATATCCTTCATGTCTTTATATATGTTTTTTTTCCTCTTCTATTTGGACATATTGCTTTAAGGGGTGTTTACCCAAAGGTATTAGAAAAGAGGATAGTATATTGTTGATAATGTTTAAGAGACACAATAGCAAGCAGCCTATTGTAGCACTTATTTCAGCTGCATCTGCATAAAAACCCTTTCTCTTTGTCCTTCTCTTTGTCTTTTTTTTTGTTCTTTTGTCTTTGATTCTATTCTTTTATTTATTTATTTATTTACTTCTATGGCTCTCCACACTAGAATAATAGAAATAAAAGTAATAATGGCAATGGCATTTTCAATAATAATGCCACTTCCAATTCTAATTCTACCACAACTACTATCAATTATAATACTGATACTAATAATAATGCAAACAACTGTAATAATAGCAGTGGCAATCTCGAAGGGCCAAAATAAATAAATAAATAAATAAAAACCAGATTGTTTCCATCATAAATTCCATTTATCCGAGACGAAACTCCGAAGAAAATTTTGAGTCAATGTGATCACGTGATATGTTAGGGTCAAGAATTTATCTGCTAAAAAAAAAAAGAAAGAAAGCAAGAAAAAAAGAAATATTACAATGCAAATATAAGTAGACGCACGCATTATACAATTAGATATCGTAAGCCAATCAATCCTATGGTATCTGTTTTTAGAAACAATCAACACAGGGGGAAGAAACACAGGTTAGTAGCCTTTATTATTACCATCATTGTTATTGTTATTGTTATTGTTTTTTTTTTACTCTGAGTTTAAACGTTTTGAGATTAATCTTACAGTATTATTTTTGTTTTATCTTTTCTGTTCTATTCCTTAGCTAATAGTGTTACCTATTAAACTTCCTAATTCAAGTCGGTGGAGAAGAAACAAAAAAGTTATATTTCTTATATCCTTCAGTTGAAATTACAATGAATATTTATTGCTGTGTTGTGCGTAATTGATTGATGTATTAGTTTATTTATTTACTTATTTATTTCTATATTTACGGTAATGGTGGAAAATTCATGAAAATCTATCAATTAAACAATGTAATTTTGTTATTGTTATGGTTTTTGTTTTTGTTTTTTTTTTTTTTTATTTTAAAATTTAAAAGCCAAAATAAAATCTTTATGAAAAGCAAATAATTTCTTATATTACGTAATTCATAGCTGTCTGTTCTAATTGTTTGTTTTTTTTCATGATAATGTTTTTTTAATTGGTGCAAATATCAAGATCCATCCCTAATTTACTACAGATAGTAAAAATAAAATCAGTACTAAACGTCTTAATATTTTGATCTTGAGCCTTTCTTTTCATATTTTGATCGTTTGTGACCAGTACTATGTATTGAAACCTTTTCATTCTATTATTATTAGTAGTAGTAATGGTAGTCGTAGCAGTAGAACCATTGTTGCCATTGCTAGTTATAGTATTGTCACCATTATCGTTTTCCAAACTTCCAGCATTACTTGGTGTCATATTTGTAATATCGTCTTCATTAACAATCGAACCCATTGTTGTTGAAGAAGGCGTGCCACTATGCATAATAACACTATTATTACAAGCAAATGAGTCAAAATTGCCTAGTGAGTTTAATAGCACATCACCATTAAGATCGCTGTAACAACCCATATTATTACTTCTATTTGATGTGAACTTATTCTGTGCTTTTACCACAGCTTCAATTACAAATTCGTCCACATGTGACCTCCAAGTTATTTGTTCCTCAAACTCCAAGTGTTCTTCAATGTCTGTTGCAACATTACCTGTAAATCTCAATGGTAGTAATTTACCTTCTGCATATAACTGTCGTATAGTAATAACAGCTCTTGATGCAGCTTCTACCACATTCTCATCCTTAGATTTTCTTAAAAACCTTAATTCTTGAAAAGTTGTTAAGCACACTGCAAATTTTAAAATTTCATTTGTGGCTAATTTGTAGATGTGTGCAAAATGTCTTAACCATGAAGTAGCATCAAACACAAAATATGTAATGTCCCTATTGATTTCATCATACGGAGTCCGCCAAATATTGTTAGCTCTAAATTGTTCTCCAGTACTTTTGTTTATAAAAATATTACTACTCCTATAATCCATATAATATTTAAATAAATCATTTTCATTTATCTCATTTATGTGTTTTGTAATCATTATATCATTTAAACTATTGAAATTAGTATTTTTGTCGTAGATACCATAATTAATATCATTATCACTATTACTATTACTATTATTATCTCCTGTCATACTAACATTGTCTTTTGTTTGGTTAAGATTTGTGTTTGTTCTTATATTATTGGAATTTGAAGTCTGTAACTGGTCAGATATCCATGATGTATAGATTGATGAACCAATAAATTCACCATTCTTATCATAGGAATTAAAATCTGGTGACAATTTACGGTAGCCGGCGTATTCAAATATATTTTCTCCTGGTATTAAACTCAATTCAGGAATAGAATTAACATCTGCATTAATATCATCCACTTTTTCACACATAGGGATGAATTCATTAAATCTGGTTGATGTAGGTTCATTGTATGGTTCCAATTTAAAAGAAAATTGTCTTAAAATATGACTATCCTTAACATCATTTCTGTTACAGAATACTGGGGTATTGTAATTGACTTTCAATCCAAAATCAAAATTCTCTGCAATACCTTTAAACAAAAATATAATTCTAATTGCACGTCTCCAAAATTTTTCACCTGTCTCATCACTGGAATCAAATCCAATACCATCGATTGGAAAATCTAAAAACATATGATCATTGATCCCAAATCCTCTTAAAGTATCACTAGTGATAGCATGTTTGTCACATATAACATCAAACCACAACGTACCCCAACATTTCCAAATTTCTGGTAAATCTTCATTTTCATTGAAATATTCTAACAATTCTTCTAGAGAATGTTGAGAGTATGCATTTGAAAGTTTTTCAATAAGATGTGATTCATAAAAATTATCTAAAATATATGCTAACAAAACATTTAAGAAGCTTGTTATTGTATTCCAAGGAAATATCCTCTTCATTAAAATTTTCCAAAATTTGTAGCTTTTTTCATCATTTAAGGATTTGATCTTTAACCCTGATGCTATAATAAAATATGTCCATGGTAAAAGATGCGGCAAAGTAATAACAAAAGGTGCATGTAAAAACTTCTTCAATACAATCATAGAACATCTTAAAGAAGTCATATTGATGTAATCTAAGGATTTGATCCATGTACAAATATCAGGATCTTCAATAGGATATTTTAAAGATTCCACATTTTCTAAGTAACTAATGCCAGATAGATTATTTGCTGAAGAATTGTAGATATCTTCATTGATATCATTATCAGTAGTGGTAGTAGCTAATGTTGTGGTGCTTCCGTTGGAAACTTCACCGTTTGATGATGATGATTTGGATTTATTTTTTTCCTTTTTATCTTTTCTCTCTTTCAAATATTTTGGTAAGTCAAACAATAATGCGAATGGATTCTTTGGATCGCCAAACCCTATTAACTGCAAAATATGGGACTCAGCAAATGCAGGAGCATGACGAAAGAAAAATCTTAGAGAAGCTGGTGGCTGACAAAACATATTCTTATTATTGAAAATATTATTGTCGTTGAAATCAATACCAAATCTATCTTGGAAATAATTTAAAACAACTTGCTGCAGATCACTGCTTCCCAAGAAACTTGGTAGCAACATCACTTCGCTGTGTTTCAAATAATCGATTAAATCAGCATTTCTATAACTTCCTGTGCTACTTCTCTCTACAAATGTACGCTGATAAATATTATCAATAACTAATTGCATATATTGCTGTGATGGAGTAAAAGTATCTTGACAAAATACACTTTTACCTAGGTTTACAAATGCTTCTAAAGTGTTTTGTTGGACAGTGGACATATGATAATATAATTTTCCATGACCATAAATAAATTTCATAGCCTCCATATACCAATATTCAGCACTTAGTTTCCAATCAATAAAACCTGACGGGTATAAAGCAATAGCCATTCTTGAAAGATCACCTAATCGTTGCAGCCACTGGATAGCATGCTTCTGTGGTATATCAATCAATATAGCGGATAATGAAATAAATACATGTGTGATAAATTGGGCACATACTTCAGGATCCATAAAATTTGAAAAATTTTTTAATACATCTAAAAATGTTATAGTACCGTATACCCATAATCTTCTTTCAATTCTATAAATTTCTACAATTTCTTCACCTATTAATGTATCCTGCGGAGACTGTGAAGGTAATAATGCAGTAGTGATAAAAGTTGTGTAATTATTAATTAGATCCGTGTTAATTCTATAAATTGTCCATAAATTTTTCAACTCTGTAGTATGTGAAGTAGTTAACTGAGAACAACGTTCTTGTAATTCAATTTCCTGTCTAACAATAACCTTATAGATTTCTTGTAACTTTTGAACTAAGGCTTGGCTTGACTTTTTGTTTTTTGAATTATCATTATTGTCGTTATTGCTATTTGGATTACCATTATTACTATTGTTATTGTTATTGTTGTTATTACTGTTGTGATTACCATTTTGACTAGGTACATTATTGTATCTTTCAGATGTATCATTATCCTGATTTATGTTTGAATTGTCTTGATTATTATTATTATAGTCATAAGAATAACTATAGTCTCCTGAAATATTATTGTTGTTGTTAACATTTTGTTGGGCATATTCTTGCGGTATAGGCTTATTATTATTGTTGTCATTATCATTTACTATGTTATTTTGTTTTGTATCGTTATTAATTACTCGACTGGCATTGGAATTATCAATAAATGTAGGCTTGTTAGAATTTGTTAATTCAGTAATTGTCAAATAATTGTGATGCTCTAATGGGGTATTTGCAGTTTGCTGCTTTAACATTTCACTAATCCTTGTATCACTGTTAATTAAATTATTATGATTTGTTGTGGTAGTATTATCTATGTTACCATTCTTATAATTTTTTAAATTTGTGTAGGAATTATTTGTGATATAATACGGTGAATGACCTTGTTCAGAGAATCCTAACGAAGGTTGTGGTGTTTCTACACTATTTTTATTAATACTTTCTTTTCTTAAGACATTGATAGGAGTGTTCATAATAGGTAAAGATGGCTGCTCACTTGAAATGAAATTTGTACTTGTATTTTTGCTAATATGAGGGTCGTTTTTATTGGTGATGTTGGTATTATTTGTTAACTCAGGATATTTTGAAACATTTTGAAAAAATGGAGTATTTATAGGTAAAGTATTATTTCCATTCTTAATCTTATAAGGATTATTGATATATGTATTATAGTTGTAATTAACAAAATCATGATCATTAGTTATTCGCTTTTTATGAAAATTAAAGTCTTGGATATTATAAGAAGTAGAGACATGTCTTTTCTGTCTAGTAGTGGTATTATTATTACTATTGTTATTACGATTATTATTATTATTATTATTATTATTATTGATATTAGAATTATTTAAATTAGAAGCGGTAGAAATTATATTTTTACCTATTGTAGAAGAATCAGGAACATTAAACTCAGAAGTAGTATTCATTATACCATTAATTAAATTATGATTATTAGTAATATTAAAATAGGGACTGATTGCTAATTGAGGCATTATCAATATTGTTGAGAACAGAAGAAAATTATGTGTGTAAAAAGGTATAAATTAGATAGGTTTTATATTTATATGTGTACAAAAATGGTAGAAGATACGGTATGGATAAATGGTCAATGTGTGAACAAAGAAAAGTGAATATCAATAATGTAAAATAAGGATTGTAGCGAGGTAAAATAAACTAGTAGGTAAAAAAACAAAAAAAAATGGATAACTATGGAGTATTTTTAATGATCCTCTAGTAATAAATTTAATTGTTTAAGTAGTTGTTTCTCCCTTTCTTTTTGTATAATTGTTGAGTCACCTATGTCCAATTCTATAAATATGAGGAAATGATGGAATCTGTTAATAGAATAAAAACAGGGAAAAAAAGAAAAGAAAAGAAAGATGCACTTTGTGTACGTCTGGTTTCCTTGGATATAATTCGGCCTTTTGTTATATGAGCCAAATATTTGATAAGTTGTTCTTTCTTGTTCACTATTATTATTACTGTTGTTGTGTTGTAAAGATTGATCTAATATATATACAAAGAACACAGAAGTAAGTGAACTCCACAAAGCAAAATGGTTTATAGCAAAAAAGCAAATGTATGCTGTTGTTATCGTTGTTGTTGTCCCTTCTTTTGTCCTGCTTTCAAATGATTCACCTAGTTGTCTTCCTTCTTCTCCGTTTCTGTGTATATGTGTATGTTTTTTTATCTTTGATTTAATCATTCCATTTTTAGTTTTTGTTTCTTTTGCATATGTCAATCACTCAATTTTCTCCCTCCTTTAAAAACAGGGAAAAAAAAAAAAAAAAGAAAAAAGAAAGAAAGAAAGAAGCAAATGGCAAAATGTTACTTTTTTTCATACCATTTTCCTATTTTGGCAACTTTATTAATATCCGGGTAATATCCTTTTTAATATGCGGGTAATACCGACGTTTCTACTGTATTTTGTTGGAAACTGAAAATACTAACCAACCAATAACAAATACATATTCATGGTACTGTTATTACTATATATTTATACATATATATATATGGTGTGTATGTAGTAATGTGAGAAGGAAATGGATAATACCATTACAGGTAACTGGCTTATAATGAAACTTTTTTGTGAGAAGTCTATAAAGCATCCAATTCGTCAATCGATTCAATGATTGTTAGCATAGAAGCCACGCTATTGTTGACACCTACTCGAAGACACCTGTCGTCTTCAGCACTGAATTTTGCTAGTAATGTTCCACTATCATTCGGATCTATAATGTACTCTACTTGGAAGCTGTCTGGTTTTAGTATTGGGTCTACGTTCATCACTTGTTGTGCAATATGAGCAAAACGTTCATTTTGAAGTGGAATCTTGATTTCTCTATTCATATAAATAGGGCATGCCAAATAAAATAAAATGAGCTTGCAAATGGCATATGTTTTTTATGTTATTGTGTGTGTTTTTGTTAGTAAGTAAATAGACTAATCTTATCACTATTGTTTATTTGTTGTTATTACTATACACAGAAGCAATATGAGGTTTGTACATACAATGTATGGTTTAGAGCGAGCATTCTTTGTTGGTCTGGAGCAATATGTGGCTTGCTTGTGATTGCGTATGTATTTAACTAAAGCTCTTCTTTTTTTCATCTTCGAGGTCTTTTTTATATAGTTTGTGTGTGTCCTTGTTTGTTTTTTAATGCATTCTCTTTCTTTTTTTTTTCTTAAGGCAATGTGGCATTATGATAAATGCATGTTTATTTACAGAAAGAGATAGAGGTATTGATTGTGTACCGTAGAGGATATTACTATATAACGGTGTCTGTCTACTTCAGGATTTCTTTCTATCTTCTGTTTGTAATTGTGGGAGACTAATACTACTGTTGAGGGACGAGGTAAGACTCTGTTTTAATAATTATCCTTTTTTTTTTGTTTATTTTTATCTTTCTTTACATATTATAAATAATGGCATTAAACGTATCTAAAAAATACCTTATTACCATCTCAAATACTTCATATTACGTTCTTGTGACAAAAGATGGTTCGAAATATATTAAATTTGAATTAGTTGAAGAAAAAACAAATTTAAATGATAATGCAATGGACTTGGATAATCCATTTTTAAATAATCTGATTGTATTAGATTCAATCAAGTCAGGGATAGGCAGAAACAAAGATAATGATCTTTTTGAAATAGTTATCTTCCCAATTTTACAAAAACTAAATATTAAATATAATTATATTAAAACAAATGATTCACAGTGTATATCTAATTGGACTTCAACATTTCAACCGGATACTTTTGTCACTATGACAACCGTGTTTTTCATTTCCGGTGACACAAGCATATCTGAATTTTTAAACTCGTTATCTACCCAAAAGATAGGTATAGAACAGACGTATATAAATATATTGCCATTGGCTATGGGAACAGCGAATGCATTAGCTAATTCCTGTGGTTTAAACTGCCCAATCGTTACTTTAAACTTATTTTTAACTAACAGTCTATCATCTGATTGCTTTCCTCTCTATAAAGTTATCTTCCCAGATGATTCAAGTAAAATATTTTTTATCATCTTTTCAATGGGATTTCATGCAAATCTTTTGCATAAGACTACATTGGATCCTTTTTATAGTAAGATGGGGGTTGAAAAGTTTCAATTAGCCAGTAAATATATTTTTGAAAATTATGATTTCAAAATACCCATAACAGTGAAATATTCTATTAAGAATAATAATAATGATGGTCCTCCGTTATTGATACTAGATGATCTTTGGTCATATTTCATCTTAATTAATGTGCCATATTTGGAGGAAAATTATATCCCATCACCTGAATCCGATCCGTTTAAATCTGAACTACATGTATTAGGATATTTAAGCAAATTATCTAAAAGTGATTTATATAATAGGATTATGAAAGGTTATTCAAATTGTATAGGTGACAAAATTGATTTTTTAGATACAAGATATGAACCTGTAAATAGAGATATTGCAATTAAATTGTCACCTGTTAATGGAAATTGTTTACCCAAATATTGTTATGAAATTTGTTGTGATGGTTTGCTATTTAATTTACTAGATTTTGAGCCAATTTCAAAGACAAGAGAAAATACAATCTTCATTGATTTTATCGGTTCCAGGATTGGAAATTATTATATCAATTGTTTTAGACCGTTTTCTTGAAAAATTGAAATTACATAAGTATATAAAATATTAACTAACTATAATTCAGTTCCTTATGTTAAAATAAGATTAGAAATGTATGTGATAATCTAAATTTTTTATATCAAATAATTGAAAATTTTATAAGAGCTTATAAAAGAGTTAAAATAATATGTAATATAGTGTACAATAATTATATATGTATATGAAGTATGCAGAATAGAAGGGGACAAGCAATACAATAACAATTTATAGTACTACTAAATTCCTACTATAAATAGGTGAGAACTTATAATATCACCAATATCCTATTGTAAGCTACGTTATTTTATTATATTAATTTAAAGTGAACACTAATAGAATTTCTGATTCTAAATCCTTATATCAACACGTTATATGAAAATCTTAGTTGTTGTTTATTTTTTTTTCGTTGAAGAGGAAAATTATGTTTAGTGGTGTAAACGAAGCTTTTTTCTTGGAAAGAAGTCGTTAATTTGTAAAAAAAGTTAAAAAAAAATTACTAAAGCAATTAATATCTATTCTGCTTTTCCAGTATGATATCTCTTATCATGTAAACATATACAGAACAATGCAATATTTAGTCTAATCTCTCTGAAATATTAGTATTACATTCTTTACAATATATATATGCATGTATAGCAAGATAAGATAATTTTATTTACATATTTAACCAACCCTTTACAAGCTAGATATCCTCTTTGTCATTTTTCTTCTCATTGCTGGATCCTTCTTCCTCCTTGCCCCTGTACTCTTCCTTTATTTTCTTATTAATAACATTTTCAGGAGAGGGTTCATCAACAGATGATCTTTTCAAAGAATTGTTAGTAATATTACTTTCATCTGATGAACTACTCTTTGTTGTCTCTGAAGTATTCATATCTGAAACAGTTCTATCCATCAATTGTAGAGAAAATGTTGGTTTCATCATAGATGTAGTATTTCCAGCAGACGACATAAATACATTTTTATCCAAAGGTGAAGTAAAAGGGTTAATATTGGAAGGAGTCGATTGAAATGACAGTGGGAACGCTAATTTACTTGCAGAATTAGCACTGTTATTGTCAGGCTTGGCAAATGGTGATGATTTATTGATATTAACAGTTTCTGGTGTTTTCTCAATTGCGAGAGAGTTGTTAGATGCCTCTTTTGTTTCTTCTTTCAGAGAGTCATCCTTTAATTGAGATTCTAACTTAGATATCTTTCTTTCTAATAAAGTAACTTTCATCAAAACCTGTTGTCTACCCTCTTCAAATGCTTTACTTCGAACTTTTTGCATATTTTCTTCGTGATTCTTTTTTAAAGCTTCCAATTTTGTTTCAGCCAACTTTATATATTTATCATTTAAATTCTTTTCAATACCCTCTGTTATCCCATCATAGGAAATAGTTTCTGGTATGGATTTCCTCACTTCAGCTAACTTATTCTCATATTCCCTCTTAAGATTACTCATAAACAATATCTTTTCCTCCTCAAATGTCTTCTTCATAGATTCAACGATATTTGATATATTATTTTTTTCTGTTAAATGACTTTCCTCTTTTAAAGCATTCAATTCTGTGGTTAAACTTTCAATTTGTTGATTAAGCTCTTTTATCATACTATCTGATACACGAATATTATCATTCAATTTAGTTTCAAGATCTTTTGATCTCTTTAAAACCGAAGCCAATTCTTTTTGTAAATTATCAATGGTAGCTTTATCACTTTCACCCTCTTTTACAATAGATTCTAGTATATTAATCTTTGACTCACTAACGTTCAAATGCTCTTGCAGCTCTGAATTGCATGTTTTCAATGTATTTACCTCTGCAGTCAAAGAATTGATAACACCTTTAGATTGATCCAATTTCTCGTGTGCTTGTTTTTTCAATCTATTAAATCTATCTTCAGCATCCAAGGACTTTTGTTTATATTCTTCAAGCTGTGATGCCATCTGTACTGCTGTAGTGCCAGAGATCTGTGGTTCTAATGAATGAGATACTACGTTCATCTTATTTACTTTCTCCATATCTGATGAAAGCACTCCCAATTGTTTTCTTGTATTTGCCAAAGCATCACGAAGTAATTTTTCTTCATGTTGAGAGGACACTAATTGGTTCCAAAGTGCCTCTTTTTCACCAACCAATTTTGCAAATACTGATGTATCAATATGGTTGCCACTATTATTAGTTTGTTCCGTAAGATTTTCTTGATTCTGATTGATATCATCTGATACAGATAACTTGGATGTATAATGTGATATTTCTTTTTGATAATGAAGCCTCTCTTCTCTCCAAGCTATTTCCTTCTCACTTAAAATCTTGGAAGATTCGTCAACAGTTTGTTGAAGTTGTTCTAATTTCAACTTGTATCCTTCAATGTCATTTTTTAATGCTAGTGTTTCTTTTGTTGCTAAATCTTTCTTAGATATTACTTCATTATATGATTTTTCTAAATGAATAATTTTTTGATTTAATGAATCTTTTTCTAACTTATTACTTTCAATTGTCTTTAACAAATCTTCTTCCTTATTAGATAAATCTGTAATCCTTGATGACAATTCATTCGCTCTTGCCTGAACTTCTTTTTGCGCTCTAAGTAGATTATCATTGCTTGCTTGCAAAGAATTTATTTCTTTATTCTTCATAGTTAAATCACTATTTAAGGCTATTATCTTTTTTTCATAGTCATTTTCCATATCTGATAACTTATTATTCATATCAATGAATTTTCCTTCATTTTCATTCTTCCAATGTTTCACAGCATTTAATTCATCAGTTAGAGCTATATTTTTTTGTCTATAATTAGAAATTTGCTGATTCAATGTAACAATATCTTCTTTTGATAATCTTTCTTTCATTTCAAAGGATAATTTCACACTTTCAAGATTATTATTTATACTTGTTATGGATCTTTCCAATTCATTAATAATATTGTCTTTTTCATTAATACGTTGGTTCAAATGTTGTTTTTCTGTCTTTAACAGGTCTATATTCTTCTGATACCACTTCAAATTATTGCTTTGATTACCTGCCTCGTGCAACTTCAAAGAATTTTGATCATTGAGTTCTTCAATCAATTTCTTATTCAATAATTCTAGTTGGTCTCGCTGTTGTGATAAATTAGTTATTTCTATATCGTTGTTTGACATTTTAGATTTCAATGATATTAATTCAGCCTCATACAAACCTATAGTCTCATTTGCTTGTTCCTCTCTTTGCTTCATTATTTCAGCCGCAAGATTCAATTTTTTAATCTCTATTGTTTTTAAGTCAATGTCGTGGCTTAAAGAATTTTTTATTCTGACACAATTATTATGCTCCTTCTTAATGTCAATAACCTCACATTCAGCTTTCTGCAGTAAACTACTTAAACTTTGAACTCTACTCCTATTATGTGAAGTTTCCTGTTCAGATATCTCTAACAAATTTTCTAATATCTTGATTCTGTCCTGTAATAATACTTTTGAAGATTCTGTCTTCTTATTTTCGAGAATTAATTCGTCACTCTTGACCTCTAAATTTCCAACTTTCTCATTTAGTGATTCAATTTTTGCTAAGTTTTTATCAATAGTAGTTTGTAATTCTTTTTGTAATATTTCAAAATTTTGTAATTTCGTCAATTCTTCCTTTAAGTGCTGTTTTTCAATATCTTGTTTCTCAATAGTATCTATATGTAATTTTATTTGTTGGTTTAGATCTTTGATCTTAAATTCCAATTCACTTGTATAGTTCTGTAATTTTAATAACGCACTCTTTGCATCGTTAATAATTTGAAAGTTATCCTTATTAGTTTCTTTTTCAGCTTCAAGCGTTTCTAATTTATCTGATAGGGATCTTACTGTATTTACCAATTTTATATTCATTTTCTGTAGTCCAACTATATCCTTGAATTCGACTAATTCCTCTGATATTATGTGTTGCGAATCTACAAGATTGATATCTTCATGATCATTTATGCCTTTACTATTAGATGTACTAGATATTAATTGTTTCAAAAAAATCAATTGTTTTTCTGACAATATTGGGGGGTTTTTACGATTGCGAATGGATAAATTAATTAGTATGTATTGTAATTGGTGAGCTAAATCCGTATTTGTTCTTTGCAAAGTATCAATTTGATTGTTCAATTCAATAATGTGATTGTTACTTTCTTCTAGTTGAAGTTCTTTTGTGGTTAATTCCTCACATTTATTTTCCACCAATAATTTAGAATCTTTTAGTTTATTATTAAGTGACTGGATTTCTTCCTTAAAATTTTCAATAGTCGGTAACTGAGTTTCTAAATCAGTTATATATTGTTCTACTTGAGACTCTAAATCAATTTTGCGGGAATTTGCATGATCTAAATCCTTCTTCAATTGTTCCAATTCTTGAACATATAACTTGGAAATATTATTTGAATTTATAATATGGGACAAACGAGCATTTTCTTCTTTTAAAGTGTGATTATTCTGAATTAACCCATCCACTTTATTGAAGTAGGATTCTGACCTCTGATATCTGATTAGTTGAGAATTTAGCGAATGTATTTGTTCTTCTTGTGATGCTGTAATCTTTTGCTGTAAAGTGATATCTTTCTCATACTGGTTTTGATTTTCCTTCAGAGTATTTTGTAAATTATGTATTTTTTTCAAATGAATATGGTTTTGCTCATCTAAACTATGGACATTTTGATTCAATGTCTTTATTTCATATTCCTTTAATTTATTTTGATCTTTTAAAGACAGTATAGTAGCTTCCTGTTTCTGCAATTGTAATTGAGAATTCCTTTGATTATCGAGAAAGTTATTCCTTTCTGTCATAAGTTCCTTAGATAGAGTATCAATTTTTTTCTCCAACAATGCTACAACTTTATTCATTTCATTGTCTGTAGATTTCATAACTTTATTTTCATCACGCAAGGCTATTAACTCTTTATAATACTCATTTCTTTGTCGCGACACTTTCTCTAAATAAGGTTTCAACACGTCCAATTCATTGATGACATTAATCTTTTCATCATTTCTATCTCTTATCAATTTTAGCAATGCTTTTTTTTCTTGAAACCATTGATTATGGCAACAAGATAAAAATTGTTTTAAATGGATTTTTGTTTGTGGATCTAGTGATTCATAATTAGGATATTGTAGTAATCGACTATCTAAGGCTTCATCATTATTTGTTATTACACTGTTACTAGAGTTTTCAATGTCATTCGACTCAGCAAGTTGTGAATTTTCAACAGAAGTGGTATCCTTTTGATTATTCTCTATATGTTCATTGTGACCATTTTCTGTGCTATCATTATTATTCTTATCAACATCAGCTTTCTCTTCAGAACAGCTGGAAAACTGAGACATTTCAATTGAGTATCAGAATAACAATAATTTATTCGTCTGTCTTGTATATTACAAACAACCAGCTTCACAAATAAAAAAAGAAACCAAGACTTTTTAGCTTCCATGTCTCTATATGCCTATATAAACACAATGCTTTTTTTTTTTTTTTAGTTGATACCTCTTGTTTTAAATCTCTTTTTATTTTTTGACCTCATTTTTCCTTTTTTTTGTTTTTGTTTGTTTCTTCCACTGACCAAATTTGTTAGGGGACATATTGACTGTTGAACATTCACAACATCTGTACATCCAGAAATTATTTTTGACCATTCTGAAAAGGCGAAAAAGATCTTTTTGTATCTGACACACAAATTTCCTAAACAGGTATCTACAAGTTTTTTTTGCGACGAAAAATGTTACAAGTCGGATGCTTCTTTAAAAAATTCAGTACATTTTTGCTTCTACGCTGCACGAAGGACAGCAGGCCAAATATGAGACACTGGCGTGCTCACTAACAATCAGAAAGGATGAAGAAATCTGTTTTTTTTTTCTACCGCTACAGCCTACAGGGAGCCATACACATCACTTGGACTAGACAACCAATCCCTTGGCAGACCTCTGCTTATTGCATACCTTTCTTCCTTCCTAGCTAAGAGGTAAGACGGTAGGCAGCGGACTGTTGAACTTCACAGGGAGAACAATTTGCGTACTGTGTTGCGCTGCGCCATGCTGCCGTACCAATCAGACGATTTTGAATGGTTCATTCTTCCTCCCTCGTCTTTCTTCCCTGTGTATGTGCAAAACCATCTAATGCACTTCTTATGTTTATTGACTGTGGGGAGAATGAGGAAGAGGAAGAAGGTCCTGATGGAAGAGCTTAGTAGAGAAGTTGGAGACATACAGGAAAGTTTCGTAATCCTATCATTCGCCCCACTAATGGCATCAATCCTCCTTCACGTCTTGTAGTATACAAGAGAAAAAAAAGAAAATGTATCTGTTTAGTGCCATTATTGCACAAAGATACTCTCGTATTTCTGCTGGCCCATCTTGTTTTGCGTATTTGTTGTGCTTAGCGTGAACTCTTAATTCACAGTCGCTTGGATCAATTAACAAGACTGCAAGATTCAAAATGCAAATGTATGTACCGTTTAAAATTAACATTATTATGAAAGAGGATTAAAAAGACATACTGTTACTCGATATTAAATAGACGAAAGCCAAAGTAATAAGAGAACTAAGTATTGATCGTTGTAGTTAGAAAGAGCAGAATGAAAATATGTTTAGTAAGTTCATATTAATAGTAAAATGTACAGTTTGGATTGCCTTACAGTGAATGTTAAACGTATAAACTATCAAGTATATTTCTGATTGAGAGTTATATAAAAGTATATGAGAAAGGAATAACAATATTGGGAGATTCTAGTGGTGAGTGAATGTCTTTTATCATAATTGTTTGTTTGACAACTTATTCCATTTGATGTATTGATCTTTTTTTTTGTTTACTATTTGCAATGGTGATTTATGAGTGTTTTATGGTGTGTACCTAGGTATCGATGTCTACGGACTGTATTTTTCCTCTTTTTAGTTCCAGGAACAGTGTGTCTCTTTTCACCTCAAGAATGCTACAAAATACAGGTTAGTATCAGCCATCATCCTTTACTAACAACTAATAATCATATAATATAATATTCCATTTTTATTGGTTATATTTACTATTCATGATGTCAATCTTCTCTCCTTTTTTACTCTTTTCTTTTTTTTTTAAACAGTTTTGTTAAGACTTTGACTGGTAAGACCATTACTTTAGAAGTTGAATCTTCTGACACCATCGACAATGTTAAGTCTAAGATTCAAGACAAAGAAGGTATCCCACCTGACCAACAAAGATTAATCTTTGCTGGTAAGCAGTTAGAAGATGGTAGAACTTTATCTGACTACAACATCCAAAAGGAATCTACTTTACATTTAGTCTTAAGATTAAGAGGTGGTATCATCGAACCATCCTTAAAAGCTTTAGCTTCCAAATACAACTGTGAAAAGTCTGTTTGCCGTAAGTGTTACGCCAGATTACCACCAAGAGCTACTAACTGTAGAAAGAGAAAGTGTGGTCACACCAACCAATTACGTCCAAAGAAGAAATTAAAATGATTGAATCGTTTAGAAAGATTAGTTTCTTTTTTAAACATTTATTTTTTGTATACATTTTTTAATATATATAAATACATATATTGCTAACAATTCAAATATTTTAGTTTTTGCTCTACTGTCTTATAGTTTATTGACTCGTTTCTTTTCTTTTCTTTTCTTTTTTTTGTATGTACTCATATACAGCATCTCACTCTTATGAAGGAGTATCTTGCAATAGTAAGTTATTGAAACCTTTTTTCTTGTACCTTCTATACAGTATATTATGATAGATTGCATACCAAGATTTATTTAATTATTACTCCTATTTTCATGATTGTTATTGAAAAAAAAAAGTGCATGTCTCCATGCGTTCATAGATCATATTATATTACATTATACTATAGTATATCGTGTTATGTCATATTACATATATATAATGTTACAGCGTAATCATCATTTTCATAAAATATTTATTTATACGTAGCAGTAAGTAACTTATGTACTTGTCCATCTAAACTCATAACTTTTTGTCATTTTCTTCGTCAAAACAGTTTTCTTCGGCATCAGCAACCACCATATCATCCTTTTCATAATCCATTGCATTCATAGCGTCTTCTGTTTTGTTGTATTTTTTGAAACATAACCAAAACAAGCAACCGGAGATGAAACTTGCGACAGCTAAACCAGTGAACAACCATGTATAGTCTGGATCCTTAGCGACTGGAGATAAAGCACAACCGATAGCGGAACCGAAGGCATTAGTAACCAAGAAGATAGACATGATAAAGGATTTCATAGTAGCCGGAGCCTTAGAGTAGGCATATTCCAAACCGGTGATAGATGCAAAAATTTCACTAAGCGCAATTAAAACGTAAGCAGGGACTTGCCATGCCACATGGACATGGTTTGGTGAACCAGATTCTAATGGGTGGTTGTAATTTGGAGCAGCTCTATAGATAAAGGATTGTAAGACGGCAGACCACACCATAGATAATGAACAAAAAACGAACCCCCAGAAAATCTTGGTGATTGGTCTGAATGGAGTCCATCTTCTAATTGTTGGATATAAGAATCTTTCCACGATTGGAATGAAAACAATCAATGCAATAGAGTCGATACATTGGAAGAAATCATTTGGTAAACCGTGCAATTCCATCATACTACCTTGAGTGATAAAGGAACTGATCATTTGACCGTAACAAGTCCAATAGATTGGATAGAATAGAAAAACTTTACAAGCAGCCAAAGCTCTTTTAATTTCGTCAACAAATTTGTCAGTCCATGGATAATTCTTTTCTGGGTTCATGGTTGGTTTAGCTTTATCGAAATTGAATCTATTTTTCATTAGGATCCATACGACTTTAAAACTCTTTTCGATAACTTTATCACCGATAGGGCGTTTAATATATTGATTTCTACCTAAAACCAAGACGATGACACCTAACCAGAAGAAACAGAATGGCAATAGATAAGCAGCCCAGAAACCGATGTGTAATTCCAACTCAGAAGTAGCAATGACAGAAAGAGAACCGATGTTAATCATTAAATAGAAGACCATGAAAACGTTTTGCAAAGTGATGTTTGAGTCCTCAATAACTCTTTCACCACTCTTTAAAGTCTTTACTCTTGGTTTTCTCTTTGGTATTTGATCAGCGATTAAAACAGACAAGTTGGCTTTAATCATACCGGTAGCCAAACCGATCAAAATGATGGCAGCGATGAAACCACCAAGGGCTTTGTCTCTATCAGTAATGGATGGGATTGAGGTCATGAACAAGATAAACATACCGACAAGATATATACCAGTACCTGCGGAGATAGTATTGTATTTACCCCAGAAGGTATCTGATAGGTAACCACCTAAAATTGGGGTCACATAACACCAGAACTGGAAGAAATAAGAAAGACCGTTAGCACCAGTACTATTTAATTGCAAAAGACCCTTTGGAGTGTCGTTCGGACCGTTAGCCATATAGTTTTGGAAAGGGGTGGATAAACCATAGTAAGAGAATCTTTCGGCCAATTCAACAATGGCAATTAAATAACATCTTATAGGGATTTTACCTGGAACGTGTCTAAGAGTCTTCAATTCCTCCTCAGTAGGTTCTTCATAACCTTCCTCATCCAAGCCGTCATCATCTTCATATGTTCTACTTATTTCATGCTCGTTATATTCATCATCATTAATAAAGTGAATAGTGTCGTCACTGTTATCACCGATATCGTCTTTTTTAATTGAATTTTTTCTATTTAAAGAGATGGACTCTTCACCTTCGAGAACGACTGTTCTAAATTTATCTTTTTCCCCTAAATAGGAATCAGATGAGACCTGTGTAACCATTATTTACAATGAGTAATATGTGTTTATTTATTTATCAGATGAAATAAATGGAAATAAAAAAAAGAAAAATAAAAATTAAATGTGGATTTTTTTTTAAAAAAAAAAACAAACTACAGATGCAAAATACTTCTTTTTGAATATGAAAAGGACAAAAAAAAAACAAAACAAAACAAATCAATGAAATATATATATAAAATAATTTATGCAATAAAAATAACTTTATATTGATATTTCTACGAAGATAATTAAAGTTATGTGTTTGTTGTTAAATCAAACTCAGAAACAGTAACTTAGTAGATGTCTTTCTTCTTTTTATTTTTATTTTTTCTCTTCTTCTTGTTCTATATCTGATAGTACAATCGAACAGCAACGAAAAAACAAATAACTAAGATGACAAGAGAATACTAAGTGGAAAAGAAGAAGAAAGACAAAAAAAAGCCCAGTAAAGAAGATATATCAACTTTCTTATATGATCAGAGTCTAAACAGAAGATAATATTCGTTCGTCAAGGCTTTTATAAATCTAATATATATGATTAATTCCTGCTGTAAGAAAACAACAAAACAAGAGAAAAAAAGACAAAACACAATATAAAAAAGAAACTTCAAGATCAGCCAACCCAAATTGCCACAATATTCTCTATTGCACAAATCTTAGGGTCTTTATTAAGTTAACGGGAAAAAAAAAACTGAAAAGAAAAGAAAATAGGAAATAGAAAATAGAAAATAAAAAAATACTTGAGAAATGCGTATGCAGGAAATTATTACACATTACAAAAGATATGATTTGACTGAAAAGAAACGATCAAAAAAGAGAATAGATAGAAAGAGAATAGATAACACTGGATTTTGATAAGAGATCCGGACATAATCCAGTCATCGTTGTCTCTGTCTCTGTCTTTCTTTTTCCTTCTTTTATTTTGTGTCTTTGCCTTGTTTTGCATGGATTGGGAGGGAGGGGGAGAGGGAAAAGAAATAGAGAAGAAAATAGAATCAAAAAAAAAAACAAAAAACAAAAACTAAACACAAAAGCAAAAAGATCAGTCATTCGATGAGACAATTAATAATAATCAGCTCTTTCTCTGCTTTTTTTTCTTTTCTCTCGAACGGCATCCACATTAAAACAATCGAGAGACAAGCCCACGCTTCGTAGAAGTTGACACAAAAAAATTGCAATGGTATTTTTTTTTGTTTTTGTTTTCGTCCACTGCTTGAGTCAAAACAGAATGACACAAAACTTTTGTACATAATACAGGCACCATTTGAATAATAGAATCCACGGCTCTAAATTTTTTTGGACGACCAAAGCAAAAAATAATAGATCCTTCCTAATCGGGAAATCTGACATTGATTACATATAGCTTTTTTTTCTTTATTTTTTCTTTATTTTTTTTTTCATTTCCATGCTATCGATCAGTGTTTCTTTCTATACAATACAACACAATAAAAAGGGCTAGGCGGCATTAAAAAAAGTGGCATTTCCTGATTTGGTAATACACAATTATTTCATACTTCGTGATATTATTTTCGCGTTATGTTTCTTTTTCTTTTTTTTCTTTTTTCTTTTTCTTTTTATGCTTTCCGTGATTCTTTTATCTTTATCATAGAACAGTAATCATTAGACTAATAAATATTTAAAAGAAAGTCCAATAACGGTAATGTCACATTTATTTGCTTATGAAGAGATGAAAGGAAAGATAGGAGATAATGTGGTTACTTCGAAAACTGTGTCTGTATACACAATTTACTTCAGAACATGCGAGATAGAAGAAAAACAACATTGTGTCATTCAGTTTGAAAATATATCTTCTCTTTTTAATGTTAATTTTTATGGCTGTTATCACAGTTTTTACACCCCTCTTTTCTACTTTTTCTTCTTCTTTTTCTTTTTTTTTTTTGATTGCCTGTTTGACAATTTATAGATGATTAATGATTAATTGTACAATAAAAGAAGATAACATAAAAAAAAGGTGTATTGAAGCAAAAAAGAAATAAAGAATGTGCGAAAGTTTATCTTCTTTTTTGTTTTTTTCAGTTAACATAAAGTAAGATAAGCAATATAAAAATACGTGGTATTATTTGATGGAAACACTCCTTTGATAGCAACAATTTAATGAAATAAGAACAAAAGAATTAATATTACGCATCAACAAAAAAGGAATGTTTCTTCTCTCTCTCTTGATTATCCCTATATTAAAAACAGTATATAGTTTACCCTATCTAATATGAAGTAAAAAACATGGAGATCCAAACGAAAGAAAAAAAAAGAAAAATGTGCACTTGTGTGAACATTAGTGATCAATATTCTTATAAAAAAGATATAAAGGTGAACACACTGATCTTTCCTTTCTAAAATATTTCTGCGATGTATAAATGGATAAGAGATAAGATAAGGAAGTAAACCCGATCAAAATTTATTATTAAAAATATAGCTATAAGGAAAAACAGTCCGTTCGACCCTTGTCAGAGGCCAAAAAAGGATGGTACAATCAAAAGAAATAAATTAATCGCAGAAACTCTAAAGACTTTTTTTTTTTGCTTTTATCCAAAAATTTTAATATTTTCTTGTTTTTCCCTTTTGGGGAATCCTTCGAGTTTTTGGTTTTTCTTCTTCTTCCTTTCTTTTTTTTCAATTTTTTTCATATTTTCTTTTCGAAGTTTTGGTGTTGGTGGGTGAAAGCTTTCATTGAATTTTCAATATTCCGATGAGCTCTTGCATAAATCACAATTAAAAATTTTTAAACACTTGTTACTAAATCTTTGTATTTCGAATTGATGTTGACTAGTTTAATACCGAAATCATGTACCTTATTATTATTCTACGATACAAAAAAGAAAAATTTCTTGTATTTTCGTCTAAATTCCCCTCGTTTTTCAATTTATTTAATATTCAAGTGCATAATAATAATAACATCAAATTAAAATATATATATATACATAACAAGATTTATTAAACGACAAAGATGTGTGCTGCAAAATTAAAGCATGAAAAACCACCCAAATTAAGCACTAAGGAAAAAGTGAAGGAACTGACTTCCTCCTCCTCCTCGAGTGCATCATCTTCTTCAAGTGAATCTTCCTCAAGCGAATCTGATTCTGATTCTGATTCCACTTCCACTTCCACTTCCTCTTCCTCTTCCTCATCTGATGATGAATTAAGTTCTTCCAGTTCCTCTAATAACTCTACTAGTGATTCTGATTCTGATTCTGATTCCAGCTCCTCCAGTAACTCTACTAGTGATTCTGAATCTAGTACCAGTTCAAGTGAATCTTCAAGCAACTCAGATTCTTCCAACGAATCATCTAGTGACTCAGACTCTTTCAGCGACTCAGAATCCAACTCAAGTTCCGACTCTTCAAGCGATTCTCCTAGCGACTCAGATTCCTCTAGTGATTCAGAATCCAGCTCAAGTTCTGACTCTTCCAATGAGTCTTCTAGCGACTCGGATTCCTCTAGTGATTCAGAATCCAGCTCAAGTTCAGACTCTTCCAGCGATTCATCTAGCGACTCAGACTCTTCTAGTGATTCATCTAGCGACTCAGACTCCTCTAGTGATTCAGAATCCAGCTCAAGTTCAGACTCTTCCAGCGATTCATCTAGCGACTCAGACTCTTCTAGTGATTCATCTAGCGACTCAGACTCTTCTAGTGATTCATCTAGCGACTCAGACTCCTCTAGTAATTCAGAATCTAGCTCAAGTTCTAACTCTTCCAGCGATTCTTCCAGCGACTTAGAATCTGGTTCAAACTCAGACTCATCCAATGAGTCTTCTAGCGACTCAGATTCCTCTGAAAATGAGAATGTAAATAATAAAAAGAGAATAAGAGAAGATAATGACAATGAAGCTACAAAGGAAATAATCAACTCTTCCTCTTCCATTACGAATAACACTAACACTAACAATAACAACAATAGTAACAACAACAGTACTAAGAGAAAAAAGTTGAATATATCTGCAGGTACTGATGAAATAAAAGAGGGACAAAGGAAACATTTCTCTCGTATTGAAAGAGAAAAGATTTCATTTGAAGCCTGGGAATTGACAGATAACACATATAAAGGTGCGGCAGGTACTTGGGGTGAAAAGGCAAATGAAAAATTGAGTAGGGTTCGTGGTAAAGATTTCACAAAGAACAAAAATAAGATGAAGAGAGGTTCCTATAGAGGTGGTACTATCACTTTAGCTTCTGGTTCATATAAATTCATTGATTAAATAGTGTTTATGTATATAAATATATAGAATTATTAGTGTATATGTAAAAGAATCGAAAGTGTATCAATAAAAGGCATTGTATATATAATGATACTATTATGGTCTGATGGTCTTATATTTTGATTTTATAAACAATTTATGCAATAATATATATATATATATATATTTATATATTAAAGGGAATAGGATATATGAACTTAATAGTTAACATCTTTTCTTTTTAATAATACTTTTCTTTTAGAATTTCTCATCATATTTTCATTATTATTATTATTATTACCAGCTATATAGCGAAATCTTTTTTCTTTTGATCTTGATGATTCTAAAATTAACATGTCATTTCCATCCAGCTCTAAATCTCTTGAATGCCTTTTGGATTGATTGACAGCATCACCAATATTCAAATCAGAAAGAGACTTATAAGACGAATCATTTTGTAAAGACATCAAAGTTTTATTTATTCTAATTTTCAATCCATTGGATATCTTTCTAAATGGTAGAATATTATTTTCCAAGTCCTCATTGTTACTATCGAAATTCCCAGTGGCTTGAAAAGTTGACTCCTTCTCTAATGTATTATAGGAGGAACAACGACTAGGTAAATATATATTTCCAACATAATTGATTCTAGAACTAGTTAGACCAGGTGATAGGGATAATGCACGTTCATTGATGGGTCGTTTTGGAGTAGTCAATTGAAGTAACATTCCAGAAGCATTAACATCAATTAATGGGTCTTTAGTTATATTATCTTTACAATGACAATCATTATTTATGTAGGTAGAAGAGTCAGGTGAACAGTTGTGCATTTGACAAGTCATCATATTTTTTTACTGGGGTAGTTGGTCTATATATAGATTCAAATTGTATTATTTGATCGTCTAAACTATCTACAATTTGAGTCATCATATACATATACATATACAATGTGTGTGTGTGTGTGCCTGTATCTCTAGATAAATATTTATCGCTGCTAATATATTTTTATCAATCTTCAATCTTCAATTCGTAACATTGACTAACTTTCCCCTATTGTTAATTTGAATTCAAAAAAAAAAAAGAACTTAGTGATATACAATTAATATCTACTCCTCTACTAACAATTGCAGTTGTCTTACTATGTTAATGGTCCAGAGACTATGTGAAATCAATTTGTGCAGATCATAAGATATGAATTAAACGTTTTTCCTAATACGGTAATTCATTGAAGATTTTTCTTTTAAAAATTTTTTTTCTATTTTCTCTCTTAAGTTTTTTTTTTGGGCGTCACTTCGATTCTTCCGCCACGCCTTCCCCTATTTTTTTTTTTGTATATTTTTTTTTATTATTTTTGGTTTCCAACGTAATTTGTTCTTCTTATAATAGAATGGTATTTAGTAATACGGCTTAGTAATCGAGTAAACAAACAGTAGCACTCCATCGCTTTAAGATCAACATATTCTGAGATATTATTTCTTATTTTTTATGCAGTTACTAGCCAGCAATAATTTTATACTTAACATTACAGATCTTGTCTTTGTTAGACTGTTCGTTTGTATTAAACGTATTTATTTCTACTATATTTATATAGTTTTTATTTCTCTCTTATTTTTTTTTATTTAAATAATATAACTGAATGGTCAAATCTTTATTTGTTATTCCAACCTCATCATATCTAATAATTTGTAACCTTGTTTTGTATAGTAGTGCCGTTTTATAAGTCTTTTCCAATTTTATACAACACATAAGGTAATATATTAAATAATTTCAAACTTCCTAGGATATATGCATATTCACCAAAAGTATACAACTACACACACACACACACACACATATATATATATATATATTACACCATCTATTATAATTGTTCCTGGAAATTAATTAATCTTGTTCTTCTCTTCCGTACTGTGTTTTCCTTTTGGGTTAATTGCAGCTCAGATTTATCATTATCGTTTGATAAAGTTAATCCGTTCGAAATCAAAGAATCCATATCATGATTACCACATAACGGGATTTTATCGTTAAATATGAAATAATCCTGTGTGATTGCCCTCTTACATAAGAAACATTTTAAACAATTTACATGGTACCTTTCTTTCTTATCGTTCTCCAAACATTCGCCCTCAATAAACCCATTACATGATTTACAAATACTATTATTACTCTCATGGTAATGTCTTTGACAATATGGCATATCATTTAGTATATAACATGGTATCAATTTATTGAAAATGATTTCACAATCCGTACATTTAAAACATTTTTTATGCCATTGACCAGATAATTCACCTGGTTTCTTTGCATAAACACCCTTTGTTACAATCTCTAACCCACATGTTCTACATGGACCCTCTCCAGGTGGATACTTAGTTCTATTTCCAGATATAACCAATGAGCCAATATTATCCTTACCACTACCACAAGCACTAGCGTTGCTTGGTGTTGAAGTTGGTTGATCCTCCCTAGGCGATAATAATGAAGCAGATGAAGAATAAAAACTTGAATTAATATTTTGTTTGAATTTATAAAACGTTGGTGTTGTTCCAACTATTGAACTTGAATCATTGTAGTTGTTTTTATTAGTGTCACTTTTATATACGTTTCTATCCATATTTTTCTCAAATACATTGAAGTTCTCTTTGTCATTGGTTTCAGTACCTGTGTTCAAATTGATATTTTGAGGCAATATATCATTGGATGTTGGAGAAATGGTATTGATATACGGACCATTCATATATAACGAATCCGTGTTTAAATATGGTTTTTTAGTGCCAAGTTTATTAGTGGGGAATCCGGAAAGATATGCACTAGATTTTTTCAATCTGAACCCATCTCCTGAATTAAGTAAACTATCACCACCAATACCGAAACCATTATTATCATTATTAATGGAGATTGATGGATTCAATTTTGCATTTCTTGAGAATGACACATCATCTAATTGTGCAATTAATTGTTCTACATTCATGTTTGTGCTTGATTGTGATTCAATAGGGCTGGATAGTACAGTGGAGTCTATATGATTACCGACATTGATATCTGTATGGCTCTCGTATCTATCTATGTTATTATCACTATTCCACTTCAACGGTATAGTTTCATCATCTGAATGCATAGATATATGAAGGATATCATTCGGTTTAAAATCTACACTTTTAGCCTTTGATTCACGATATTTCAAATTTTCATCATTGTCAAGATTATCTTCGATTTTGTCATTCTCATCATTATCTCTATTATGCATAGCATTTGATTCATGGTCTGAATCTCTTTGAGTCAACATATGAAAACTTTTCTCTATTGGATTCATTTCTACGTCAGTCTTTTTTGCTTGCTCAAAATCAAACAGACTAGTAGAGGAATCTTTATTATTATAATTATTATTGTTTGATCGTATCTTTGAATCATGTGAAGTTACAACAGTAGATGTCTCTGAAGGAGCTGTGATTTGGATTTGGACATTGGGTTCAATTGGCTTAACATGTGTTTTTGCATTATTATTATCATTATTTTTATTATAAATAACATTAGTATTGATCATATTACCAATACGTGGATTTGCATTCAAGCAATCTGCATTACTTGCCTTGTTCCCCATAGCCATATCACATTGGATACCAGTACCATAATCCCTAGAATGACCACTATGATCATTTGAATGTATATTTTGATTAGTACTCCCGCCTTTATTGACCTCGAAACCGGCTCTCTCCAATGCTGTTTTATAGGGGACCCGTGGATTCAGTTTGGGAAAAGGCGACCCATACATTCCATTATACATATTAATCTAGATAGATTATTGCTTACTTTCACTATATATCGATATTCTTCCTTGAATTGAGGTAGAAAGAATTTCTTAACTGCATTGAACTATGGGTCTCTTTTGAAGAAATTGTTGGTCATCTTCTATAAATATTAAAATTCGATATTTTTCTATGCGAGTCTCAATTACAAGATGCACAGAGAAGAAAAGGTCACACACACAGAAAAATATCTATAGACAAGGGCATATACAAACTACAGTATAACATTCTATCAGTATTGATTAGGTTTACCCAGATTTATGGTCGTTTTAAACAAATCAACATAAAGTCGTTTTAACTGATTCCACACATATAATATACCCGCCTTCTAAATTAAGGTACACAAATATATATCTATACGTGGATACATACGACAATAGTTTGAAAGGGAGACCTGACAACAAACCATTCAACTTGATTATCTGTTTTATTTGCTTTATTATATTGACATAGAGGAACAATATACATACATACCTACATACATATATTTGATACTACTATTGAAATAAAAATGCCTACTGCTAATAGTCTAGTGTTATTTGGTAATTCCATCAATCGGGATGGTGAAATGACACAGCATTTAATTGAACAATATTATGAGTCTGTATTGAATAATAAATCAAAAGCTAAGAGGAGGAACTGTAGCAGATCCATACGTATTCCAATTGAATATGGTCAACAAACAAGTGCAAACAAGGATCAACCATCAAATGACAACAACAATAATAAAGATCATAATGAACAAGGAAATGAAGGTGAAGAAGAAGAGATAGAAGTAGAGATAGATTTAGATGAAGATAGTAAAGATACAGAAACTTTTGATATGGATATGGATACTGATATGGACATGGACCAAATTGAACCCATAACATTTTGGTCCAAAATTAAGTCACTTTGTTATAATATATTTGTTGGAGATTACCAAAAGGATTTACTTATTGCCAAACTGCAATCACAAAGAAGACACTCCATGTCGTATGCAGAATGGAGGCAGTCCGCACTACGATTGGATAATTTAACAAATAAAATCAAATGGAAACATAAGTTGGAATGCGGCCTTTATGATTACCAGTTGATTCAAAGTCTATTACATAAACTACAAAAGGCACGATTAAACGAGGATTATCATTATTTGCTTTATTTAATAAGGACAAACTGGGTCAGAAATTTAGGGAATATGGGTAACGTTAACTTATATCGACATTCATATATTGGGACCAAAAAACTTATTGATGAATATATTGATGAATCAAGAAGATGCATTGAAGCTCTAGTTAACAAATCAGATTTGGATGATGGATATTTAATGGGGATATTACAACAGACTAGACGAAATATTGGCCGTACTGCATTAGTGCTTAGTGGCGGTGGTACTTTTGGTTTGTTTCACATAGGTGTTCTCTCTACCTTATTTGAATTAGATTTATTACCTAGAGTCATCAGTGGGTCTAGTGCTGGTGCCATAGTGGCCAGTATATTATCTGTCCATCATAAAGAAGAGATCCCGTCACTACTGCAAGAGATTTTAGGCATGGAGTTCAATATTTTTAAAGATGATAAAAGGAAAAGTGAAAGTGAAAATTTCTTGATTAAGATATCACGGTTTTTAAAAAATGGCACATGGTTTAATAATGAACATCTTGTTAATACAATGATCTCATTTCTAGGAGATTTAACTTTTAGAGAAGCCTATAACAGAACTGGTAAGATTCTAAATATTACAGTATCACCAGCATCCTTATTTGAACAACCAAGATTATTAAATAACTTGACAGCCCCAAATGTGTTAATATGGTCAGCTGTTTGTGCCTCGTGTTCATTACCTGGAATATTTCCATCTTCGCCACTATATGAAAAGGACCCTAAAACAGGTGAAACAAGAATTTGGAATGGTTCAAGTTCCGTCAAATTTGTAGATGGATCTGTGGATAATGATTTACCAATATCAAGATTATCTGAAATGTTCAACGTTGATCACATTATTGCGTGTCAAGTCAACATCCATGTTGTTCCATTTTTAAAATTATCTGTATCCTGTGTTGGTGGTGAAATTGAAGATGAATTCAATGCAAGGTTAAGACAAAATTTAGGCAAAATGTATGATTTTTTATCCAACGAAATGATCCACATTTTGGAAATCGGTAGTGAAATGGGTATAGCGACTAACACGTTAACTAAGTTAAGATCTGTTTTGTCACAACAATATTCTGGAGATATTACTATTTTACCAGATATGGGAATGCTACGGAGGATAAACGAATTATTATCAAATCCAACAAGAGATTTTTTGTTGCGTGAGATTACAAATGGTGCTAGAGCAACATGGCCTAAAATATCTGTTATTGAAAATCACTGTGCACAAGAGTTTGCACTAGATAAAGCCATTACATTTTTAAAGGGGAAAATTATTGTTTCCTCTTCAATAAAGAATCCTTTACAATTCAGTGATTTCCCATTAATAAAGGCAAAACAAAATGGAGGAGACAAACAGAAGTGGAGGGAAGAAGAGAATAAAGAAGAAGAAGATATGGAAGCTGTAGCAGAAAGATTAGTGTCAAGTTACAATAATAACAACAACATTGGAAAAAACAATAAAGATACTTTGAAAAATCATGATCTTTCAATCCAAGATACCATGGAATTATCTTTTAAAAATGCTACTAATGTACTAGATGATAATTTATTAGAGACAGAATCGCCAAACTCTCTATTATTGCTGAATGAAAATATTGCCAATAAGACCTCAGTGACAACTGATCCATTAACTGGTAAAGTTAAAATCCAAACCAATCCATCTTCTTCTTCATCTACTGCATTAATTTCCTCATCTTTATCTAATAACATGATTGGTAGAAAGGTGCGCCGCAAATCAGATTCTGGCATGGTTACCTCCGGTGGATACTACTTCCAAGATCATAATATGAAACCATTACAGTTTAATATTCCATCCCCATCAACAGATAATATCCATGGTTATTCAAATATTCATAACAATATAGGATTACATAGGAGAAGATCGCAACTTTACACAAAAGGAAGTACTGGCCATATTTTTTTTCCTATGGAAAGAAGATCATGGAACTATACAAACCCGAATAGTAATACAACTACTAATACTACTACTAATAATAACAATAGTAATAAAGTTAATAGCGCAGATATAAATGCGCATACTTTTAAAACCGATAATCCAATGTTGTGGTCCTCACCATCACCTTTAGTTAATGAGATGGTTCCTGTAAATTCTCCTAGACCTAAATACAAATATCGCCCCTATTTCAATTATAAAAGTAGTAGAATTAAATCGCCATTTACTACAAGACCCAAATCAAATACTACAGGACAAGTTCACTTTAGTACAAATGATTGCAAAGATAATGCTGGCAGCAGAGTTGACAGTTACAACAAAAATGAAGATGATAACGTATATAGACAAAGCCCATCGTCATCATCTTCTGCTTCAGTAAATCCATTTTTTCCTGGAATGATAGAGAATGATTCACCACAACAGTCACATAATGAATATAGACGATATAGTGTAGATATCAGTCCCAGGGGAAGAAAAAACATTACTCATTTGACAAGAAGGCATCAACATAGCAGATCGATTGAATCACATAGTGATTCAAGTATTGTCACCAAGTCTGCAATATCAGCTACAACTAACAAGGAAACAAAGGACGATATTTTATCTTCTTCATCATTCATCAAAATAAATGAGCAACAAAAAAACGAAAATAATAACCATAATGACAATAAGACTAATAGAGAGTCAACAAACTCTATCACATCCCCTCCTGACTCATCTCCTGCATCTCGAGAAGATTTAGCATGATGACCATAAAGCTTGTGAGCATCCTTATCCATATCTACTTCCACCCTCCCATGTACAACATCATACGTTTGCGTTCATCTGTAATAAACATTCACTCTTCCACCAACTTCTCCTCTCCATCTATTCATCGTTATGAATATATTATAAAGCAATAGGGCATGCTTCTTTAATATTTCTTCTACTCTCCAAAAGTCGAAAATTGAAAAAACAAAAAAAAAGTCAAATCAAAATAGAACATTCAACAAATTAAAAATAAAATTGTTTAAGGCTTTTTTTTTTTGGGGTATAAAGTTTGTAACAAAAGTAAAAGGTGGAGAAACAAGAGAAGATAAAGTAGAGTATGTTATAATTATACACTAGACAACAACAACAACAGCAAAAACAACTAATTTGGAAATTAAGTGATTTCCCTATTTGATTCTATTATAATTTCATTCGACTGGTTATCAGGATTATGAGTACTGTAGGTGTTTACGAAAATGTTCCCGGTGAGGGTGATGAGACTAATGATGGAATGGATAATTTTAGCGAATCCATATTCAATGAAATAAATGATGACTTAGAAATGAGTTTGGAGAATGACAACCCTGATTTTCTAGATATCTACCATCTAACACCAAGACAGAGACTGATATATACAGTTAAAAAAGTGCTCTATCACTTATCTAATCAATTTTTTAAGTTACCTTTATGGCAACGAATTATAGCCACAGTTGCTACTGTATTATTTTTAATCTTGGGTATCATGTTTTTAATATTCCATAAAACTATTCTGAATTCTCTAGTAGAAACATCGAATAACTTAAGAGAGAAAACATCAACGCAGTTTATCTTAGGTCTATTGATTTTCACTGTGGCTTTCCCTCCATTAATAGGTTTTTCATTTTTGTCAACAAGTACAGGTCTAATCTATGGTGTATCTTTACATGGGTGGTTACTATTATCGATTAGTTCTGTCACAGGATGCATTGCCTCCTTTTATGTCTTCCAAAATATATTAAAGTCAAGGGCTCAGAGATTAGTTCACTTGAATAAAAGATTTGAAGCATTTGCTTCTATTCTTCAAGAGAACAATAGTTATTTGATACTTGCTTTGTTCAGACTATGTCCATTCCCTTACTCTTTGACTAATGGTGCTATTGCTGGTGTTTATGGTGTTTCATTGAAAAATTTTGCTATTGCCAACTTAATCACAACCCCAAAGATGTTTATATATCTATTCATTGGATCCCGCATTAAGAACCTTGGAGAGACTAAATCTACTGGTGAAAAGATGCTTGATTTATTTTCTATCTTATTTACTCTAACGGTCTTATTCTTTACTGCTTGGTTGTTATACTTCAAGACTCAAAATAAGTATCGTGAATTGATTAACAAGCAGAATCAAGAACAACAATCTATGTCTTCTGAAATCCCAGATTCTGTTTCATTTGAATTGTGAAAATTAATCATAGCGATGTCTCTCCATACTGATATATACATTTCTGCAGACACACACGCATATACACACACACACACACACATATATATATATATATATACTTATATTTATATAATTACAGTTTAGACATAAAGTTATTGTAGAAAAATAAGAACTTTTTTATGACCTCATAAATAATTACTTGTTTTTATTTTCTTGAAAATAAGTGTATCCATCATTCATGCCTATAATCACCAGCATAAAGATTTCTACTTCCTGACGAACCTATGTCCACAACAAGTATCCGCATTTACTAAGATTCAAAAAGTCATATGTTATTTAGAATTTTGACTCAATTACCAAAATCCATTTTTAATACTCGCTTGCCGATAATTCCATTTACGAAACCATTAAATCTTAAGAAGTTTAACCCCCAAAACAGAACATACCTCTACCATACCAGAAGAAGAGAAAATAATAAGAACTATCAATCATATTTTTACAATCATGATTCATATCAATATCAAAACCAATACTCTTACAAAAGATTTAACAGTAGTCCTCAACAAAATAGTAAGACTTTGTGGCAAGTACTAAATGATCCCTCCAACAGAAAGTACCTCTATATGATCCTTGGTGGCGGAGCTTTTTTCTATGTAACTCATTTAGAAGCAGCCCCTGTATCGTCTAGAAGAAGATTTATTTGGATTCCAAGATCTATTGAATTAGCTATAGGCAAATCTTCATATAAATCTATCTTAAATGAGACAAGACACAGTATCCTTCCCTCTAACCATCCAGTGTCTAAAAAAGTAGAAACAATTTTTACCAAGATCGTAGAGGCGGCAGCAAAAGACCCTTCAGTTAATACAACTCTTATAGATGGAATAGATTGGAAGATCCATGTAGTCAATGACCCCAGAGCGCCTCCCAATGCATTTGTTTTACCAGGTGGGAAAGTATTTGTATTCAGTAGTATCTTAAGGATTTGCGAAAATGATGATGGGATTGCCACGGTGCTATCACATGAATTTGCACACCAACTGGCTAGACATACAGCAGAATCTTTATCGAAGGCCCCCCTCTATTTAATGATCGACTTATTACTCTACTCTATCACTGGTATCCAAGGCGTAAATGGGTTATTAACCGATGCATTATTAAAAATGCCTGCTTCAAGACAAATGGAAACAGAGGCCGATTATATTGGACTGATGATAATGGCCAGAGCATGCTTCGATCCCAATGAGGCTGTAAGAGTATGGGAGAGGATGGCTGCATTTGAAAGACAACTTAAAGGTCAAGGTTCCCCATTGGAATTTTTGTCAACTCATCCTGCTAGTGAGAAGAGAATCCAAAATATGTTGAGCTGGTCTAATAAAGCTAATGCTCTTTATGAACAATCAGAATGTAACAGATATTTAGGCTATTATAAACCTTTTCAAGATATGTTTATGAGCCCATCCTGAAGTACGAGTTTCTTTTAATATCTGTCTTTTATAAATTATATTAATGAAATGAGGAAATATATATATATATATTTAATAATACATGCTAATATAATATCTGCGTATTAAAATGGCCTTTTCCTTCTCTTTAACCCAATTGTTACTATATTATTTTGATTGTTTGCATTGGTCCGTTTTTCAATAAATTTAGAACTTGGTGCATTATTTATATCTTTATTCAATTGTTTAATTGTTCCTTCTCTCCTAACTAAACAATATTTAATTCGTTCATCAATTATATCATCAGATTTATTCTTCTCATTACTAATCTCAAAAGAATTCTTTGAACCAAACAATGTTGTAATATTATCTTCATCATATGTTGATATCTTCTTAATATCATATATTAAGGGTCCAAATTCCATTAACCAAAATGGATTTACTGCAGTGACATAACACATATATTCCCTTGTTGTCATCAACAATTCATGATATACAACATAATTAGGAGGATCATCAATTCCAAATAACACACTTGTAGGGTGTAATTCAACTTTCATACCGGTTCTCAAATCTACATATCTCCTTAAACCAGTCACTTTAGATGCTTGGTGAGCAAATGCAGAACATATACATTTTCTCACAATATCCCAATTTGTACCTGATGATACTATAGGTATCTTATTCTTTTTCATAATTTTAATCAACTGATTTCGAATTTCTCGTGCCTTAACTAATGATCTATATATTAAAAAATGCTTTTCACACCATTTTGCTGAAAATTGATTCGATACCCATTGATTATAAACATTCAACAAGGTAAGATGATCGGACATAGGTACCAAAAATCTCTCCCTAGCAGAATCCGATTCCTTTTCACGTTCTTTTGGTCTATGGAATACTTGTGGAACGGATAACATAGATACAATGGTGACTAATTCTTCACTACATTTATTCTTGGATGCAACAATTAAAGCTTTTGACAAGGTAACTTGTAAAGGGAACTGTGCCATCTGTCTCCCCAAACTGGTCAAATTCCCATAGTTATTAATTGCTCCCAAAAACCATAATTCATACATTGATTCCAGCAAAGTTTGTAAAGGTGGTTTATCCAGAAATGGAAAATTAATGCAATCTTTAACACCCAATGATTTCAATAAAAGTAATGTATTTGTAAGACTTGTCCTTTGTATTTCTGGGATAGGTTGAATATACATATCCTCTTCTGCAGTCTCTTCGGTATACAATCTGTAAGCTATCCCGGGCCCTGTACGTCCAGCTCTACCGGATCTCTGATTAGCATTAGCTAAGGATATTGGTGTTACCATTAAACTATCGAGACCAATGCTTGGATTAAACACTTTTAATTTTGAGTAACCGCAATCGATAACGTATCTGATACCATCTATAGTTAAAGACGTTTCTGCAATATTAGTAGACACAACAATTTTTCTTTTAGATGGTTCCAATTTATGAAATATTCTATTTTGTAATTCAGGTGACAATGCAGAATAAATTGGGTAAATTTCTATATCATTAATTTCTTCAAAATTATCAATACCATGTTTTTTGGAATACACTTCAACTAATTTATTCTTAATTGAATCACATGTAATTTCAATATCTTCTTGACCGGTCATAAAAATTAAGACATCACCACTTGAAACAGGAGTTTGTAAATGGATTCTTACTGCTTCTATAACAGCTGCCTCAACATAATCATCTATAGATGTCTTGGAATAATTGATTTGTACCGGATAAGTTCTACCTGGAATAGTAAATTGAGGAGCATTACCAAGGAATTTTGAAAACTTCGTTGCATTCATAGTAGCTGAAGTAATGATCAATTTGATATCTTTCCTTTTAGTCAATAAATTTTTGAACATTCCTAAGAGCACATCTGTATTCAATGATCTTTCATGGGCTTCATCGATTATAATACAATTATATTTTGTCAAGAACGGGTCCAACAAAAATTCACGTAGCAATATACCATCAGTCATAAATTTTATCTTAGTATCTGAAGAGGTTATATCTTCAAATCTAATGGCATAGCCAACAGTGCTTCCTAATTGTGTATTCATCTCTAATGCCACACGTTTAGCTACAGATATAGCAGCAACACGTCTAGGTTGAGTGACTCCAATCATCATTGAATTAGAATTTCCTTTAGTGTCAGTATTATTATCATCATCAAAATTTCGACAAAACCCTGCCTCGTATAAAATCTGTGGCAATTGAGTAGTTTTACCAGACCCAGTCTCACCTATGACAATCACTACTTGATTAGATAATACTAATGAGATTAACTCATCTTTTACTTTATATGCAGGTAAATTAAGTCTTTGATTTTGTATCTCTTCTTGACTTTGAAGATATTTTTTATCAATATTTTTATTGTTGTGCAAAATTGTGTCTTTCTTGGTCATTTCAGTTGTGTCATTGTCTTGAACACCCAAAATAGCACCCATTGCCGTGTTAGCCAATTGTACATTTTGATGATTTTTGGTTTTTTGTTCTTTAGTCAATCTTTTAAGGTTAACCAGTTGACTACCCTTTCTTGCCATTTGAGAGAAAGTACTATTTGGATTTTTAAAGGGGTTAATAATTCCCATATGGGATGAATCAGAGATGGAACCAACGATAGCAGAAGTTGGAATTTTATATTTATTACAATAATCTAATAAAAATGATGGTAACCAATCTTTTTTTTTATCAATAGATACCGGGCATAATTGAACGTTCGAAAACTCTATTTGATCATCTTTTGCTAAGTCGTTAAAACAATAATAATAATCTTGTGTGTTTTCTTCATCATTATTTATTCTATCCGAATTATTTATAGCAGTCTTCTTACCTGAAATAGTGACAGATATATTAGGAGAAGGTTTAATAAAAGGATTCTCAGAGCCAACATATTTTGAATTTGAATATTCTTTTAGCTTTGAAGCTGTAGATTTCTCTAATTTTTTAAAGATTATCCTTTTTGGATCAATTTTTTTTACATTAACACTTTGTTTCTTGGATAAGTAATCAAGCTCATCATCCTCTTCATTCCCATACCCATCCTCATTATCAAATGAGAGTGGAATCAATCTTTTTCTTTTCTCTGTTATCTCTAAAAGGGTTGTGTTTGTCTTAGACATTCCAATATCACTACTATTATTAGTATTAGTATCACTATCCATGTTGTGCACTTTATTTTTGCGATTAGTACTATTACTATCACTATCACGAAGTTTCGAATATAATTCCTTAAAAAAAGTTAATCGATCAACACCACCCCTTAATTTAAGTACCACAGAAACAGCATTATAAAAATCATCAAAAGTGTTTTTGGTGATAGCCAACCGTTGTATGATTTTAAATAAATTTGGTGTTATTGAGCTTGTTGAATGGGCTTGGATCCATTTAGACAAATCATCGTTCATGACTCAGCTCAGTATAAATACAGTTCACCACTCTTATAACAATATCAAACTTTTAAATATTAGAAAACTTATTACCTACTTATACTTACTCAATTATCTATTTATTTTATTACTATAGTAGCGATAGTAGTGGTAGTGATTGTTGTTGTGTATATAACAAAGAAGTGATTGAAGATATAAAAAAAAAAAAACAAAGAAGACAGCGGCTATTTCATTGCTTCTAAAGTATATAAAACATGTTGTTATGTAAATACATTCACTTAAAAAAAAAAAAACGTAAATACCTCCAACGGAATTAAACAACCCGTTTCGGCTTGTATTTGTTCCCGTCCTGTTTTCGTTTTTGCTTGAAGGAAAAAAAAAAGTAAGAAGAACTGAAAAGATCCCAATAGTTCAAGATTAAAGCCAGACTGGTAAAATTACAATAAGAATAGAGTACTCTAGTTATCTGTATGCCTCTGCCATTTATCTAGATGGAGACAATATAGATATGATCCGTCACAACTTCTTAAGAACATCTTTCCTCATTCGGGGGTTTCAAACAAATTCTATTTTATGCAAAAATGCCACAGAAGCTGCTGCCCCCAAAGAATTACCTAAGATAAATGGCCAACCTACTATATACCATAAGAAAAGGTCTATGTCTAATGTAGATGGGTACCGTAAGGCCAAAGTAAACCCTGGCTTCTATTTACAAAAAGCACAATCTTCACCAACAGGGGCTATCCACAGTGAAACTATCCCATTGAGTTTTTTACCTAAGGATGATCCGAGACGTCAGTTTGTGGTTCCACATTTAAGAAATAGTGATAAAGTATTAGGTGACCACCGCTCTCCTGAAGTTTTAACAGGTAAAAATGCGTTGTTGAACCATGTGAAGAGTTATCATTTAACCCCTGAAAAAGTAACTGAGATTATCAGATTAAGAAGTTCAGATCCCAATAAATATACAAGATCTGTCTTAGCTAAACAGTTTGGTGTGTCACGTTTGTTTATATCCTTAGTGGCCAGTGCACCTAAGGAAAGATTACAAGAAATGAACCAAAGATTGAATATCATTCAATCTAGATGGGGGAAAGCAAGAAAACAAGCTCGTTTGGAGCGTGCAAAGAGACATCAGACATGGTATCGTGATCTGTAGAGTTTCACACAAGTATCACAATAAAACAATACTCTTTTCTCTCTTTTCTCTCTTTTCTCGCTTCTTCCTCTCTGCTATTTCCATGATATTCCATTACTTGCACATGATAACAGCCATCATCAAATCAGCAAGAGCCTCTCTCCTGTATATATTAAGATACATAAACCTGTATGTATATCGATTGTAGGTAAACGATAATAATAATAATAATAATCAACACTAATAAGAAGTGTCTCGTCTCAATTCATCGAATGTATTAATAATATGACTAATTGATATTACTAATCCATGACACCCCCTCATATTTTCGTAACACCCAAACCTCGCACCCATAATTTGAAAATATTCAAAAATGAAACAGAAATATCCATGACAAATGTAGATACATATAAATGAATAGATATATAAGTGGTGGGTAATACTAATATACTCACGACACTTTCCTATACTAATATCTACTTATTAACTTGTTTCTCAATAATCAGTAAAGAAGTCCAATCTACATAAAATAATCATAAATTATACTTTATTCCCTTCTCTTTCTCTTTTTTTGTTCTTTTTCTCTTTTTTTTTTGTCTTTATATACAATGTCACATTACGATGAAGACGATTATTATGACGAACAAGGTGATATGCCTGAATTTCAAGATGAAGCTGAATTAGATGACTACTTAACTGACGAGGAATATGATTTGATGAATGAAATTATACCTCAATTGAAAAAAGATATGGCAGAATACCATGGTTGGACTACTTTTGATTTAAAATTATCACTCTTAGATACTGATTTTAATATTGATGATGCCTTGCATGATTTGAAGAAAAGATTTAAAAGAAAGAAAAAACAGGCTGATGCCGATATCAATACTTCAATGTCCAATTTGAAAATTGGTTCAAATACACAGCCAATAGAGCAAACAAAGAAATTCACATCTCAACTTAGGACCGATGATGATATAATATTCATATCGGATAATGAGGATTCTAATGCTATTTCTTCTTTGGATCAATGGGTTAGAGATGATAAAGTCGAAGAAAAATTTATTAAACCATATAAAAGAATTCTTGAACCAACAAAACCAAGAAATCCAATCGATTTGAAAAAGTATTTACAGTCCCCTACCTTTAAACCCCATTTAAGTTTTGTTGTATTAGGTCATGTAGATGCAGGTAAATCAACCTTAATGGGCAGATTATTATATGATATTGGCGCAGTTGATCAAAATAAGATTAGAAAATTAAAAAAGGAGAGTGAACAGATAGGTAAAGGCTCATTCCATTTGGCTTGGGTCATGGATCAAACAGTAGAAGAAAGAGAACGTGGTGTCACTGTCTCCATCTGCACTAGTGATTTTAGCACTTCAAATGTAGATTTCACTATTGTTGACGCACCAGGTCATAGAGATTTTGTGCCAAATGCAATCGCAGGTGTGTCTCAAGCAGATGTCGCTATATTGACAATTGATTGTGGTATCAATGCTTTCGAGTCTGGTTTTAATCTTGATGGTCAAACCAAAGAACATACTTTATTAGCACGTTCAATGAATATTGGTACCATTGTTGTTGCAATGAATAAGATGGATAGTGTTAACTGGTCTTCAGAAAGATTTTATGAAATTCAAGCCGAACTATCTACATATTTTGATCAGATTGGGTACCAAAAAGATAAAATTAAATGGGTACCATTAAGCGGTTATTCTGGTGAAGGTGTATATAAGATACCGTATCCATCTGAACAGAATTGGTACAAAGGTCCATCCTTAGTAGATACTTTAGAGGATGTTGCTAAGACTAATTATAGCCATCTAAATGATTTAGATTCATTCTGTAAGGAAATTAAAGAAAAACCTTTTATATTCTCAATTCTTGAAGTAACAACCACAAAAAAACATGATGAATCAATACTATCTGGTAGAGTTGAATCCGGATCAATTCAGCCTGGTGAGACAATCACTGTATATCCATCTGAACAAAGTTGTTTGGTCGACAAGATTCTTTCTGGTAGAGAACAAACCTCTAGAGATATCGCTTTGAAAGGTGATTTTGTAACATTGAAATTGCGCCATTCCCATCCGAAGGATATCCAAAATGGTGACTTGTGTTCATCTGTTGGATATCACATTAAATCTACTAGAAGATTCAAAATTAGATTGAGCACATTCAATATGGATCGTCCATTGTTACCAGGTACATCAGTTATGCTATTCAGGGGTGTCTATGAAGAACCTGCAAGAGTCAATAAATTGATCTCTCTAGTCGATTCAAAAGATCCTTCGAAGATATTGAAAAAGAGAGTTAAGCACTTACCATCAAACCAAACTGCAATTATTGAAATTGAATTGACTGAAAGAAGAAGATGGATTCCACTCGTCACTATTGATGAAAATAAGCATATTGGTAGAGTTATCCTTAGAAAGGATGGTCGTTCTATTGGTACAGGTGTAATATTAGATGTTGAGTAATTCAGTTAAGTAAAAAAAAAAGATATTATTAATTTATTAGTTTATTAATTAATACTATATATTATTGTTTGATTTCAGCTTATATAATCGACAATAAGGATAAAGATCGCCATTAATATAGCTGCATATGTAATTATTTTCGCAGATTTACTTGCAGAACGCTGTGCCTTCTTCAACTGTATATTTCCTTTGAGAATATTAGATTCAATCTGTTCTTGATTATCTAACATGTTGTTAATATTCTGTGATTGTATTTGTAAATGTTGTGATAATTCTGTTTGTAAAGACATAATATCCAAGATAGCATTATTAATCTTTTTGACATTTGCTAGTTGATCATCTTTGGCTTTTAGCAATTCTTCATGTTCTAATTGTAACATTTGTATTTGTTCTTGGGTTAACTTTGAAATAGTATCTTCATATGTCTTCACTTCATCTTGAACAGTCTCTACGTATTGACCTTGATTTGATGTGTCTATAGAAACTGAAATAGCATCATAAATCATATCTGATGATGTGTCAGGTTTAGGCTGTACTTCTGCATTAAAATCAAGTGTATCAAATTTTTGTTTATTAGCTAACCTTTCCTGCTGCATTGAAAGGAATCTGGATGAAATTGATTTAATGATTAAATTAATTGAATTCAAAACACCACTCCTATATTGAATATTAGTCTTGCAATATTGTGCCAACAGAGCATGCTGTGTTGAATACATAAACTTTGTCATCGAAAGATGACTCTTTGGTGATATATATTGATCTTCTATTAATTTTACACGTGCATTTTCATAAGTCTCTAGTTGTTTAAATTTAGTTACGTACTTTTGTAATAATAATCTGAATTCCGTATCAAAATTATCTTTATCTTGATCTGTCATATTTACTAAATTATTTCCATCTTTATTATAGCCTATATTATTACTGATTTTGGCAGTGATATCACCATAATATGATGATGTGACTTCATTTAATACACGGGACAATTCTCTCAAACAGTAAAACAAATCTTTACACTCTGAAACAAAAGTGTCTTTCAATAATAAAGATTGAAACTTCTCCCACTTGTTATCGCTCTTATGGATCCTATTTGCTGATTGTTCTCTTTCTGTAGGATCAGTGTTATCCTCTATAACTTGTATGTATTTTTGAAATAACTTGGTTAAATCAGGCATCTGTAAATGTGATTCTGGATATGTTCTCACTGCTTAGATTCAAAATAAAAATAAAACAATAATAACAAAAAAAAAAAAAAAGGAAAATACAAAATTGTGAATTAGTTGATAAATATAAAGGTTATTCACAACCAGTTATCACTTTACTTGTGTTATGCTTCGTAGTAAATCACTATGTTTTTCAATATTTATAAACATGTATATATTAAGTTATTATGATTAGATGATGAAAATATCATCTTATGCAATACACAGTTCCTTGGATTTTGAAAGTGTTTAATTTGTACATAATAATAACAAACAATCTTTAGAGATAGGGTTTAAAGAGTAAAACCTTACCCTAATTAAAAAATGAAAAATTTGCCAAAAGTTTTTAAAGAAACAATTTTTAAGTTAGGGTATATTTTAATATTTTCAAGTTTTTATGTATATTTTTTAGTAAAATATTAGGTTTTGATATATTAAATGTATGTGTAGTATTTACTAACGCGTCAACAAATTAATAGTAATGTGGAAACGCGTAAAGCATTAATGTGAAAAAATAAAAAAGAATAAATAAAAGAATAAACAGCATTGGAACTATTTAATATATAAGGATTTAAAGTGTTTGATTACATTCAAGACAGGTTAGATCTTCATTTATTCTATTGTACTTATCAAAATATGAATTTAACAAGACACGTGTCGAGTTATACATCGATAGATAGGTTAATCTCTTTTTTTTTGCCTTTTTTTAAATAATTAAAATGTCAAATAATAAAGAAGAAGATCAATATTTACAACTATGTCAAAGAATTATCGAAGAAGGAGAGTTCAGACCTGATAGAACTGGAACAGGTACCTACAGTTTATTTGCTCCACCTCAATTAAGATTTGATCTAAGTAATGGCAAATTTCCTCTACTGACTACAAAAAAAGTATTTACTAAAGGTATTATTTTAGAATTATTATGGTTCATAGCGGGTTGTACAGATGGGAATAAATTGAGTGAACAAGGTGTCAAAATATGGGATGGTAATGGTTCCAGAGAATATCTAGATAAATTGGGGCTTACAGATAGAAAAGTGGGTGATTTGGGTCCGATCTATGGATTTCAATGGAGACATTTTGGTGCCAAATATAAGACTTGTGATGATGATTATTCTGGACAAGGTGTTGATCAATTAAAAGATGTTATCTGGAAATTAAAAAACAATCCATATGACAGAAGGATTATCATGAGTGCATGGAATCCACCTGATTTCCCACAGATGGCTTTACCACCATGCCACGTCTTTTCACAATTCTATGTCAATTTCCCTAAGGAACCCAACAAAAAACCAAGATTATCTTGTTTGTTATATCAAAGATCTTGTGATATGGGCCTTGGTGTACCATTTAATATTGCCTCTTACGCATTATTAACCATCATGATTGCACACATCACAGACATGGAACCTGGTGAATTTATACATACTATGGGAGATGCGCATGTTTATAGAGATCACATTGACGCATTGAAAGAGCAAATAAGGAGAGAACCAAGGCCATTTCCAACTTTAAAGATTAATAGGAAAGTGGATTCTATCGATGATTTCAAATTCGAAGATTTTGAAATATGTGATTACAACCCACATCCTAGAATTCAGATGACAATGAGCGTATAAATTGCTCATATAATATATTACTGTTCCCTCATATATATTTGAATTACTTTATACCAGACATAAACACATACATAGATAAATATACATATATATATATATATATATATACTTGTATGTGGATAACAATACTTATTTAGTATAATCAATTTCATTTGTTATATAATTAATCACACAGTGATTTCCAGTTGATAAATTGGCGGCTGCTATTACATCTTGTAAGTTAATTTCACTCATCTGTTGAGAAATAGTTTCAGTTTCTTGAGTTATTATTTGCTTTATACTGGTGATATCATCATTCAAATATTTACCATATAAATTTCTTAGTAAATCATCGCTAATCAAAAATTTGTCTGTAAGCATCGAAATGTGAGGTAGCGGATAGTCATATTCATATAATCTTTCAGCAAAAAATCTTTCTAAAATTTTGTATAGTACTGTGTCTTTGATATCATTGTTTCTGATATTCTGATCTAAATCTAGAAGGATACATCTTCTCCAAATCATGGATATAAGATATTGTTTAATCTCAAATTCAATCAAATCAACATTAAAGCTTAATAATTTTAGTGCACAATAGATATTGTCTGAATCTGTCAAGATACTGTACATCTCAATTGTTTCGTTAAACGATATTGTTACATTATCCATTAGTAAAGATTTTAACTTATTAAACAGTGATTCTATTGGAGTACCTATAAATCTTGGGCTTAACTCAATCTGATCCTGTTTTATTCGATTGATAAATTCTATTTCAGCATCTAACAAATCTAAATTACACTGAATTTGTTGTAATTTCCTAATTTCAAATTGTTTTTTATCTTGTTGCTCGTTGTCATCTTCTTGTTCTACGAGACATGCCAATTTAGCCACATTTAAATGGAATTGATTTTCTGTAATATCCTGGTGTAATAATGGCAAATCAAATAATGTCTTTGATGCATCTGAATATCTTTGGTCAATAATATCTTGAATCCACGAAATAGAACCATATTTGGGTGAATTATCTTGAAAAAATTTGATTAAATTATCATGCTGTTCTGGGAATCTATAAAATAATTCGGATAATTTATGATTGTTGGCATAATATTCAAATAACGTAGCAGAAAATGACATTTGAAATTTTTGGAAAAACTTATTATAAAGATCAACAACATCCGGTTGATCAACAGGTAATGTCTCCAAAGTTTGTACTAATGACTCTAAATCTTTATAGAATTCAGTAATTTCTATGGATTGAGATTGATATCCGAATTCGCAAAGAATATTATTCCAATCGATATGGTTGTCAATGTATAGTTTATTTATTGTTATAATATCTTGTGATTTAATTTCATCAGTAGTTATAATACCTGATTGATTAGTCCATAGTCTAACTTGATTAAAACAGTAATATAAGATCTTCAGTAGTGTTAAAAATTGCTCCTTTATATCATTTGAATTAATTTCTACATTTTCATTTTTAAATTGAAATTTGTATTCGAAAAAGATATCATTAATCTTGGTTAAATTAGATAAGGTAATAAACCATGGCAAGCTATCAGGATTTACCTGTTTAGCATTAAGTTTCATGGTACCATAACGAATGTCGTTTTCACCCTCTTCCAACACTGCTTCATATAGACATGAGTTGATCATCTCGATTATTTTGGATTTAAATTCAATAGATTGTGAGTTTGTTACAATATTATGTAGGAAATCATTAAAAACTTTAGGATATTGTAATATTTTAGAAATAATTAATTCTTCTACACTTACATTATTTTGCTTTAATACATTTTCCCAAACTGTTTGCAAGCCTTCATCACTACCATTTAAAAACCGGTAAAGTCTTAAACAACTGTTCATAATTTCGAAATTTTCAATTAACCATAATTTAAATGTGACTGAAATATTGTTATTAAAATTTAATTCAGTAAATTTTAAAAGGTTTTTGAAATAATTTATTCTTATAGATAGATGTTGTTGTAGATTTGATGTAAATTTGGGAATATATTTACCAGTTGACTGAATAATCTCTAATGCAGACAATTTTAAATCGTTTTCAATGGATTTTGTATCAAGTGCAATGTCTTTGGATAAATTAAACTCTATTGGATTCATTATTTCCATTTGAGTATCTTTATCAAAAAAATAAATGGCTTGTTCTATATGACTCTTAATAAATCTTACTTCTTCCAGAGTAGTTTCTAAACTTAATTTGTCCTTTAATGTAACTGAAATAATGCCACCAAGACCTTTGCTTAATAAATAAATTTTGTGGGAGGTACAACCAGTTCCGAATATATTCACAGAGTCTTTAAAGGAAATCACATCCTCCCACTTTCTCTTTAATGTAAAGGAAACATCAAATTGTGAACTTACTTGAGTTAACACCATGGCATTATGGAATAATACAACTACATTAGAAATTTTTGATGTTTCTGTAATAGATTTCTCAAGCAACTCGTTCGACCAGTTTGGAATAATAAGCTTTGGCAATGTAATGGGGGATGATTCGTTCAATGGCGAGGTGTAAGTATTTATTCTATATGTAGATATAATATTGAAATTATTAGCTTCCTCATCAAACACCAATGTAGATAAAATGTAGTAAACATCATCTGGATAATTAGATATGGATGATAAAACAACGTGAGTTAAATAATTATCATTATTTTTATTATTTTTATGTGAAATTGGATGAGAATCCAAGATTTGTAAAGATGAGGCTGCAAAAGGGTATAAATCCTGTAAAGATTCTAAAATTTGATTATAAATATTGATTTCAATTCTTTTAAAACAATTAGAACTAACAGACAACTGCCATATATGGAATTCACCCCTTCTAGTGGTAATATATAACAATCTATCACCTTTTCCTACAATTGGACCATTTTTCAATGAAACTACATCATGAGACTGATATCTGTTTTTATTATTATTAATATTAGTCGAGTCATCATCTCTTGAACCAAATAAACTCGAGAAGAAACTCCTTTGTGATTTAATTAATTGTTGTTTCAATTGAATCCTTGGGTGACCCATTGAATCTCTTATAGTGATGAATAGAACTCTACCAAAGGACGTAGCTAAGACAATCCCACTGGGTTCAACACTGATTGCTGAAGTTATAAATTCATTAGAATTGGATAATTTTAAATCTAAGACGTGTGCCATATTCTGAGACAGTTGGGAATAAAGATTATTTATAGAAGATAAATCCTCGTAAAAGAAAATCTTACCTGATTGTCTATAGATAATGCAGATACCCCAGCAACTGTTGTCTGTATCTAAGGTATCCATTGTAGCAGGCCAAGTTAGTAAACAGATAGGAGGAGTATCATCTTGACCGTCAGTTAAGTTCAGAGGAAGCTTATTATATGCAGATTGTTTCCATTCATGGTAATTCCAAATGTATAAATGCTTAGTATCGTTAATCATTGCTTTACCTGAGAACGAATCAATAAATCCTGCTAATTTAAATTCTTCTCCCAATAGAGCCAATAGATCTAATTTTACACTTTCTACTGAATATTTTTCATTCTCGGTCAATAAATTTGGTTCAACTATATGATCCACGACAGTTGCTTTGGAATTACTAAAAGTTAAATCTACTGATTCGTCATTATTATTATTTTTTGTTTCATCAATGATTATACTATTGTTAGTATTGTCTACTAAAGAAGTAACTTCTTTTCTCAATTTAAAAACAGGACGACCTCTATCAATATCAGACATCCTTAATATCTCGAGTAATTCCCTCTAATGGTTTTATATAACTATTATGTATGGGCACAGGTACAGAGATTACAATTAGTAGATAATAAATATACAATATTTTGTTATAAAACCGCCATCTCTCTTTCTACTAGAATAAATAATTAACAAAAAAAAACATGAAAAAGAAATAAAAATGAAGAAACAAATTAAAACTTTGCTCTATAAATATCACTTAGAACGGAAAGTCACTGTGTGTATGATTTCAATTCTCACATACTAACGATTAAAGAATTAATCATACAAAGTAAGAAGCCAAGTTGGTACAGAGAACAACGTTGAAAAAAGAATCATTTGGTGATGTTACTGAATAAGTTTAGACATGACTATTATTTGCTAAAATACTCTAAAGTATATATGTGTATGTGTATGTGTGTATGTATGAGTTAAGTCTGCAATGGAAGAAAAAAAAACAAGAGACAAAGAGGACATGCAGGGTGATTGAAATGGTTAAATAAGGAATTATGCTTGTTGCTTTTTAGCGTTACGATTGTCTATTAGTCTTAACATATTTCTGATCAGCATGGCAATGGTAACTTTACCGGTCATTGGCACATATAAAGAAGCTTTGGTCTTAACATCCTCACTAAAATTTTTAAAAGAAGAGAAGTTTATACATGCAGCACCTTCCTTAACGTATTCAGTGGGGAATTGATAACTTTCCGAAGGAACCCCGGTAATGATGATATCTGCTTCTTGTGAGAGTTTCTTCAACAACTCTTCTGAATAATCACCCAAATCTTCAACATGATGTTTCGAGTATTTCAAACCTGAACCACGAGTGAATTTTTGTATATTGTTGATGTCTACAGAATATACAGTAGCACCGTCATTAGCCAGTAACGCAGCAAGAGGTCTACCGACAATCTCCGATCTATTAACAACAACACATTTCTTTCCATAAAGATGGTTGCCATCAGGTAAAAGTGTATTATACAATTTCAAATATTCTAAGATTTTCACAATAGCCAAAGGAGTGCATGGTAAGATAGATTTTAGCTGTTTCTCTTTATCCAAATATCTAATGTTATGATACATGTTTTGATAGTATAGATGATTTAAACCTTCGACATCCTTTTCAGGTGATACAATCTGTTGTAAATATTGGTCTTGTGCATTTCCAAACACAGGGAAATATATTATGATACCATCTACTTGATCATCGTCGTTAGCAGCTAAGATACCTTCTTCAAGTCTATCTTTGTCATCGAACTTGCGTAACTCAAATCTTACACCAAGTGATTCAGCGGTTTTGCCTGTCCAGCGGGCATACATTTCAGCTGCAGGATCTTGGTTGGCTAGAAACCCTACCAATAATGGACCATTGGGATGAGAAGTACTTTTCAATTGAACAATTTTATTTTGAATTTCTTCTGTATAAACCTTGGCAATAGCTGAGGCTAAGACGGTTCTACCTGGTTTAGGTATAACAGACAAATCGTTGTTATTATTATTGTTGTTTTCAGTAACAGAGGACATAGTTATATATTGATTTATCTAAAGGAATGTGATATGAGGATGTGTATATTATGTGAGGATGATTTGGTTGGAGGGAGAGGGGTATATAAATCGTAGAATATGAATGTAAAAAGAAAAAGGGCTTGTTGTATTCAATACAGAACAACTGACTATATTGAACAGTTGAATAGCACCTAATATATATATATATATATGTGTGTGTGTGTGTTATTGCGCATCGCTTTTTTAATACAACATTAGCATTTCTTCACAGGCACATAGAAATTATATATTAGTGCATGTAATTATTTTCTCGAAGGGCACATTGCTAATAAAGCAGGTAAAGCAGAGAATACAAGAAGGAAGAAAATTTTAGATTTGACTCGGGCTTATTTTCTCTTGTGTTTTCTCTCCCTGTGTGCAGAATACATGACTCGGGGGAAAGGGTTTTCCAGAGTCAGAGTCTAAATCCCGCCAGAGTCAAGGCACGTTCAAATTTTTCAAAATAAAAAAAAAAATAACCATGAAGCTGTTACCTTGCTGAATTTCATTACACAGCAAAACTATCTGTTGCAATTAGCAAGATGTATATAGATTGATCAGGTCATCTGTAAATATTATTTTGGGTTTATTCGTATTTTTTCATGGCTTATATTTGTAAAAGGTCTAAGTTGTTCATAAATAATGCATTCATAGATATGCCTTCATAAGAGCAGAACAATTTATAAAAGAATTGATATATAAAATCATAATCTTGTTTTTTTTATGTCTTTAATTGATACATGTAAAACAGACTTCTGTTGTTCAATTCACTCACTAGAATGTTGGCTTTCATTATTTACACAAAACATCATTTTTTCTTTTGATATTATTGAAAAAAAAAAAGTTATTTTTATTGGTTTACATGTTTATAATATATATACTTTTAAAAGCGTCTTTAGCGCCAAAGAAACAGACCTCATTTCCAGTATTTACAAAAAATAATTTATTTTTTATTCGTCGTTTAGCACAATATCAGATTTAAATGTATAGAGTTTTGGAGGTTCCAAAAAATTGGCTATTGAGGAATATCTTATTTATTGGATAAATATAGGAAGCATAGTGGTACTATGCCTAAAGTAAAATTCCTCTTTTCTTAGTAAAGTGTCTCAGTTCAGTGCTAATTTTTGAACAAAATGCTTTCACAGTGGCACATTCCTTGAGATTTTTCAAAAAAATTTAATTTCTGCTGAATAGATATAAAAGCACCCTTCATAACCCTGAAATAATCTTTTTTTTATTCATGTCCTAGTTTTTAAGAAATATTTATTTTTATATGTTTCTATTGTCAAGAATTAAACAAGTAAGCTGTATCTCATAATAATGAGTATGATATATAGGATCACAGGAAAAAACATGGAGTTCATATCAGTATTCAATTTAAAAAAAAAAAAAGTAGATTTTGATTAAAGTCAACAATTTAGTCTATTGAGCAAACCTTTCATCCCTATATGGTGGTATTATCATACACTTGTATATGTTAAAGCAAAATCAAAAGTAGATATTATTACAGTTAAACTAATAAAACCGATTTTCATTATTTCAAAATTCCAGTTTCTACATAATTTATATCCAGTAGTGCAAAGTGTATACTGTAGAATTGGTACATATAAACTTTTTCTTGCTAACGACGTCTACTAAATTTGGGCAAGTATTCAACAAAGCTATTTAATTTATACCATGTATCATTTACTTGCACAAACGTGTACATATATAGATATGTATATACGTATGCATGGCTTTATATAATAGACATTTCCACATAAACAGTATTTCATTTGTCTTGTTATCTTCGAGACGAAAACTAAAAAGATTAAAGAAAGTGAAAAATAAAGATAGAAAAAAAAACACAGAGGTATGTAAAAAGTTGATAATGCGATGAGATGAACTTGAAGCAATATATGGTCATTATTTTTTGTTTGTGATATGGTAAAACACACATATATATGTGGACACAAATTCATACAAGCTAATAGATCGCTTTGCATTATTTATTTTTAATATTTCTTCCTCCTTTTCTTTGTTGTTGCCATTATGGGTCAATTCCATACCTTGGCACAACGTCCTACATTATCTCAAACTGATAATTTTGCATTTCTTCTAGAAGGTACATTCAATGTGAATGATTCGTTCCAATTTGATATAGATTCGTCAATTACTCGTAACAAAGATGATGGTGACTATAATCATTTGCTTTCTTTTTACCAGAATGATTCCAAATATTTGGATTTACACTTAAATAATATACAGTATCCTTTTGTTATTCAAAAATGTATCCCATTTAGATACAATAAAGATTGTAAAAAATATTACCAAATGATTCAATTTTATATAAAGAAGAAAATGGATAGTGTTAATTCATCTAATGGAAGTGCTCCTTTCTACTCAAAATATAATTTAGATAGAGAAATTTATTCCAAATTTGAGATTGATAATGAAGGTAGTAGTAGTATTAATATTGATTCGTTATATGATTCAGATATAGAAAATCTTATTCTGGATGATGGAAAGGAGGTACAAAAAGAAGAAGAAGTAAGAAAGGAAAACGAACAAGAAAGGAAGGAAGAATTCAATAATGAACCAAGTTTTTTTCAATCTTGTACAGATAAGTTTCTAAGAAGTACAGATAAACTACATCAAGCGATCAATGATACAATCAATGAAACGTATCTTTTAATAAGCAAAAAGTTTATTTACCTTATTGAATCTCATGTAATTTATCCTATCTTTGAGTTTTCAGATTTATCTGTTTTTAGACCAAATCTGTACCCAATGGAAGTAAACAACTTTTTTAAGATTTGGGATGATAGAATCTTGGCTATCACTAAAGAGGGGATTTTTGTATCTCTAATGTTATCGAACTTTGATTCAATTAACTATCATGATCTTCTAACATCAAACTATATTAGCCATAATAGCATAAATAGCAGTGACCATCCAATAAAAGTAACACAATATTGGAACTTAAAACTCGGGAAGTATTGGAAAATTGTAACTTCACCATATCATAATCTAATTTGTACGATTCAATATAAGCCAAATGAAGCAGTAGCACAATTCATGACAAATCTGTCTATAAAAATATTCTGTTGGATTGATCAAATAGAAATTAAATTGATAGATTCCTTATTATTACCTTATGGAGATAGTATTATTGCCTATACTTTCATGCCATCCAAACAACCTATATTGATTCTTTGTGTTAGTGGTCCAGAGGGGCTCAAGCTGATTCTTATCCAATGGGACCGAGACAATTTGCATATAATAAAAAATACTGTTATTATGGATTTACATGTCGCTGCCGATATCTCAAATATTATACCTATTAATAAGACTCACATTTTAATTTGTTCATCAGAAATGGGTTTGTATGTCATATCATTAAATGATATCTATGACAATAAAATTCATATTAATAAATTTTATATAAAAAAAATTGGACCAATTTTATCATGGTTCCATTCATTTGAGATTTTACCATTATTCTATAAGATTGATCCCAAATTTAAAAAATATGATCATTGTGTTCTATTTTCGGATGGAAGTGACACAATATATTGTATACTGAGTGTAAATAATAGCGCTGATTTGGATAATATTGAAATTTTCTCTTTAGCGGCCGTAAAAGGTTTAACATCTATTGCACCAAGTTATCATCAAAACGATGATTTTTTAAATAACTTTAATTTGGTAGTAACATGTTTCAATAAATGTATTGAAATCACCATAAATCTTAAAGAGATGGTTTATATTGATAAAATGATTTCAAATGAAGACGGAAATCATGCATATTATACGCCACCTTCAAAAAGATCAATTATTTCCACAAGAACTTTGTGTTCGATGACTCAGCCTCAACAGACTGGTATCATATCTGTGAATTCCAAAGAAGAGACCTGGATAACTAGTGATTCGATAATAAGTCAAGTTCAACCAATTCCGTTTTTGTTTACTAGAAGAACACGTCAGATTAATCCTGTAATTCATGATTTCAATAGGTATAATAGTATTGTGTATGTTAAGGGGAATGATTTACTAGGTCTTAATCTATTACTGGCCACAGACGGTAAAACTTTGTCAAGATGCTATGTTATAGAGACAAAACATTTAGAAGACTCATGGTCAGGAGAGCAGTCTCATTACCATTTTTTAGAAGTTGATGATTTATTACCGAAGAACAATAGGGGAACATTATTCATGCTCGTTTATGACAACTTTGTGGTTCAATTGACTAGTGAACAGCTGTTAACACGATCTTTAATAAGTCCATTTGAGACAAAAATAATATTTACTGTTACACCAAATTGTAATCTTGACAATTTTACGTTCCAAGATAATAAATTAATTATATGGGATTCTGAAAATTGTAGAGTGTGGTGTGTTAACGATTTATCACAGATTTTTATTTCGGAATGTAAAGAAATACAAACATTTAATAAATTAATTAAAAATCACTCTAATTTTTCATTCCACATTACTTCTTTGAAATCCAATTTAGATGATCATACTGTAGTTTTGAGAAGTCCAAAGGGAATATTTTCAATACCATGGAGAGATTTTGTATCCAATAACAGCGATAATATAACATTGGTTAAATCTCTTCCGATTCATGATTTTGTTATGTGTAATGAAAGTTTATGTATATTTTTATATTACAACAATGCTCAAAAGCCAATGATAAGGATAACTGATTTAACTACAAAGCATGTTTCTTTCTGGGATCACATCTCTCTTAGTTTTAAATCAGGGGAAAAATTTCAACTTAAGTCATTAAATGAAATCACAATAGCTCTTTTTAGCACACGTTGTTTTTATCTGATTTACTTGAACGATTTACATGACATTGTTTGTGAGGAGGTACAATTTCCATTCTTTAATCGAACGGCTGTATTGTTGGATTTGTTTTATAACCAATCGAATAATACATTATTCTGTTTATATGATGACGGTCTTAGAATACTAAAACTAACGTATCTGAGTCAGTCAAGGATGGATTATATTTTACTTAAAACTAAGGACAAAAATAAAATATTTTTGTATTTGGAAAAGTTAAATAGATTACTTATTGTCCATCCTCAAAGAAAATATTGGTATTTAATGAAATTAGAAAATGGCACAATTCGTTCCTTAGATTCACAAATCTTACAAGTTGAGAAATATCCATTACAACAAGTGATTGAGATTAATAATAACACCTCTGACTCTTCTTTAATATTAAGATTTCAAAATTGTATCAAATACGTAACACTCATGGCCAAAAATAATAAAATTACTGTCAGAATTTTAGATTCATTGAAAACAAATTTATCATTTCCTAATAATAAACTTGTACCTACAAATAATCAAGATGTAATTGCTATGATAGGAACAGATAAAGAACCTAAAAATACAGATAGAGATGTCACTCTGCATTTGCCAGATTCCAGCCAATATGAAAATATCAAGTGTAATTTTTTCGAATATGCTATAAAGAATAATAAAATAGTAGTGAATGAAGATATTCCTCTCAATTGGTTAAAACTGTCTTCAATAAAAGACTATTTTGTATTTGTTGATAGTATTGTAATTAATTCACCATCAGGAATATCTGTATATGTCAATTTCAAATGGCCATTCTATAAGGAATTGATCTCAACTCAAAAGAAAGAGTCAAATAGTCAAGTGATAAAAGTTAACGAGAATATGGTGCTTGTTAAAGGTTGTCAAAGAGAAGGAAATATATTCAAGTATATTTTTGTATATGATGATAAAATATTTGATGTTGTAAGAAATCCAGAAAAATATCAGGAAGCTTATAATAACAAGTCGATTGATTTTTGTAGATTAGATAAAAGTAATGTGTTATACACGGATTGTACAATGGGTGATTCGATTAAAAGAAAAATATGGTCAAAAGAAAATAGGTTAACTGAAAGGTATCGATATTATAACGGTGATACGGTGTTAACGCTTACAGATGATTATGAATTTAAAAATCAAAAAAACATTAAAGACTACATAATGGGATTACCTGTAGTGTTTCCTAAATTAACACCAGAGCAATTTAAATTCTGTCCCATAGCCTTAGAAATTCCTGAAGTTGTTTATTCAAATTTTGATGCAAGAAATAAAATATTATCTATGCTTTCCATAGATGGATCATTTAGACAATATAAAAACGAATCTGTTTCTCTTACTTTAGATGACAAAGATGAAAACATTACTATAAATATGATGAGTCAGTATATCCACAGAACTAATGAAATTAGATTAAGTAAGTTTTCAGTAACAACTAAAAATCAGCAAGGGTTTTTTTGTGGGAACTTACAAGAAAGTTTGGCAGATTGGTAGACTGTAACAGTAGAGAACCAAAAATATATTAATTATATTAATATTAACAGACTGGATGAATTTGTATTCTTGGACTCAATTAATGAGTAATGAGATATTTGGGTAGTGATGAAGATACGGTTATTAAATATTTGCATTTATTATATATAATTGCAAACAAAAATAAATATGTGATAAGTTTTCAGTTTAGATACATTTACTAGAGTATTTAAAAGACATTATATCTGTTTTCGATGCGTGATAATTTACCAACTGTTGGCACTTGATAGTATATACAGATGTAGATATAGCTATGATATCATTTCTATTTGTAGGTTTGTAACATTTATATCACACCCTGGAGTCATCATTGTCTAACATACAACTAGAATTACAACAAACTACTTTCATTGGTAATCTATTCGTGATGGGTTTCAATCCTCCCAAAGACAATTCATGCAATCAAGATTTGCGACACTTTAATTTTTCACAATATCTGTTTGTTTTGAAAAACTTTAGAAAATTTCAATACAGCATGTAAACAATTGCATAGCATCGCACCGTATCACATTGAAAGACCGCTAATCTACATATACATTAAACAAAAAGTTTTTACTGAATAGACAGTGATAAAAAACAAAATCGACCTTTCTAGGTATTATAGAAATGGGCAAGTATTAAGTTATCTGGGATAATTGCTTTTAATTAACTAAATCATTCAAGTTGCTTTCATTTATCCGTAAGAATCAGTCAAGCAGAAGTCCTTTTCTACAAGTTAGACTTTCATCTACTATTAGATCTATGTTTTCGATCACGACTGTTACACAACCATCTCTAGATACTCAGCATCCGTTACTTCTACTTCAATCCTCTCATGGGGAGAAATATATGTTTGGGAAAGTCACTGAGGGGGCTCAAAGGGCTCTAACAGAAAATAAGATTAGAATCTCCAAATTAGAAAATATTTTTCTTACTGGTGAATTAAATTGGTCCTCTTTAGGTGGATTACCTGGTATGATCTTAACAATAGCCGATCAAGGTAAAGATAAATTGGTATTAAATTATGGTTCAGAACTTATTAAATATGCAGTTTCTACATGGAGGTATTTTGTGTTTAGGTTTGGAATTTCCTTAGATACAAATGTTTCCGGGCAGTATAAGGACAAATTAATAACCGTTAATACGATTAATATTAAATCAGGTGTTACAAAGCCTAATCAAATAATGGGAAAATCTTCCTTTGGAGAAAAAGAACAAAAACTATTGAATTCAATTGTCTCTAATATGTTTCCTAAGTTGATACCAACTCATAGATATGAACCTTCTTCCGATCCATATTTAAATGTTGATTTACCAAATGTTAATAATATAGAGCATGAGTCAATATGTTATGAAATATGTTTCAATCCGATAAGAGGTAAGTTTAGAGTAGAAGAAGCAATTAAATTAGGTGTACCAAAAGGTCCATTGTTCGCTAGATTGTCTAAAGGTGAAACTGTTACATTAGAAAATGGTACCATTGTTAAACCAGAACAAGTTTTAGAGAAGGAAAGAACATTCGGGAAAATTTTAATTATCGATATACCAAACGATTCATACTTAGATTCTCTGTTTTCGTACTTTGAGAAATATGATATGAATGATTTGAGGTGTATATATTACTTCTTGGATAATAAAGTGACAATAAATGATAATTTAATAACATTTATGGAATTATTTAATAAGGATCAGGGAAACAAAATTAAACACGTGGTTTCTCATCGTTTGATATCACCAAATAATATTTCATTTATGGGTAGTGCTATCACAACTTTGAAATTAAAAGCTTTACAAAATTATGCGTACAATTTACCTATCACAAATCAATTGTTATCAAAAGAGTTTTTTGAGTCCTTTGATAAAGAGATACCTGATGGTGTATCACTAATTCAATCTCAAGAAAGTGATATAAAAAAATCATTGATAAAACCTAACAATGTTCATATTCTTACTCAGGATACCACAATTCAACTAGAACCATATACCAAAGGTGCTGAAACAGATCCATGTAATATCTTTGAGGATAAAACTAGAAAATTAGATAAACAATTTCCTTGGAAAAAAATTTTTACCAAGCATTTGGAACCATTAAATCTTCAAAATGTCACTTATAAACGTTTAGTTGAGGACCAACTTAATGTTAACAATTTTAATAATAAAATTGAAAAAAGAGAACATGTTGAGATTGTTACTTTGGGTACTGGTAGCGCGTTACCATCCAAATATAGAAATGTAGTATCAACACTATTAAAAGTGCCATTTAAAGATGTTCATGGTCATGTAACAAATAGAAATATTCTACTTAATGCAGGTGAGAACACTATTGGGACTATACGAAGAATGTTTTCCAGTTTTGATATCAGTACGTTATTCAAAGATTTAAAATTAATCTATTTAAGTCATCTTCATGCAGATCATCATTTGGGTATAGTTAGTATTTTGAAAGAATGGTACACACATAATAAGGAAGATCAAAGTTCTATTATTTATCTAATTACTCCTTGGCAATACAATAAATTTGTTAATGAATGGTTAAAAATGGAATTTCCAGAGATTTTATCAAGAATTAGGTATATTAGTTGTGAGCACTTGGTGAAAGACAAATTTGTAAGAATGGAGACACAACCAATCTCGATTAATGAATATGAAACTTTTACTCAGAGATCAACTGCTAAACTAAATAAAAATAATGTTAATGATGACAGAGATAATAAAAAAAAGAGGAAATTGAACCTAAATCAAAATTCTTCCTATAGAGATTTAGAGACAATCAATGCAATGTACAGGGATCTTCAGATCTTTAGATTTGAAACATGTCGTGCAATCCATTGTAATTGGGCATACTCAAATGCTATAACTTTCAGTACTAATGAAGTAACTAAAAAACCATTCAGGGTATCATATTCAGGTGACACAAGACCCAATATAAAGAAGTTTGCCGAAGACATTGGATATGGATCTGATTTATTGATTCATGAAGCTACATTAGATAATGAATTACAAGAAGATGCTATTAAAAAGCGTCATTGTACTATTAATGAAGCCATTGAAGTCAGCAATGCTATGAATTGTGAGAAATTGATTTTGACACATTTTTCACAAAGGTATCCTAAGTCACCTTCAATTGATGGAAATATTGAAATTAAAGCTAGAGAATATTGTTTTGCTTTTGATGGTATGATTATTGACTGGGAAAATTTAGGTGAACAGATGTCTGTTTTACCTTACTTGAATAAAATTTTTGCAGAAGATGCTCAACGTGAAGAAGAGGAGGAAAGAGAAGAAAGCAAAACATTATCTATATAATTAGACGTGTTACAATATATAAGTAGACTCTAAGAACAAGAATTTATTTTCATTACCATAAAAATGTCGATCCATATATATATATATGAGATATATCAAATAAATGAATATATGTATGTATGTGTATATGTGTATATGTATATGTATATGTACGCAAGTAAAAGTAATAAATTAAAAGTAAAATAAAGTGATGATTAACTATAAGATGATCTAAGTGTTGGTAAACAATTAATTAAAACCAGTAATTAAACGTTTTAACACGGTACTTGCTTCAACTTCATTTTCGTTAGGAGAAGTATTGAAACTGATAGAGGTAGTTGTAGATGGATTTGAAAGCTTTCTTGGTGAAAATAACATTTTTGGTGATATTTTATTACCTAATGAACCAGTCATTGTTTGTTGAATTAATGGAGTAAATTGTAAAGAATTTTTTTTTGTGAGATGGGGTAGCTGTAATACTATTATTATTTATACTATGATCATAGATCCTATCTCTGTCATCTGTGTCATCTCGAATTAATGTAGAACTTGGAACACCAACTACTAAATTATTTAAATGAGTTCTTCTTGGTGTACTTGGTTCTTTCAATAGTGGTGTATCAAAGACTGTAATTTTTTTTGAATAATCGTTTAATTTTCTGATTTCATTACTATATGGATGGTCGTTAGATTTATTTATTGTTTGAATCCATTGTTCGTCATCGTTTATCAACAATGGATCACCAACAGCACTTTTAAAAGGGAATTGTTCAGTGCGTGCTACCAATGATACTGCTGTGTCAGTATTGACCAATGTAGATCTATTAGTTATGTATTGTTGTTGTTGTTCATGTTCTTGTGCAGGTATATTTTTATCTGCACTTAACAATATTTCATCCAATGGAACCATATGATCATCTATTTCCTTAAAGGACGGTGTTAATCCAGTCCTAATTAACATGTTCGAATTAACTAAACGAGGTGTCTGCGGAATTGATACTGTTGGTGGTGAAGAGGGATACATGTTATGTGTCAGTTTTTTAGCAGATGATTCAACACTACTGGTACCATTTCTCATTTTTCTCAACAGAGAAAGAATTTCATGTTTACCATTATCAGGGCTTTCAATGTCATCGTCACCTTGAACTTTTAAATTTTCTGTAGGGGTCTCTGATTGACTGTTATCGTTATCAGAAGCTATACACGACTGTGCTTTTGAGATAGACGCTCTCCCATCTGCTCCAATGCTTAAAGATAGTTTTAATATTGTATTGCTTATTATACTTTGAACATTATTATCCTTTTTTTTAACCGTAGACGAGGTAATTGGAGGAGGTGAACTTAGTAAAGAATAATCTTCATCGAAATGTTTTGGGATACTTTGGAATAAATTGTCTGATGCGGAGCTTGGTGTGAATGGAGTACTCACCAAGTCTATATGATTTTGTTTCTTCGGTGGTGTACTGAAATGCGCTTTTTTGGAATTATGGAAGGCTCTAGAAGAGGTAGGATCATTAGTGGAATTTAACTTTCTCTTTGCCGATGTATTCATAATCTTTACCCTCCTTTGTTAAAGTTAATTTCAGTCAGTCTTTGAGATAATTGGAACAAAAAGAAGCATGCATGCACAAGAAGTAGTGGAAGCACAAGAAAAGCTCAGAAATATATCTTACAACTGTTAATGGCGAGGACTTTTAGACATACACATTACATCTCAGAGTGTGTCAAAATAGCAAATAGTCTTATATTTATAGATCTATGTCTAATCTCAAAACAAGTATTATCGTATTGAAAAAAGTACATGTATGTATTATATCACAACAAATAAATAAAAAAATGTGAAAACTTGACGCGTCAACCGGCGTGTGTCTTTCCAAATTGGGAAATTTCATCTTTATCCTAAAGAGGAAATATGAGATAAGAAAATATGTAGAAATTGAGGAGAAAAAGGACATTTTTCAGTGTTTAAAGCAATATTTTGGCATTTGATCCTGAATTACATATTCTATTGGCCATTAACATGAAGAATTGGCTCCATGCTTGGCTGATGAGGTTGTCAGTTCTTCATGTTTTGATTGGTAGCTAACCATTTGTCTCTGGAATGTTCTTTTTTTTTTTTACTTTGGTGTCGAGGGAAAGAGTCAATTAGTTGTTGCTTGTTTGTTTTGTGAATGGTTTTTTTAATGGGGGATAGCTTGGATTTGTTTGATCATGAAACATCATTTGACTTAATTACAGTGTATACTAAACTAAGGTTTTATCTTTTATTAAGTAGTTTTTCTTTTTTTCAGACTACTAAATAAGATTTATATATGTTAGTTTGTGACTTGCTGTTAATTCAGAAACTTTTTTTTTGGAAAATTATTCAGGATATTTTTGAAAAAAAAAAAGTATATATATATATATATATATATATACATATGAACCCATTTAAATTAGTTGAAGTTGTTATGGAACAGGTCAATTGGTTGAAACTTTATATTGCATAGTTGTTTCGCTATTCTTTAGTTAAATTTTCTTCTTTTTTTTTTTGGAATTTCTTTATAAAGGTTTGATAGCTGGCATAGGACCTAAAGGGGTGATGCCCAGTGGATTTATTCTAGTGTGTGAACGAGTGTAATGTAACTTAATGTGTTCAAAATTGGTAGTATCTTTGAATGCAGGATAATTCCAATATAAGTTCCTTAGCCATAAATGAATCATTGGGTATCCGTCTCGGATGGTAGTTAAATTGCATTTGAAATGTTGTACGTAGACTGGATCAAATCTTACAATAGTGGTGTATAATCTGACATCAGCTTCAGTTAACTGATTACCAACGGTAAAAAAATCAGATAAGACTTTCTCTGTGTCATTAGATTTTTTTTCAATCAGCTGTGTATACTTTTTCTCTAAGATATTTTCAATCTTATCCAAATGGGTGAAAACATCGATAACTTGCCTTTCATAAATTTCTGGGTTTTCTGCAAAACCAGCTTTATATACACCATTGTTAACATTATTATAGACCCAAGCATTAAAGTCATTAATCTCGGTCTCTAAATTTTTTGGAACCAATTTTGGTATTTTAGATTTTTCTCCTTCTGGAACAAATTCCTCAAATACGCCAGAATCAAGTATTCTTATGATTAAAGAACTTTCGTTGTTGACAATTGTGTTTGTTTGAGTATCCCATAGCACAGGAACAGTGAAACGGGCTTTATAATTTGGATCACTCTTATAGTATAACTCTGATAATCTAGTGAAGCCATTAATTGGATCAAAGTTTGAGTCAATGTTTGACCTTTGTGAATTGTTGGGGATTGTGCCTACATGACAGCTAATGTCATTTTTTGTTGTGACGATTCCACCAGCTGGTGTATAAAATTGAGATTGATCGACAGTTTGATCAATTGGCGTAGGTGCTAGTCTCCAACCTTTTTCATCTAAGTGCCAGTGTACAACAGAAACACCAATAACAGATGTCAATCCCTTTAAGACTCTTGTAATTAAGGTTCTGTGAGCCCATGGACATGCTAAAGAGACATACAACCAGTATCTACCGGTAGCGGGCTTATAGATTGGATGATCTGGTGAGATCATTTCTCGAAAAGAACTCATTTGTCTTCTAAAAGCACCGTCTTTATTGTCAGCCCACTGTTTAGACATGATTCTATTTTCCAGATTTGTTTTTTCAGTTATTGTTGGTTTATTGTATGATGTGAATGATCCAGTATTACTTATATACGATAACAAGGTATATACTAATATTATTATTAATTTACATTAAAACCATGAAAATAGAAAATAACTGAAGAAATCTTTCATCCTCTCATAGATATGTACTTACGTGTGTACACATACATACATAAATATATATATATATATATATATATGAATTTTTTTTCGAACTCCTAAATCCGCTGTAGCCTGTGAACAAACGTTTGAGTTTCTCTTCTCTCCCCTCCTTTTCCCTATAAATGTGGAGGGGGTTGGTATTGGCCCTTCAATTGGCCCATGGGCTTATTAAAATATGTTTTTTTTTCACCTTTTTTCTTATTAATTTTTTTTGTTGCAATTTTCTTTGTAATAAATTAGTAATGGAACTACAAGCATGGTTACCAAGAGAATGGCTGAGGTGTCTTTGGATTAGTATGTTTACATTTTTAAAACATTTTTCTTAGTGGTGGTGTGATTAGATTCTCAACGCAAATGTGCTGTCTGTTTTGTTTCTTAATATGGAATTGTTGGTTTATGAGATGCTAGATGGTGGTCTGGATAAAACAAAATCCTTTGTCTTTTCCAACAATAGCAGAGTATTACACAATTATTAGTGTAATATTAAAAGTTTTATCAATGGAAACAGATATGGAAATTGAATTATCAATCTCAGAAGGGTCAAAATAAAAGATAACACATTTGTAAATCAGTTATTGTATATGTAGTATACTGAGTTTTTCAAGATACCAAACAGTTTAATGCTGAGTAATTTTTTTTACATATCACTAAATATCAATAGTAATTATTTAGTTAATGTTGTTTTTTCTGGTCAGTGTATGAACTCTACTCAATATCCATATATATGTATATATATAAATCAAATGGTCTTTTCACATCCTCTTTCTATTTTATTTATATTTTGTTATACTGTTTTTGTATTTCAGTATTGTCTATAAAGAAGAAAAGGGAAGAATGTTACATTAATTTTTGTATTTTATTAAGTATATAATAATTATAGAATATAATCGAGAATGGAAGTGTGCCCAGGTTATCCAATACATAAAGATCCTTGTTTTCAACAGTAATTGTGTTATTTATTTGTATGTATTTATTTCTACACGTTATATACAGAAGGTCAACAACTTTTAATTACAATAAAGTTATCAATAAACCCATCACTTAACCGAGACTATTGATTTCAGCACCAATTTAGACACACAGCCTTATGAGTAAATATTCATATTATCATAATATATCATAACTTTAATGATTCTGGATAGTTTTTTCTTTTTTTTTTTTGGTTTACTCTTATATTCTTAGAAAGTTCTGTTCTAATTTGTACACATAATGTAAATGATTGCATTTGTGTTTCAGATCAAAATAAAATGATATTTTAGATTTGGTAGATCATTTTATTTGGAAGAAAAAAAGAAAATCTTTTTAAAGATGTCGTTTTGAGTTTTAAATGTAAAAAAATATTCTGGAAAAGTTATATTTTGAACAAAAGTTAAGAGATTGAAATAAAGAACTTTAAAGACGATATAGAGTGTTACTTAGGAATGTTCATGTTAGGAATAAGCGCCTGTACTCATTGGATATATAGTAAACATTCTCAATATTATATTAAACAGATTTAGTACACAAAATTATAACAAAGTTCTTCACTTTCTTTCTCTATATACAACATAGAAATAATAATATACAAAGATTGTAAATAAGATAAAAATAATGTATTATGAAATCCTTGGCTTTATATATGTTAACATTCAGCCATTTTCCTCTACGAACAGTAAGATATTTAATAAACAAACTCAACAACTTTCGGTAACCTCTCAACAATTATTACTCAACAATTTATCGTTTAGTGTCTGCTAAAATCTTATTTTTCTATCTATTTCATTATAGAACATTATATTTCATTATAGAACATTCTATTTCAACAGTTCAATCATATAGAAACACGATTAACAAATTAAACCTATCAAGAATAACTAATAGATGAACTAAAAAGTATTTTTAATCACAATTCTATCAAGATTGATACAAGAAATTGTGCCTAAGAAATATATGAGAATAAATTTTTTGTGCTAAAGTCCAATATATATATATAAGGACAAGATAAAAAAAATATGAAAAAACAAATCTTGGTAACATGGTTCTCAGTTTTGGACACATGCTGCATTGATTATTAGTAACTATTTGTTTTATAATAAGGTACATTCAATTACCGGGGTAATCGTAGATTACGAAGATGCATTATAAGAAAACACATTACTTGCTATAAATAAATAGCAATGCTGATTTTTTAATGTATTTCATAATAATGAATAAAAAGAGTCAGCAAGCAATAATGGCCAGATCAAAAGGCAAGGACTTGCTACTGGAAACCAAAGGAATAAAGAAAGTGACCTACTTGAACTAATACACTCAACAGATGACAAAAAATAAAAGAAGAATGAGAAAAAAAAAAGAGATTCTTTTAGATTGGTATTAATAAAAAATATTCCTTGTTTAACTTAAACGATGATAACACAGAAACATCAGTATTTATGGATTCTCTTACTGATAATCAAAACTACAAGCAGGAGAATGTAGCTATGTATATTAAGAAAAAAAATAATATATACATATACTTTTTGATACTCTAATAAATAAATAAATAAAAAATAAGTAGAAGAAAGAAAAATAACATAATGTTTTAATGCAAAATAACAAAATTCTAACATACGTAAATTAAATATCACATTACATTATTATTATTATTAATGTTATTATTTAGTATTTTATAAGAAATTTCTTATTCTAGCTTGATTGGTATATTCCTTTTTTATTATCTTTTCCTTTTTATTTTTTTTTATTGATTTGTTACATAATCTAAAGGCAGAGAATTTAACAATGTATATACATATTAATCTAACATCTTTCCTTACACAATGATATTCTATAATCATCGTAGTTCAAGAAGTTCGTTTGTTTTCGATATCTTGAGATAACATCAAAATTTGTAAAGGTACTCCCTTCCCCTTTAAAGAAATAATATAAAGTGATAAAAAAAAAAAAAGAGGAAAAAGAGGAAAAAGAGGAAAAGGAGAAAAAAGAGTAAGGCAAAACTGCAATAAGTAACACAAGATCCTTTTATGAGAGTTTGACTATCTTTACAGTCAGAATTAACACTCAATACTATGAAAAGAAAACTTGGTTGTAAAGAAAGTAACTAAATTTTTAAAATCAACATCATATTTACAACAATAATGTTAAAACGATTATTGAGTAGGCCGTTAACAAAATGTCATTTCAGTCATGTCAGACGACTGAAATATGAAGATTTACACAACCCGTCAACTCGATCTAATGGGAGAATTCCAATTAGGGAATATATAAAATGGTTGAATAGGCCTTACATAATGGTCTGGGACGATTTTTTCAATTCAAAAACATTAAAAAGCGATGTAACGATCTGTCATGACATATTAGAGAATCATGGAGAGGGGATCACAAATTTTGAGCCATTTTTTAGTGAAGCCATGGCTAAATGGTTATGGACAACCTATACGTTGAATGACTACCCGTATTTCGATTTGAATATTGTAACTGTTTTCACGAATCTGCCAAAGGCTTTAGACACATGTAGTCACACAATGAAATTTTTTAAGGATGTTTTGCAGAGTGAACAGTTTACAAGAATCAATTATTTCATGGTCCCTTTGTATAGAATGGATGGACACATATCTGAGGAACAATTGTTATATAGAAGAATTCCGGGGAAAGTACAGATCATAAATGATATCAAAGTATCACCATTTCATGTATTAGGTGTGAAAAACGATCCTTCAAATACCTTCTGGGTGCAAGACCCTGTGTATATTATTCTTATGGATGATATTATAAAGTATATGGCACAGGATCAGATTAGAATCAATTCCGAAGGTGTGCTAGAACAAGGATATTTAAGATTTAATTCAAGTGGAGATTATTTTAGAAAAGAATATCATAAAGAAATTGATCCCTTATGTTCACAGGCAATAAATATTTTAGACAACACTATTGACAGCACCACAGGGATTGAACAATATATACCTAGTCAGTTAATCCAGTTATTTGAAATTATTAGTTCGATAATACCTGAGTATCGTATATTTGCATTGGATTTACAAAGAGACTCGTATAAAGATTATACCAGTTGGTGGTTAAAGACCTGGTATAACAAATTGACTTATTGGGGTAATAGTCATGACGATTGCATAACAGACCCAAATGTTTTATTAATACCGGAGAAAGAAGAACAATGGAATCATACCATGTATAAACGAATGACAAACAATGTGACATCAAGAGATTTAATCTCCTTTACGACGAATTTTAAACAAATCAAGAAAATATGCTTGAATTTTAATCCCAATATTAATGCTGTAAAATTACAATCACTATATCAATTTATGAATCAGTGGTATCAAGATGAATTCAATGCTATACCAGATGCATCTATTTACTGGAAACAACTGAGGGGAAGCCAACTGAAACTTATAATGTATCATCTAGTGTAATCTATTTTATTGAGGAAGAAAGAAGATAAAGAAAAATAAAACGACTTCACAAAGGCGCTAGCAACAACGTAGCAAGAATAGCGGAATTTGATGTATCCTTTTTTTTTTTTTTTTTTTTTTCGTTTCTTCTTTTTTTCTTGTTGAGAATAATCAAGACATTGAGTATAAAGGGGGGGGGGGAAGGAAAAGGTTGTTACTTAAACATGGTAAGGTAGATTCAACTATACAATAAAGGTTTTTTGAATAAAAGCTGCAATGATAACAACAGTTGTTGCCAAATATAGATAATTTCAAATATTATTTAGTTATTAGTTTTACAAAAAAAAAGAAGCAGAAAAAAACAAGAACGTTAAGCTTTAAAATAGAAAAAAAAGCCTAATTAATAAGACAAATTCATCTTTTTTTTTGTCCATTTATGACTGACCAAAAGGAAATTAAGGAAGATTTGGGAAAATCCAAATCAAGGGCACATGTCCTTCAAATCGATCGAGACTATTTTAATCCCTATAATGGATCACATTGGAGCATATCCACATTCCTTTATGACATGGCTATGTGCTTGTTCAATATCATGTTTACAATATTTTTTAGAGAAATTAAGGTTCGTGGTGCATGCAATATGCCTCAACAAGGTGTCCCCACAATCTTGGTATGTGCCCCACATGCCAATCAATTCATTGATCCCAGTCTTGTGATGTTGGAAACACGGAAATTGACTAGTGGTAGAGGTAGACAGGCATGTTTTGTGACTGCAGAATCCAGTATGAAAATGAAAATTGTTGGATTTTTTGGAAGAATTATGGGTAGTATACCTGTTCCTCGTGCCCAAGATTATTTAGAACCTGTGGATCCAAACATCGAAATATATTGTCCTGATTTTGATAATGAACCAACCTTGATTGAAGGCCGTTGTATAGAAGACCCATCTAAATCTCCAGAGTTTACCACTCACTTCATGGCCAAATCCTTGTTGGGTTTACCAGATTATTTAGCTAATGCCCAAATTAAAGAGGTCGTAGATGATAAAACAATAATTCTTTCATCTCCATTCAAATCATCTAATCCTCGCGTAGCAAAATTATTAAAAGATGGTACAAATTTTAAATATGCTAAAAAAGTTGATAACTCAAAAGTTTTCCAAAATGTATTCAATCATTTACACTCAAGTGGCACTGTTGGCATTTTTCCTGAAGGTGGGTCTCATGACAGACCATCTCTGTTACCAATCAAAGCGGGGGTAGCCATCATGGCATTGGGTGCTGCTGCTGCTGACCCAAATATGAAGGTTTATGTGGTTCCTGTTGGGTTACATTATTTCCATAGACACAAATTTAGATCCAGAGCTGTTATTGAATATGGTGAACCAATCATTGTGGATGGAACCATGGGTCAACAATATTTGGAATCTCCAAGGGAAACCACTTCAACATTGTTAAATAAAATCACTGAATCACTATATTCCGTTACTGAGAATGCACCAGACTATGATACTTTAATGACCATCCAAGCTGCCAGAAGGTTATTTCAATCATATGAAATACCTGAACACAGATTATCATTACCTTTAATTGTGGAAATTAATAGACGTTTGTTAGTTGGATATTCTAAATACAAAGAGGATCCTAGAATCATCAAATTGAAAGAAATGGTTACTGCTTATAATGATATATTGTATTCTTATGGACTAAAAGATCACCAAGTTGAAAAATTACAATCTTCTACAACTAAAGATGTTATCCGCTGTTTTTTTCTTTTAATCGAAAGATTAGCCAGGTTACTTGTATTTTTCGTTTTATCGTTACCAGGTTCGGTTTTATTTACTCCCATCTTCATTGTCAGTAATGTTTATTCCAAGAAAAAACAACGTGAGGGGTTAAAGAAATCTGTGGTGAAATTGAAAGGTTTAGATTTATTGGCTACTTGGAAGATCATTGTAGCTTTATGTTTGGCACCTATCCTTTATGTTACATATTCTCTAATCCTAATTTATACACAATGGCTATGGGTACCTTCAATAATATTAAATTCTACAATTGGTCAATTTATCTATTTTTACTCAATTCTGGTATTAACCACATATTCTAGTCTAAAAACAGGTGAGATTGGAATAGATTTGTTGAAATCATTGCGTCCATTATTTGTTTCATTGTTTTATCCAAATGACAAGATTACAAAACTAAAATCTATGAGGAAAGAATTGTCACATGAGATCACACATATCTGTGATGAGTTAGGGCCTACTGTATTCCCAGATTATGAGAAATTTAAAACCTTGAATGATTTTGAGGGAATGGCCTCTTTAGATTCAACTTTGAAGCCCGTACAACCCAGAAGCCGTTCAAGTTCAATTCATTCTATTGGGTCAATCTTATCTAATGCTTTATCCCGAGTCAATTCTCGTGGTTCCCTATCAGATATTCCAATTTTCCATGACTCAAGACCGCCAAGTTACATTGCAGGTTCCACAACAAACAGAGAAGATGTCGATAGCAGTGATGAAGAGGAATTCGAAGATGAGACGCATTGTAATGAGGAGAATGCTAGTGAGTTAAGGGCTAGAAACCAATCAAAGATTACTAATTTAATTAGAGAGAAATGGAAGGACCAAGATTAATATAAATATTGATGCATAGTAAATGATTAGTACTAAACACATGGAAATTATTTAATTAATATTCTTGTATATAAGATATGTATGTGTGAGCATATATATATCTCACTCTTTATGCACATTGCTGTTTTACAAAAGTAACATATTTAGAAGTAGTTTACAGATAGTCTATATCTATCTATCTATATATATATATGTAGGTTTTAGATTTAATTCAGTCTTCACCTAGTGGAATTTCATCTTTCAATATTTTATTTAATTTGACTCTAATCTCAGTGGATGCATCACCTCTTAATACATCAGAAACGAAACCAATGTCACAATCTAACTGAACCATCTCCAAAGCCCCCTTAAGCACACCGCATATAATGTTAGAATACCATAATTGTTTCTTAGCATCATGTGGAAGGTCTACAAATTCAGCCAACGGATTTTCTACCAAAATTAGGCTAAATGTATCTTTATTACTACTCCAATTATCTACTACTGGTGTTATATTAAGAAATACTTTGAATGCTACTTTAGTGATTACTTCACTGGTCATTATCATGTTTGGACAACGTGGTAATGCAGTCCTTGCCAAAAAATCCTCAATTAACCTTACACCAATATTATATCCCATAGAAAATAAATTTTCATTGATCTTCATGTAATCATTATTAAAATCTTGACATAATTGCTGTACAATAACACCATATGTCATTATGAATAATTCTGCGTTAACTTTTTCAATTTTATTCTTCCATATATCGTCACCAAAAGTTTTAAAAAATTTTGATTGGTTAGCACCTGTTTTAGATGATAAATTAGCGGCATGTGTGGAAAGAGAGGAGGACCTTGATTTAGACATGGTTAAAGTAGTTAAAACTTCTTATGAGATATAAAACGAAAACACGATAAAAAAAGGGAGATAATTAAAACTGATTAATTATAAAGTAATTTATGTTATATTATCTTGCTGCTTTGTTCTGGTTCTATACTTTTGTCAGTTGATACTCGTTTAATTGACAGCAGTTTCACTCTTTGATTATATACTGTGGATATAACTTAGATGAACATATTAAAAGGGAATGTTTAAAAATAAAAACAAAAAAAAATCGTTCCAAAAAAATATATTCCGCGTAGTTTTCGTACGGAATACTTCTAATGAAATAGATCAAGTGTCACAAATAATAAACAACACATGCAATGGCACAAACTTGTTGAAGGATAAGAGAAGTGTTTTCTTTGAATTATATAGTTAAGATCTATATGGATGTGTTAACATTGGTAACTTATTTTCTCTTGAATGCTACAAAAACAAAACAATAAACACACACACACACATATATATATAATGAGGAATTTAAAGTTCAATATTTCTTTGAAAACAATTTATTTCATAGTAATGACTGAAAAGACACTAATCTATTTACTAATTAATAAACTGATATAATAAGCGTTGGATATTTTCATAATGTATTTTATAGGTTTATGGTTTACAAATATTCTTTTTTCCTAAACAGAACATTTTATTTGTTTTATTTATTTGTGAAACTCTTCTATCCAATACCCTTGTGAGCTCAGATATGTATTCAAGATTGTATAGGGCTACTTATAAGACCTTCAAAATATAAAAATAAAATAAATAATAATAAAAGGTTTGATTAGGAAAATAGTTCATACAACTTTTTTTTTGTTAATCCTTAAAATTTTAACTCCTGAATTTTATAAAGTCGAATCTGTCTATCTATCTATCTACATATTATTTAGTGATATACTCAATAGAGATTGTCAGTTGTAATATATTGAAGATTATAGTCTGTGAACATTTGAAATAGAAAACATACTGTAAATCAATTTTAAATAGTATTTTTGATATATATATATATATGTATATATTCTTTACAAATCATCAAAAGACATTTTTTTTTCTTGAGAAATTTCTAATTACTTTCAGAATATCCGATAAATTTGATAAAAATAGTACATATAATTTACTTATTTTATTTAATTAGATAAATTGCAAAGTATATATCCAAAAGTGGAGAAAACTAATAACCACATATATCTATATAGTATTAGGTCATAATATATCATAACATCTTTTATATATTTTTCATGATCATTAAACAAAAAAAAAACTATATTATTTTTTTTTTTCCAAAATAAAACAGTTTACTAAGTTAGTTGTCAGTCTTTGTATGCTAACCTCTTCCATTAGATAAAAAATCATTTATTTTTATGTTGGGTAAATAAGCAAGTAACTAACTGAATACTTGCTGATTTAACCATATCTACTTAGTCAATCTTGCTCATCATAATACCATTACGTCTCTGATCATTAGATACCATGCATACACACTTTTAATGTCTCGTGAAAAGTGATATATAGAAACCCCTGCGTAAATCACTCTATACGGATACACAGTTTTGGAATCACAAATTTTGATGAAATTTTTGTGTGAGAAAAAAAAGAAAAACAAATTGTGTGACAAAAAGACAAAATATGCTGATTGATGATGAATAATGAAGAGAGAACCATCATGAGTAATGAACAGTGGAATCTGTATCTCCGAAGAATTTGACTAATTGTGGTCGGAAAGAACCTACGATGCCATGCTGATTCTATTCCACAATAATTGAGTTAAAAAACTATTAACAGAAAATCTAAAGGATAGAACTGATGTAATAGTAATTGCATTCTGCCATACCATTTTCCTCGGTCTTTCATAATCGGTATATGACAGAACCTACTCAAACTTTTACACAGGATTTCTTTATTCTTAATTGAACTGTGGGGTCTATTAACGATATTGATAAACTATACTCTATATTATCACTCATATTTACTCTTATCTGACTCTGAATGAGATATATCCACAATTTATTTGATATGAATATTTATTCATGAAGAATTGTATTTATACAAGTATACACACATATAAAGGGATACTTTAGATCTTGCACCAAGTTATTAGTTGAAGATTTTCAAATTTAAGTATATCTTTTCTGTATTTTGTTGATGCCCAAGCATCTAACAATAATAAACCGCATAATCAATTTTTGATACATATATACAGACATACACATACACATACAAATTAATTCTAAATTAATTTCCAACTATTTAATATTATAGCAAAAATAATATATATATATATATATATATATACAAAGAAATGAGTCTTCCTTTAATATTAAGTTCCAATACACATGGTGAAATCCATTTATTTGTTGGGACAGGTTCAAATGTATCTGTTCATGAAGATCATAGAGTTTGTTCATTAACAATTAAGAGATTACGTAGAGTCTTAACAACAGGTGCTATTCCAATAGTCATAAATCCATCTCATCCTACTCATATCAATGCAATCTTAAACGAGTTTAAATCTAAAGCTAACTTCTCCATTCAAATCATTGATCGTCAAGTGAGATTGAATGATTTAACCACTTTAGGTAGAAATATTACGTCTGGTGTAGTAGATAGGTTATTTATTAACCTTGGAAGTGATCAATTATCATTAGTTCAACCAATATATCTGCAATGTGTTAAATTGAGAATACCCATCAATACTTACCAACAACCAGAATATTCTACATTTACATTGCTACCTACTTACACTGATCCAAAAGGCTCTGGTTTACAAATCTCTGTAACTACTAATGGGAAAGGATATATTTTAGATGAAAGAATTAAAAGAGATATTGTTAATAATTTACCAGCAAATATCTCTGAAGTTATATCAAATATGGCATTTTTAAGAGATCAGTTAATTCAACAACATAATTCAGTACTCTTAAGGGAAAAATATATTGAGACGCCATTATCTTTACCTAAATTAGGATATGGCTTAGATAATGATCCATGGGATTCACACAAATTTAACCAATTGATCAAAGAGTTTGACATGACTAAAAATGATCAAAGACATAGAAGATGTAGATGGTTATCTCAAATCATGGAATATTATCCACTATCCAAATTGGATAAAATAACATTAGATGATTTGGAAGCATTAACAGATAAGGATAGTGCTTCAGAAATTCCTATAGAATTAGTATCTGAAAGGAAAAAAGAGGGTAGAATATCTCTTGTTGGTAGTGGTCCAGGTTCTGTCTCTATGCTTACTCTGGGTGCATTACATGAAATTAAAACTGCTGATTTAATACTTTCAGATAAACTGGTACCACAAGAGGTGCTAGCTTTGGTACCAAACCATACAAAATTAATAATTGCAAAAAAATTCCCAGGTAATGCAGAAAAGGCTCAAGCCGAATTTCTGAATCTTGGTTTGGAAGCATTGAAACAAGGACTTCACGTCATTAGATTAAAACAAGGTGATCCCTACATATTTGGTCGTGGTGGAGAAGAATATTTATGGTTCAAAGAAAGAGGATTCACTCCAATGGTCTTACCAGGTATATCATCATCTTTGGCATCGACAGTTGCAGCACAAATACCGGCTACCCAACGTGGTATAGCAGATCAGGTACTGATATGTACAGGTACTGGACGTAAGGGTACTATTCCTGAAGTGCCTGAATATGTACCATCAAGGACTACAGTATTTCTAATGGCATTACATAGAGCAGAAATTTTACAGAAGTCCTTACTGGAGAAGAAGTGGGATCCAGAGGTACCTCTTGCCATTGTGGAGAGAGCCTCTTGTCCTGACCAACGTGTTACTAGAACTAAGTTAAAGTATTTACAACAAACCGTGGAAGAAATTGGTTCAAGACCGCCTGGATTAATTGTTATAGGCCACGCAGTAAATCAGCTAACGGACGATGCTAATAACTTTACTGAAACTTTTACTCATATTATAGATGAAGGATTTAATGATGTTGAGATAGATGCAACCAATGTAAACTTCACTATTTGAAAGGAACAAAAATATCAAAATTAGATGATTAAATAATAATAATAATAATAATAAAATATTTATAGAGTTCATCATGTATATATGAAAGACATTAACCACTAATAATGCATAAGTTTCATTTATACACATATATACATGTCTAGATACAGACACTCCTTCATAAGTATACACATGAATAACGTTTAAAAACTTTATGTTTGTTCTGTTACTTTTTTGCTAAATTAAGTTGCTGTTACTTACATAATAATAATGATGAGTCATCCTTTCTACATCATGACATAATCATCACGTCGACCAAAGATTCCAAACAAAATAAAAAAAAATAGAAACAAAAAAGGGAAGAAAAAAGTAAATCCCAAACCTTTGATTTAATAATACTGGGTGAAACTTACGTAAAAACTCGAGTTCAAGCTTTCTCAAAATATGAAAAAGATGGAATATTGTGAGATTCATACTATTTAATAACATATTATCGACAAAATTGAAATAGAACAAGAATAATTACTCGAGACAACGATGTTCAGAAGACTTCTCCATACAAGATCTGGCCAAAGTATTGCCTTTGCCTTTGATATAGATGGTGTCCTATTAAGAGGGTCAGAACCAATTGCTAGAGCTGGTCAGGCGTTACGCATTCTAAATGAGAACAAGATCCCTTATGTTTTACTAACCAATGGTGGGGGTTCTTTGGAACATGAAAGAACCCAGTTTATTTCAGAAAAATTGCAAGCACAGATCTCTCCTTTACAGATTATACAGTGCCACACTCCCTTCAAGACTTTAGTCCCCAAATATAAACGAATTTTAGCTGTAGGGACACCTAGTGTAAGGAATGTGGCGGAGAACTATGGTTTCAAGGAAGTAGTACACCCAAACGATATTGTGAGATATAACCCAGACATTACGCCATTTTCAGGACTATCACCAGACCAATTACAAAAATTAGCCAAAAATATTCCTGATATAGACACGGTTCCATTTGATGCAGTGTTAGTGTTCAATGATCCAAGAAATTGGGCAGGAGATTTACAAATCATATCTGATTTACTGAATAGTGAACGTGGAATGCTTAATACTATGAGACAACAAAATAGTTCCATATCATCGGTTCCCATATATTTTACGTGTAATGATTTATTATGGGCGAATCCATATAAGTTAAATAGATTTGGTCAAGGTGCATTTAGAAAATTAGTGCATACATTGTACAAGTCATTGAATCCAGGACAAAAATTAAGTGATTTTATTCTGGGGAAACCCACGAAACTGACATATGATTTTGCACACCATGTTTTAATTGACTGGAATAATAAATTACAGAATAGTGATAATATGGACAAATTATACGATATTGATTCTAACATTCAACAAATATTACCTCCTTTAGGGGAGGAATGTCCGAATGAAAAATCCCCATTTCAGGGCAATGTGTTTATGGTTGGTGACAACCCTGCAAGTGATATCACTGGAGCACAAAACTATGGTTGGAAGAGTTGTTTAGTCAAAACAGGTGTATACCGTGAAGGAGATAAACTGGGCCATCTAAAGCCAACAATGATCGTGGAAGATGTTTGTGAAGCAGTGCTAACTGCATTAGACAAGTATCATAGTTAGATTTATTTAACCTCATACTTTATAAACATAGTTGAAAGAAAGTTTAAATAAATCTTTTTCTTTTTCTTTTTGTTTTTCTTTTATTTTTTCTCGCATTTTTTGGTAAACTTGTAGACATATTATGACACCTAATCTAACTTTCTTTACCTTGCACGTAAAATGAACAGAACCAAGGCTCTCCTTCAGCCTCGACCCCAACTCCAGTTCCACCTCAAAATCTGCAGAAACAGTTTGGCACCTTCAAATTCTTCGAGAGATTTTCCAAAACAAAATAAAATAAAATAAAAAGAAACGACAGCTTTTCTGTCATTCACGTGCTCGAAAGTCTCGACCTCCCAATTTTTTTTCGCTTTTCTTATTTTTCCCTTTCCTTCCTCCATTCCCTTTTGATGTTTTTATAATAGCAAAGTGAAAAATTAAGCATTTTTATCTGTCAATTGATCGGCATAGCAGTATCACTCAATATACACATTTATATACATATTTATGCATGTATACATAGATATATACGCAAGTGATAAGTGGATTCTATATTATTAACAACTTCTGTTTCAGGTATAGGATATTAATATTACTTTACAATCGAACAAATAAACAGTTCACATATACATACATATATATATTTTAGCATCCGTTATTTTATTAAGTTATACAACCTCCATCCTTTCCATTTTTGAACTTACCAGTATATCAAATATATAACGTATACATAGAGGAACATGTCGAAAGAGGAGGCCATTTTCAGGTCAGCTGATATGACCTATGTCCAGTTATATATTCCGTTAGAAATATCAAGAGAAATTGCTATGCTATTAGGAAAGCTAGGTCTTCTTATGTTCAGAGACTTAAATTTGGATCTAACTGATTTTCAAAGAGGTTATGTTTCACAGTTGAGAAGATTTGACGATAAAGAAAGGAACCTGTCCTTTTTGAAAGAGATGTTAACTTCACATAGTGAAGCTGTCTGGCACTCAAACAGTCATTCTTATGTGTCTCATGACATTGCTGTCAAAGATTTGGATTTCTATTCTATCGATCAAATTAATGAATATATGGAAGATATAGCTGTTGTATCGGAAAGAGTGAAACAATTAGATGAGTCATATGGTAATGTGCAAAGAAAACTGAACGATCTTTTAGAGAACAGATATGTGATATCTAAATGCTCAAGATTTTTTCAAATAAACCCAGGATTTGTAGGAAGGATATCAAGAGACTTAAATGATCAAAATGAATTAGATGTAGAAGATTTTGCCCTTTCCAGTGAAGAGAATCTAGTGTCGAATACCCTCCACAATAACACTAACAACAACAGTAGTAGTAGTCCTAATTTAGATAATAATTCACTTGATAGTTTTGAGATACATGATGAAAATGATAGCTTTGGTAATGATAACGAATTTTTTATGTTAGAAAATGGGTTACATCATCAACATATGATTGTAGGCTCAATTAATAGAAGTAAAGTGGAACTTTTGAACAGGATCCTGTTTAGATTGTTACGTGGTAACCTATATTTCCAAAATATCCCTATTGAAGAACCTTTATTAGAAAATGATACTCCAGTGGAAAAAGATTGTTTTATGATATTCACTCATGGTGAAGTATTAGTTACGAAAGTTAAAAGAGTTATTGATTCATTGAATGGTAAAACTGTACTCATGGATAAAGATCATTTCACCACAATGAAAAATCTTAATAACCGAATTGAAGAGATGGAACATATCCTAACTTCCACAGAACAAGCTTTACACACAGAATTATTGGTAGTCAATGATCAAATATCATTCTGGAATGCCATAATCAAGCGTGAAAAATATGTCTATGCCACACTAAATCTTTTCAGACAAGAAACCCATGGCCTTGTAGCAGAGGGTTGGATTCCATCTTCGGATTTGAATTTCTTATCCGATAGTTTGAAGGATCAAATTGAAATATTAGGCTCAGAATATAGTGCTGTAGTAACCGTTATCCATACTAATAAATTACCACCAACTTTTTATAGAACTAATAAATTTACTGCAGCTGCACAAGCTATCGTGGACTCCTATGGAATTTCCACATACAAAGAAGTTAATCCCGGTCTGGCCACTATTGTCACTTTCCCCTTTATGTTTGCCATCATGTTTGGTGATGCTGGTCACGGGTTCATAGTATTTTTGATTGCTATGTATTTAATATTGAATGAATCTAAATTTGAAGTAATGAAACGTGGAGAAATGTTTGATATGGCATATAGTGGTAGATACATCCTTGTAATGATGGGTCTTTTCTCGATTTTTACCGGGCTCATGTATAACGATATTTTCTCCTTATCAATGACCTTCTTTAAGTCTGGCTGGGAATGGCCTTCAAGTTTCAAAGAAGGTACTTTAGTAGAAGCCAAGAAAGTAGGGATTTACCCCTTTGGACTCGATTATGCTTGGCATGGTACTGATAATGGGTTGATCTTTTCAAACTCATATAAAATGAAACTGTCCGTTTTAATGGGGTTTGCTCACATGACTTATTCTCTATGTTTCTCATACGTCAACTATAAACACAATAATTCTAGGATAGATATTATCGGTAACTTCATACCGAGCTTTTTATTTATGCAATCCATATTTGGTTACCTCTCCTGGGCAATCATATATAAATGGTCCAAAGATTGGATTAAAGATGGAAAACCTGCACCAGGTCTATTAAACATGCTTATTAACATGTTTTTAGCTCCAGGTAAAATTGATGATCCATTATATAAAGGTCAAGCAGCCTTGCAACAAATTCTTTTGATTATCGCAGTAGTATGTGTACCATGGCTTTTATTATATAAGCCTTTAACTTTAAGGAAAATGAATAATGAAGCCTCAAGAAGAGGTTACCAAAATATTCATGATGAGCAAATCAACGAGGCTCTATTAGATACCCAAAGAGATTCCACTGAGAGTGATGCAATGATTATTACAGATTTTGAAAGCGATGAGAATTTGCATGGTAACAATGGTGAATTTAATTTTGGTGATATCATGATTCAACAAGTCATTCATACCATAGAATTTTGTTTGAACTGTATCTCACATACTGCTTCATATTTACGTCTTTGGGCTTTATCGTTAGCTCATGCTCAGCTATCAAGTGTTCTATGGGATATGACTATACGTAATTCATTCTCTTCCAAAAATTCTGGTTCCATTTTATCCGTTATATCTGTTGTATTTTTGTTTGGAATGTGGTTTACTTTGACTTTTTGTATCTTAGTGTGTATGGAAGGGACTTCTGCTATGCTACATGCATTAAGATTACATTGGGTTGAAGCCATGTCCAAATTTTTTGAAGGGGAGGGTCATGCATATGAACCATTCTCCTTTGCCTCAATTGAATAAATACATATTAAAACAAAAAAAATATTTGACAGATTGTAATATTATATATATATATACATATACCTGTGTGTATTGAATATATATTTTGGTTAAGAGAAGAATAAAAAAAGATATTCAAGTCGTTAAAATAATAAAGATATATAAGTTAATACACATATATATATAATTAGATATAATTAGAAATAAATAGGGAGAGGTTTATAAAAAGAGATTTTTCAAATAAATCAATTCAGTGAAAACCTCTGCTAACTTTATCTAAAACATCATCATAAGAAACTTCGGAGAAGTCAGTACCTTGAATATCAGAAGCAACACCATTCAAAGACTTTCTCAAAGCATCCTTAGAAGAAGCATAAACCATCTTAGATCTGATTGGAGCAGTATCTGGAGACCAGGTGAAGAAAACAATCTTAGATCTTTTACCTTCATTTGGAATTTCATATTCAAAATCATAGACAGCGTATAAACATTCGTTTTCTGGCAACTTTTCTAAGAAAGCGTCATAAGAAGAATCAGTGGAAGTTTCTTTAACAACAATTTGGGTCTTGTCATCATTTAAGCCAAATAAGATAAACTTATATTTCTTACCTAATTTTAAGTCGTTAAAGGCAGTTAAAGATTCATCAGCAACAGTAACACTATATTCAAATTTCAATACTTTTTTATTGTAATTGATTTATATTTGTATTTAATATGTATTAAGAAGAAGGAATGCATTTAAAACATACAATACCAGAGGAAAAGACGGGCTCGACCTCAAATGATCATAAACTTTTGTGTTATTTCCAAGATAGGAATATTCATACAATAATGGGATTGCATATTTCAATTACTCAAATTTAATACATATATACTAATATGTTAGTAAAAGTTACATCTCCAAACCCTTTATATCAAATAAATAGAAGTTGTGCAAAAGGTAACAATTCGCATTAGTCATAATACAAATGATCTCCTAACATACCCAGATCTAGACATTTTTAATATATGTAATCAATTGAATTTTCTTTGGAGGAAGGCTATTCGGTTTGAATCCAAACCAAGAGGAGAAGACTTTAGGGAGGAGCCCTTATTAAAAAGTTGTTTATTAAATAATGGCTAGTTTATAGTTTGTGTCTATTAAACTGTTTGAATGTTTTTTTACTCATGTTCATTTTGCTTCTATGGAATTTTTCACAAAGACAGGGGAACTTGTCTCCGTTCGTACTCAATGATATGAGCAACAGATAGTTTCGAGTTGTACAAAAGCCACAGTTGCAAATAAATAAGTGCCACAAAATTTTCTAATGATATGACACTAGAAACAATCTGTTACTTTAAAACATTAGAGGATAAGTGAATTCAACCAGTTGAGCCCAGTTATAACGATTTGCTTCATTTTGTATTTATGAAAGTTATAGTTCACACCTCTAAGACCTACAAAATTTCTTTCTTTCTTTTTATATATATTTCTTTATATGGTATCTATATAATACATGTCTTAAGATATATTAATAATCGAATATACATACATATATACATACATAAATATTTTAGAACAGATCATTCAACGGTTATTGTTATTCAATTTTTGAACAAAGGCATTCTTGGCCATTTCAATCAGAGCATCTAATTCACCACTGCGTTCACACATACTGTAGAATAAACTTTCCTTATTTAACAATAAGGAATATGGATGATCATACTCTTTTACTTCACCAGCATCCATCACCAAAATTTTATCATAATCAATAACAGATCGTAGACGATGTGCGATTGTAAGAATAGTACTTTCGTTAAATTCTTGTCTAATGGTAGCTTGTACCTTTGCATCACTATCATAATCAATAGAGGCTGTAGCTTCATCTAATAATAAAATCTTTGGAGAACGCAATAAGGAACGGGCAAGACACATTAATTGTCTTTGACCTTGAGATAGATTTCCACCACCTTCTGTAACTTCATTAGACAAATCTAAGAATCTGTTAACATTAACTGAAGCTACGGAAGTCTGATCATTGGCATAATTATTATTACCATTTCTGTTTTCAGTGTAATATTGCTCCAACTCTTCAGGCGTAACCAAATTAACACGTCTCAACGCAGCAAATATAGCTTTATCACTATACTCATCATATGGATCTAAATTGCTTTTTATAGTACCTGCAAATAACGTAGGATCTTGTGGAATAATAGTAATGGCACGACGTAGCATGGTCAAATCAATAGAAGTGATATCATAATTATCAATTTTAATATATCCCGTTTCAGGATCAAGGAATCTAAACAGTGCAGTAATGATGGTTGATTTACCAGCACCAGTCCTTCCAACTACCCCAACTTTAGATCCTGGATCAACAGTAAATGAAACATTCTTAATAACACGTGGCAATTTCGGAGCATAACGCAACGATAAGTTATTGACTTCTATTTTACCATCATTTGGCCATTGAATTGGTGGTGTTTGAATAATTTTATTTTGATGCGCTACATACTCTTCTTTGTCCACATTCATGTATTCCTTTAATCTTTCAACAGAATTCATATTCATTTCCACTTCACTATAGAACCTAACCAACCAAAGAGCATCTTCAGTAAATGCAATAGCATATGTTAGTGAGATACCTGCTAAACCAGCATCAATGTTCTTAATATCAGCAAGGATAAATATACCGGCACCAAATACAACTAACGCTCCAATAATATCAATTCTGAAAGCTAGCCAACGATTTGCTACCCACAAGTAAAAGAATGGTCTGTTATTTTCATCTATCTTTTGAAGATTTTCTTGAAGAAACCTACTTTCATCACCAAAGGCTCGAATAGTAGTAACACCAACCAAAGTCTCAGAGAAATGCTGATAAATTGGTGACTTTGTTGTAGAATCTAGTCTCTTTAATTCACGGGAACCTGCCATGTAAAAGTAACCAACAAGGTAATATAAGATACCTACCATAATTGCAATAGAAATAAATTGTGGTGTAATAAATGTAATTAACATAACTGTTGTAACACAACCCATTAAAGTGCAAATGGCACCATGCAAATAAGGTGTTAATTGTTGATCTGTTGACTCAATATCCTTGGAGAAACGGTTCATGATTCTACCAATAGGTGTGGTATCAAAAAATCTTAATTTCGCACGTAAAACTGTATGCAATAATCTTTTAAAGATATCTCTGGAAGCATAAATACCATATAAATAGGTAAGGAATAGCTTAAAAATAGCAAGAGACGATTGAGAAACACCAAACAACAAATAAATCAGTAAATAATACATAGTAGAATGATTATTCTTAATTAAAACATGGGTATCAGACGTGGAATTAGTTTGGGCAGTATTAAAAATAGTTGTATCAATTGAACTAGATGGAATACTAGAATAGAATTTAATATTAAATGGATTTTTTGAAACAAAAATATGCTTAACAAAAGCTACAACATTATCACTAGGTAAAATAGCAGCCCATTTACGTAGCCACCATGATTGACCAATCTGGAAAATTTCTGGAATAAAGAAAAGAATTAACATATATGAAACAACTTTTAACCCACCAAATGCATCTAAAAACCATTTGTAAACATCTAAACTAACAATACCTTCAGCCTTAGTCTCTTCTTCAATTAGTTTACCATCATCTTCATTAATTTTAGTTCTTTCTGTACTCTCAGTGTTTTCTTTCTTACCTGTCTCAGTATCCATTTTCTTTGCCATTAAAGTATTTATTTTGAGTGTAGGATGGTTAACATCATTACTAATACTAGTTAATGATGCAGCTCTAGATAAAATGCTACTTTTAACTAATTCATCTTCTCCTAACACACCTCTATCTAATAATTCCATTGGCGTTCCCTGTTCCTTGACTTCACCATTCTCTAAGAGAACAACAAGATCAGCATTCTTCAAAGTCAATGCAATATTATGAGACACCAAAATACATGTTCTATTTTCCATCAATGGACCACTGATACAATTCTCATATATCCAAGATGCTGTATGAGCATCCACGGCACTTAAACAATCATCTAAGAGAACATGTTTTGCATCAGAATATAGAGCCCTAGCCAAAGAGATTCTTTGCTTTTGTCCACCAGACAATGTAATACCCTTTTCACCAATTTCTGTTTTATCACCAGCTTTCAAAATTTTAAAATCACGAACTAACCCACATGCATTAATAACAGCTTCATATCTGGTCTTATCAAAGGGACGATTGAAGATAATATTATTTCTAACTGTGTCATTTAGTAACCAAGCAGCTTGAGAACAGTAGGCGATAGAGTTGGTAAGCCCATCTGAATCAGGTACTAAAGCTTGTCTAGCTTCTAAAGATGGCACTATAATTTTACCTTTTAACAAATGCATCTCACCTAATAAAGCCATTAATAATGAAGTTTTACCAGAGCCAGTAGCACCAATGACTACATTTAATTTACCGATCTTAAAATCAATATTTAAATTTCTTAATTTAAATGTTGATTCTTTATCATCCCATGCAACAGTAGTGTTTTCAAAAGCTAGTTTATTCCCTCTTGGAGCAATAGTTAACTGTTGATATTTTTCTGTATCCATTTCTTCTAAGAATTCAGCTACTCTATCTAAAGAAATTTTAGATTGAATAACAAAACTTAACATATCAGATAACCTATCTAATGGATCCCTTAACAAAGCAAATAAAGATAAAGCTGTGAATGCGATTGGAGTAGTCAATGGCATCTTCTGAACATAAATATAGTAAGAGAAGGCAGCTGTAGTAACAAGAGTTGGAGTGATAAACCAAACAAAGCCACCTGCACCCCAATAAATAGTTCTTTTGATCAAATATTTTAATTCTTTATCTCTAATTTCATTGATCTCCTTCTCAAAATTATCTTCCCACGAAAAAAATTTAATAATCCTAATTGCTTGAAATGCTTCATTCAATTTTTGTATACGTTTATCTGTGACAGCTAAAGTCTTCTTTTGTAAATCACCGATGATAATAGCCAATTTGAAATTGATTGGAACCATAATTAAGATAACTATTGTTCCAATGATTGCAGAGAGTCCAATTAGATTGTATAACAAAGTCAATGCAATTATTGTCATCACTACGGCTTCCACAAAAGAATGTAGATAACCACAAATTTCTGAGATTTTAAACGCATCAATAGCCATCAAATTGATAATAGTACCCAATTGAGCCTTGGAAGAGGATTCCTCATCACCATCAAAATGATCCTTTTGATTTCTTTTTTGTGGATCTTCCTCAACAACAGTAACTCCAGTATTTTCATCAGCGTTTTGATCCTGTTCTTTTTTACTTGTAGTAGAAATTTTTCTTCTTAAAGCCTTTGAATAAATTTCAGATATAATAATACTCTTCATTCTAATACAGACTCTTCTACCTAAAAATAAAGCCTGACCGTTAGCAATTGCTACAAAGATTTTACAAACAAACATTAGAATGACATAAAGCCAGGCAAGGTTCCTTGGAGCCGAAGATTGGTCCTCAACATATTCCAAGATTCTTTTCAGAAGGATGGTTGGTATAAAAGAGATAATACTTGCGAGCAAGGCCCATACACCTTGTAATAAGAAATAATCAGAGAAGAAAGATAATAATTTGAAAGTAAAACTTCTTTTTTTACCAGTTGGGGCAAATTTTTTACAATAATTTTTAAAATTTTTGTTAACAAAGATCGAGTAATCTTCTAGTTTCAAACCCCAAACATCTTTCATTGTAATATAATGATTGTTTGCTACCCAGACGAACTTATCCAGCCACGACCAACACACAAAGGAAGCAATAGAGGTGGTAGATTCAGGAGATGGTATAATATCTTCTTCAGTTTGATACAGAACTCCGAAATCATTTTTAATGGGAGAAAATAGTAACAATAATACTAGTATCAAATCGATCCAAAATTGAATAGTATAGTAATTTTTGATTAGTGGAGATTTAATATGACCAATAAGAATTGAACGGAATGGGAATATATTAAAAGTGAAACCGATCAAATATGAAAGGAATGATAAGCTCCAAATATTACCCATATATTTATTGATAAACCACTTATTTTGGTTAGCATTAAAACATCTCATAGTTATTAAACTGAATAAAATAGACCAAAGGATTACATTTATCAAATTCTGATTCTTAATACTACCATAATTGAAGTCTATTAGATCTTGATATGAAGAAGACTTCAATAAAATGACTAAATGGAACAATAATTGTGATAAAACCAAGATACACTCTAAAACCAACCCCATTTTTTCCATTGGGCCACGACTAACAATAGTAACTTTACCATGTGGCTCACCATTCAATTTTATTAATTTCAAGTTTTCTATAGAAAAATGACGATCAGTTAAAGATTGTTCATTATTGTTATCATTAATATTATTGTTATTTTCAGTATAAGAATAATTATGATTATTAATGTTATGATTAGTCAGTGATAATAAACTTTGTGATTCTGGGTCATTTATGTTAATTGTATCATGATGAGACAAAGATAGTATTTCATCAATTGGATTTTTCTTTTTAACTTTTAATACATTGAACTGATAATAGTTAGACAAAATATTATAAGCAATAATAATTATTAAAACTGCACTTAAGTATAAGGGCACCATATAATTTATAACATAGGCCCTACCACACGGCGTGACGTCATCGTAATCCCAAAAGTGACAACTTTTTGTATAGTTCCTCATTAAAGAAAGTATGTTATAATTATCACTACTGTTTTCCATATTCATCACCCACGGAAACAAGCAGAATGACAAACACTAAGAAAGAGGATATTATATATAAATGTGGTTGAAAATTAAACAGAGGTGAATACTCTGGTTAGGATCTGTGAAAATATACAAACCTCTAACGAATATAAATTAGCTAATACAAATGCATACAAAAACACTCTTCATATATATGTATATATGTATATGTATATATATATATATATTATAATTCCATATCGTTTATTATCTTATCAAACAATGTCATCTCACACTTAGCCTAAATTTCTCAAATGATGGTGATGGAATGAAAAGTAAAAAGTGAAAATAAAAAAAAAAAAGAAAAGAAAAGGAAAAAATGTGACAAAAAGGGAAAAATACAAAAAAAATTTTCATTTTTTTTTTGTTTGGATTGACTTCTTCCTACCTATCCCTATGGTCAATTAGTCTATCCGTCTATGTATCCCTGTCTCTTAATCCTTTCTAGGTTCTTATGCAACTGTGACTGATTCATGCGTGAACATATGCGTTCTGATATTCAAATATAGCATGATAAGATATTTGCAGAATAGAGTTAGACTATGTCATTATATGGAATGACTCAATGGATAGATGCCGATAGACTACTTCTTTTTATTTTTATTTTCATTTTTTTTTTAAAGTGTACAAAAATTATCTGACAGAATAGACGCCTATTGAAGATTATATTTCATCACTTTTAAATAAAAGTTTGCTACATCTTTCTTAACATCGCTTACTTGGTTCTGACTTGGAAAACTCAGGTTAACCAACTTATCAAGTATACAGATATCCATCTTTCCATGTAACGGTTTTTATAATACAACAACTGATTACCAATGATATTTTCTGTATCGCAGACCCCGACCATGAACCATGGTTCATTATCAATTAAATCAATATTCAATACAAACCAACTAGGCAATCTAGAATTTTTCTTTAATCCACCAATTGAATCATAATTTAATCTTACTGAATCAAAATTTTCTTCTACTTGGTCCCATAATCTAAAACATAACTGTGGTTCTTGAAAGATTGCTTCGTAGCAAACTAATATTTCAACTATGATTTTCTTGTCACTTGAATCTTTGCCACTATGCTTCTGTGTTGTAAATGTATGAGATGAATTTGTATCTATTTCATTTGATATGATGAACTGACATTTCAAGACTTGACTCAAACCCTCATGTTTATTCTTATTCCCCTTATCAATAAATTCCACACATTTACAATTAGATATGTTTTGTAGATTACCTGATTTGTATATATCAAACACCTGTGACTTAAAATCTTCTTCACCAATCATCTTTCGTTTTACCGATTTCTTGTCAAAGTATATAAGGAAATTAATATATATTTAACTAAACAGGTAGGCATTATAAAATACATAATAAATAAATGAATAAATAATTAACTAAGACTTAGAAACATTAACTACAAGCACCAACAAATGAATAAATAAAATAAACTAGAATAGAATAAATAAATCAAAATAATAATAATAATAATATGATAATAAAAATTAAGGAAAAAAAAAAAAAGAAAAGAAAAAAATATCACAAATAAAACCCAAACGAAATAAGCAGTTTTTAAACAGAATAAAACCCAAATAATTAAGAGATTTTATGATTTTATACCAGACCCATTTACTCAAGTGAAGGCCATTTGTTTCTTAATTTCAGCAATAGCTTGGCCTGGATTCAAACCCTTTGGACAAGTTTTGGTACAGTTCATGATAGTATGACATCTGTATAAAGACATTGAGTTTTGTAACATCTTTCTTCTCTCTTTGACGGCTTGATCTCTGGAATCGATTAACCAACGGTAGGCTTGTAGTAAAACGGAGGGACCTAAATATTCTTCTTGGTTCCACCAGTAAGATGGACATGCAGTGGAACAACATGCACAAAGAATACACTCGTACAAACCATCTAACTTTTTTCGGTCCTCGATGCTTTGTAAGACTTCCCTACCATCTTCCGGGAAAGATTTTCTTTGTAAGAAAGGTTTAATAGATTTATATTGTTGATAGAAATTGGTTAAATCTGGGACTAGATCCTTGACAATATACATATGTGGTAGTGGGTATATCTTCAAGTTCTTTGATTCATTTTGGTCGATCTTACAAAGACAGGCCAAAGTGTTTCTACCACCAATATTCATGGCACAGGAACCACAGATACCTTCTCTACAAGATCTTCTAAAAGTTAAAGTGGGGTCTTGCTCATCTTTAATCTTAAGCAAAGCATCCAAAACCATGGGACCACATTCATTTAAATCGACTTGGTAATCTTGCAATCTTGGCTTTTCTTGTGGTTTGTCAGGATTCCACCTGTAAATCTTAAAGGTCTTTAATCTTGGGGCTGCTGAAGTTGCTTTAGTAGCTGCCGTAGCTAAATTTCTTTTAGTTAAAATGTTTCTCATAGAGATCATGACTATTATCTTAAATAATAATAATAATAGTTAAACAAAAATAAAAGAGAGAGAGAGATGAAATATATTGTATAATTAGTTATCTTCTTATAACAGGATGATGAGGCAAAAGAAATAATATCAAATAAATATAATAACGAAAGTAGATGTATATTTTATTTATGTATGTATTTCTCTATCTATTTATCTTATTTTTTGCTTTTGCGTTACTCTTTTATGCAGTTAGAGATGTTTGTGTTAGATCATACACTTATGATTAAAAAGAAGAAGGGGTTTAAAGAGAAAGACAACTTGACTAAATATATATTATTTTTTTTTCTAAAATTCCTTATACTTACTTCTTCCTTACAAAAAACAAAAAAAAAAAAAGAAGTTATATTTGAATTAAGTTGTAAACAATTAAGCTGTTATATATATGTATGTATGTATATACACATGTACGTATGACACTAGGAAAAAGGAAAAAAGATGCGATTCACAAGACACAGAAACGTAAAAGCAAGAGCAAGTAGTTAGCAATGCACGATTAACGACTACTCTAAATAACAATAAAACAGGAATAAATAAATGAATAATTTATATATATATATACATACAGGTAAATAGATAGATACACTCACAAAACAGAAGGGAAGAGACTTAAACTGCCCCTCCTGCCTCACTCCTCCCAATTCTTCCGGTGGTAATTAGCGTGTATATATAACCTAGGATATAAGATGTGTCAACCTGTATAATCTGGGCTGCAGTCTGTACTACGTATAGAAAAGATAAAGATAAAAGATAAAAGATTTGCGATCTTTGCGCCTCTCTTGTTGTTTACATCTTGGACTTTCTCTTTCTCTTTTCCTCTTTGCTTCTCTTCTCCCTTTGGCTCTTTTTTTTTTTTTTTTTTTTTTTTTTTTCAGTTGCTGTAATTAGGGGAGAACGCTGATTGAAAAAACAACAATTGCCGGAGGAGAAATTTCCTTTGTTTTTGTTTTTAGCCAATGAAAATCTCGGAGTTGTAGAAACTATGTCTTTCTGTGTTTCTTTCTGTGTTTCTTTCTGTTTTTTTTTTTTGTATTTTTATATTTTTTTTTCCAATTCGTTTTTCCATTGGACCGAAAGAGCTTCACAGGTTCTTTCGTCTCTTCCTTCATGTTGTTGATATCAAGCTTATGTTCTTTTTTTCACTTAGGGGAAAATCTTATTATGGTGAGGAACAATATGCTGTCTTGATTAGGATGTAAATATAATATACATATATATGTTTACATACATATACATATGTATATCCATTACTTACATGCTTATTTTTGCTCTTATCGTTACTATTTGCACCATTACAGTGTGGCTTCACAATACTTGTTATATTCTAAAACAGCAATCTTGATATGTCTGTACAAATATTTCTTCTCTGCAGGAATTTCAATTGGTATGAAATATTCACTTTGCATCTTCAGTTTTATACGTATACCATCCGATTCGACAGATATTCCTTGAATAGAATTGTATGAAGTACCCCACATACATTCTAATGGAGCTATTCTAACCTCACAGATCCGTTCCATCGAAACTATAACTGCTAATTCTCTGCCGGGTAGTATCACATGTGCTAAGTAATGGTCATTTATAAATAATCCACCATTACACGTTTTTAGCCAGAACTGGCCTTGTGATTCTCTTAAGTTATAACTATTTATCACTTGTTCATATAGGTCAATATGTCTTGGTAAACGTGCTCTCGACGCTGACATTCCTCCTGCTAATGTAGATGTACTTTTTTTCACACCTTGACTCAAGTTACTTGTTAGATCAAGGATCCCAATGGCTGTTTTCGTTGGTAATCCGACCAACCCCTTTCCAATCCCCTTAAAAAACCCTGTGGTACCTTCCCTTTGACCTCCACGTAATGGATCCATCGCTAATCCTGCAATACCACTACCTACAGTAGATAGAAATGATGTAGCAGAATTACCAAGAACGTTCCCACCATTATTCACGATCCTCTTTTGTAATCTTCTAGCTTCCTGAAATTCTCTGTCTTGTGTCACCGATAATCCCTTTGCCATGGATCCAGTAAACTTAGTCATACTATCAGATATACCATATACAGTCTTTTGTGCAAAACTCAACCCACCTTTGGCTATATGCAAGCCAAGCTCTTGTGGTCTGTCATTCAACATATACCCTTGATATGGTTCATAGAATAAGTCCCAAACACCTGAACTTATGGTGTTGAATAGCCCAACTGGATTACCAAGGAAATCCGCAGATCCCAATATCATATGAATTTGATATATAAATTGTTGCCCGTAATGGGTCTTTATTAAATCATATAACATCGCAATTGGTACCCTTGAGTTGTTTAGTAATAATGAATTCAACTTAATTGGTGCATCATTCACATTACCTACTGCCATACTCAATATATTTAAGAAATACATTGAGGATAGGGCCGTCGTAAATTCTGGAATCTCAATTGATCCATCTCCCTCCTGTTGCAATCTTTCACTTCTAACAAAGGATATATGTAATTGAGTAGGTTGAATATGGAAAAGTTCAAAATATATATCATTCGCAAAACTTTTTTTATTAAAGTAGGCATCAACACTTTGTCATCTCTGGTCTCAGCAATCTTACCATGATTATTATGATTTCCTGCTGCACTTGGAAATTTAATAAAATCTAGTACTGCATATATAAATTCTTCATCTAATTGAATAGAAAATTCTTGTAATAAAAATGTAGCATGTTTAAAATATGGAATACCAAATGAATCATCCTTGACCTTAGATACTGATCCTGAAATTACTGGATGTATCTCCAGTTCCTTATTATCCTTCGGTATATTAGCAGGGTATAGAACGTTTGTAAAATTGGTACCAAATAGTTGATTATCGATCTGTAACCATTTTAATTTCCATGACAAAGTTCTGTAAAGTTCTGAATCATTATATCTTAATTCAATTCCATTAATATTAACATACATTAATTCTTGCAAATGAGAATTAACTAGTGAAATTCCAAGTCCTTTCACATTAACAATGATTTTAGTGAATAATAATTCATCCTCCTCTTTTGTCTCAAAAATATCGTTAGGTGTAAGGAGTGAAGTTGAGGATTGTGTTAAAATATCTGTAGATGTAGACCTTCTCTCTCTTAATTTATATAATGATACTTTTGGATCATAATTTGTAATCAGTAAAGCTTGTGTAGGACCATCTGCCACAACACTTAAATCGACGATAATAGGTCTGCCGTTGGATGTCTCCCCTGGAATTCTCATTGGTTTCAAATTACCAATCTCTGCCAACTGTACTTCACGTCTACGACCCTTTGAATTCAAAATTAACTTTTTTTGTTTAGCAGTTGGATAATCCCATGCATATGGCATAACGCTACGTGGCGGTATTCTGTAATAAATAGGTTTGTATTCAATTTCTGGTGACTCATATGGATCTTCCTCCTGTGATTTGTTATATTGTTCATCAATAATTCTGAAATCTCTTTGATAAAATATAAATTCATTGTCACTGAAATTTCTTATAGAATAAGGCCATAAATTCATTCCATTCTTAATACTAATGAATAAAGTTGCATCTTGTAAAGTTATTTCTAATTTTAGTAGGATGTGGGTTCCTGCTTCTCTTAACAAACGAACATATGTCAAACCAACATCCTTAATATAAAATGGTGCTGACCATTCTGAAGTATTTCCTAAAGCCTTGATCATTAACTGCTTATTAGAATTGTTTTGCAAGTTGTACAATGGAATAGTTTTATTTGGTTCTATATCAATTACATCTGGAGATCCTAATTCAGATACATTTATAGTGAAATTTAAATCATTTTTAATCATATATCTTGGTGTAATGTAAATCATTTTGCTTAGGTGGTATGGACCATCCCCCTCTGTGATGCTAACACCTAAATTGCATTCTTGTGACTTATTTGTAACATTTAAAGTCACATCAAAGACCTGACCTATTGCATCTAAAGATAAACGAACGCTTTTTTCAGTGTGCATGAATTTAATTCTCACTCTATTCTTGTTAGAATTGTCCATAAATGAAAACATTAATGGCTGACTGTAGATACTGTCCTCTTCTAACAAAACTCTACTTTGTACAACATTAAAATTTTCTTCTTCTATGTATAAATCTTTACCAGTTCCATTCAAAATAATATATGGAGAGTAAATTTTCAAGGTTCTGGACCTCCCATCTTCTTGTTTATGATATTTTACTCTTAAGTTTAATCTTTGGCCACTTTCAAAAGTTAATGGAAGAATTTCTTCAGGTTCTAGTGATGTCCTGGTCGGTGTATTCACAATTGATGGCTTTGACATTGGATTACCATCTACATGTGGTCGAACTGATAAAAGTAAAAATTCATCAAGAGACACACTATGGATTAATACCGTTTCCCCTTTTTTCAAGAAACTTTCTTTTTTTGAGTCTTCACGTCTGCTGAAAACACGGTAATTCATATCAAAAGGCAATAAATTTTCGATTACCAATGGAGGTGATATGATAATTTTCATATGAGGATATATACGAGCTAATGGTTCCTTTTTATCATATAAAGCTTTTAATTCAAAGTAAAATTTTTCCTCATATTCTGCAATTCCATGACATTCTACTGAACATGGTGCTTCAAGTAATTTCTCCCATAAAATAGGCTTGGATGACCAATCAAATTCTCCATGAGTTTTAGGTTTTACAAATAGGTTGCAATCATAAACATATTCCAATGGAACTGATTTGCATTCCTGTTCCTTGATTACTAAAAAGACAGGATTATTTATTTTTTCAGACTCTACTTTAATTTCTATTGTTGAACTTGTACTATTTTCGATGGCTAGTGTTGATCTGAAATTAATTTCCTTAATTCCCTCAACAGTACTTTTTAAGTCACAAATAATTCTTCTATGAATACCATTTTTAGCAGGTTTCAAAACATGCAGTACCTCCCCTTCATATGTAGCATCTATTGTCATGATTGTATTGTAAATATCT